GGGGTGGGGGTTTATGCTCCACCAAAAAACTAATACAAAGGAAGGTGTTTACACTATTGGGAAAACCTATGAACAGGGGGAACTGAAGCAAAGGAGAAGAAAAGGCTGTGCCAAGACTTCACACATAATATTCAATATGCAATACAATCTGCAATATATTTTTTGCATCTACTATTATTTTCATATATATATATATATATATATATATATATATATATATATATATATATATTCTATCCCATACCACCATGTTCCCCTCCCCCCCAGCCATTTCTCAGAGAGATATACACAATATTTTAATAATTTTGTACATGAAACAATATTTCTGTACACTGAACTATCAAGAAGCAAAGGTGCCACTATCTCAGCCTTCCATGTGGACAGTATTCTATTTTGGCTTTTGGACTTCTGGGTAAGGGATATTCAACCTAGAGGGGGAGAAAAGTAAATGAAAAAGCTAAGACACAGTCCAACTACTTTCCCTCCACTCTCTAGATGTATTTAAGTAATTTTGCCCTCTGATCAACTCATACTTGGTTTTTTGTGATGGTGATTTAGCACAGGCAGGATCAAATGTTCAAAATAATGCCCCCTGTGTACTCTATTTTCTGAAAGCAAATCCATTGGGGCATGCTTTCAGAACTGGAGGTCTAGGAGCGTTCAAAATGTTGGACTTTGTACTATTTTAATAACGCATTAGGCAATTGCTTCCATTTGTAATTAGATCTGCAGATCAGGAGCTTTGCAGGGAAAGTGGAAGAGATATTGAAATTAACTGATGTTGATGACATCTAGCGAGACAACTATTTTTGTATTGTTTAGACCGCAGAGACAGCCCATTTAGCAGATGGATAGCCAAAGGTTGCTTGAGCCAAATGATGCACTTAGGGGAAATAAAGTGATTATGTGCATTCCTGGACTCTTTATTGCTATTAGGTTTGGCAAAAGTGTGAATCTAAATGAAAGACAAAAATGTAAAATGCTGCAGAGGTATATTTTTAATAGAAAATGTTCATTTTTACATTATTGATTATCTGCGCCAAGGGGAAAAAAACGCACCCTGTTCCAAATGAGGAGGACTTGCTGACTTGGGAAGTTGGCTTCCTGTACATGACAGATGGGGATGCAGTTGCACAGCAGAAAATGTACTTTTATGTAGATTCCAATGTTCTTCTAAACTCAGTGGATGTGACTTTAAACTACGTGGGGATATGCATACTCATCCAGGCCCAGAACTCAATGCATACAATTAGAGTTGGGCCAAAGCCTTGCTATTGGTGTAGCATTGCACCTTGATAAAATGGGCCAGAATCCTGTTGTGTAAGTTCTCCTTTAGAAGCAGTTGGACACTTGTCTGATAAAGAATATGTGTATTCATTTCAAGTGTGCAGAAACAGAAGTACATATAGAATGTGGTGCTTCTCTGCAAGCAAATGCAGTCGCAAATGTGCATGTATATTTGGTTGCAAACTGGGGTGTCCATTCAGTTGTGCAACACAGCCATTGTACGCAAGGGTTGTATAGCGCAATCAATAATAACTCGATATTCAGAGCATTGTGCTATATATCCCTGGTGTAGAATCTCATCTTGGGTAGTGGCTTCTCCAGCTTTAGGCAGACTAACAGCTCTTTGTAACAGTTGTGTCATTAGGCTTGGTGTTGCCCAGTGTTCCTCCCATGGAACTACAATCATAATATCATAATGCTGGAAGAAACCACAAGGGCCATCCAGTCCAACCCCCTGCCATGCAGAAACATCCAACTAAAGCACTTGATAGATGGCCATCCAGCCTCTGCTTAAAACTTCCTGATAAATTCCACTATACTCATAAGCAACCCTTGTTTTCTTCCTGCTGACATTCTTGGGTAGTCTCTTAAGGGACCAAATGTGAACTTCTCCAAGTTTCGTTTCCTTCCAGATGAGTCAGCAGCATTTCTTCTACTAGCTAGGCAATTCTACAGCCCCATCATTACTAGATCTTCACTAGCAATAGCAGCCTCGCTTCATAAGGTACTAATAACAAGCTTCTGAAAAACAGAAATTATGGGCACAAATCCTAGTTGAAGTGGATCATACTTATTTACCTAAGTAAAAGAACTGGATGAAGAAACCTGGAGTCTAGATCCTTTTCATGCTGCCAATGTTTCCAAAGGTTTGACTCTTTCACAAATTCTTGACAAAAGCTGCTTTGTCTCAACCCACTCCTTACAAACATGTTGGAATTCATTGCTGCAACTATTTCCAGTGGCCACTGGACTGCTTTCAAAACAAGGGAGGAATTCTGAAAGAAGAAGTCCGTAGGAGTTACACAGATGGGAAGAACTGTTCAAGATCATAAGACTATGAAACACAGCCTCACACATAAAGCCATTTTTTGACCATACACAGCTGGATACTTGCTCTAATGGAGCCAAAAGTAGTCAATATGTTGAGCATCTAAAACCTAAATCCTACCAGAATGTCTACTGCTAATAACTCTTATTTTTGACTCCAGGGCAATAGTGGACATTTGCAGGTAGCAGTTCTGTTTTTGCTTTAGCTATATTGTTTTCTAGGGAAATATACCCTCCAACTCTCCCAGTTTGGAAGAACAATCCCAATTAATCTTCTCCCTTTTCAGCTTCTTCTCCGCACTTTCTTCCTCTACCTCTCATTTTCCCACTTATTTCCAATTATCTGAACTGAGTTTAATGCACAAGCACAGTTTTCATTCCATTAACTCAACAGAGAGAAAAGAGAGGAGGCAATGAAATCTTGTTCCCTGTAGGCTCAAACAAAAGCAAACTTTTTCAGCCTCTTCTACTTCATCTGTTCTTCCTTGTTAATATTTTTTTCCCATTTGGACCCTAATTTTTCCAGTTTTGGCCACACATATCCCAGTTTTCACCAGTGAAATGTTGGAGGGAACAGGAATGTGGAAAACTCTTAGAATCATAGAATTATTGTCTTTCTCATTGCATTTCTCCAAGGCCCGCCTGCATTCCAGTCCTACCCTTTGTTCTCATTTCTTTCTGTTAGTAAATTGCGAAGATACATAATAAGATACTGATAAGAACGCCCAAAGAACACTGGGCTTGACCAATGCACATCAGCACTCCCTAGCTATTATTTTTATGCTCAGCAATGGGAACGATGCAATTGGATCTGTTTTGCATTGGTCCCTATGCACATCATTCGGTTTTCTGCCTCTCCTACATAGTAATGTAACAACAATTCTTTACTAGGTATAGACATTACAGAGCTACCCAATTCTAATTTCCACAGGTGTAAGTCCGCTTTATTGTTGCATGCCTGAGTTATGCTGATCCTAAGGTAAACCCATCACAGGGTTTTCTTGATCTTTGCCTTTCTCTAAGGCTGAAAAAGCGTGACTTGCCCAAAGTCACCAGGAGGCTTTCATGATTGAGTGAGAACTCAAACTACTACACACCAATGGTGTAAGAAGACTTAAGTACAATAAGGAAGAGGAGAAGGAGGATATGGAGACTTAGCAGGAGAAGGAGAAGGAGGAGAATAAATATACAACATCTCCATTTTTTTTTACTGTTTATAATATTTTCACTAGTTCTCATGCTACGAGCACAGGGTGTGTGTTCCAATTATGCCTTGAGTTTATTTCTGAACTGTGGGTGTGTTAAAGAATTCACAGCTTTTATTTTTAAAAAAATATTCATTGATAAAAGAAGGATGCAATTCAGCCAAGATCAAGTACTTACAAGTTTCAGGATTTTGCTAGCAAAACATAACTTTCTCCCATTAAAAGCAATGGCAGTTCATAGAGTTGCTGCATTTCTAGCAATTAGGGTGATAAAAGAAAACTTGAGAGCTTGCGAATAATACCTGTCACATTTCAGAGGACAAAAGCGTGTCTGAAGAAGACCAGGAGAGAAGAAACTCTTCATTAATCTTCATAATCCATTACCCATCATAATGAGAACTACAACAAGCCATGCAAAAGAAGCAGAAACATGCTATTTCCATGTCAGGTCATATTCAAATCACTATCTTCATAATTTTTGAATGCAGATTTTTTTGTTACAATTGGCATAATAGTCATGATGCTGATTACAGCAAAGCCAGTCAAAGAGAGCAGAATAAATTTCTTCTGTAGGGCCAAGTAGATATCACAACCTGTTCCAAAACTTTTAGAAGGAGGCTTAAAAAATCATCTCAGGTATAAAAAAATCAAATTTGAATTGGTCACAAAAGGTAACATTTGAATTTATTGTTGGAGGCTTTCATGGCCAGAATCACTGTGTTGTTGCTGGTTTCCCGGAATGTATGGCCAGGAAATCTATGGCAGGCATCCTCAGAGGTTGTGAGGTCAAAACATTAAGGGAGAATACTTCTAGAATATGGCCATACAGCCCGAAAAACCTACAACAACCCAACATTTGAATTATTATTTTTCCTCCAAATCCCTGAATTGAGAAAATATGTACTGGACACCCTGACCCATTTTCATGAAAGAACATAATTTATTATACCTGATCCTAAATGTTATTAGCTTTAAAGCAAATAAGAAATTAGAGTCACTATTTATTTATTTATTATGTCAAAAGCGAGTTGAGGGTACAGTTAAAATGCATTTAAAAACACAAACAAATTTCCCTAAGCTACATTTCTCAGAATTCTGCAGGAGCAAACTGGGCAATAGCAACGTGGGGACCTCCACTTTATAATAATAATGTAATATTGGCCTAAGACATGGAGCAGTGGTTTGCAACTGAGTTCCCTTTGGGGGAGATAAAGTGGGGTATAAATAAATATAAATATAACTACTACTATTGTACTGGGTTGGACTGAATGGCCCTTGTGATCTCTTCCAACTTTGTGGTTCTATGATTCTACAAGAGTTTAACTACAGGGGGATTGGGACTACAGTGCTTGGGCTTGGAGCACATTGCAATTGCATATCTCTGGTGAGGTTTTAAATTTGTGTTTTTCATTTATGTAATGGGTGGGGCTGCTGTTTGATTGCTTTCTTTGTTTATTTCAGCTTCTGGCAGACAACTGAGGCCGGAGGACACGGAGGCAGATGGAGAGGCCGATGTGGAAGATGATTCTGTGAGTGACATCCAGTACTTTTGGAAGCTTCCAGTATTTTAAATTCAGAAATCTCTAAGCTTTGTTTGCTTTACAACTGAAGCTAAAAACAGGATGACAATATTTCCCTGAACTTACATCACAAGCCAAACGGAACCATTTTCTTCTCTGAACTGACCTGGAACAGAATACATCTGCAGTGGTTTTGGGAAGGCTTCACTCAAGCTATTTCAGAATAGATGTCCAAATAAATAATGTTTCAGTTTGTGTCAGAGGTTTAATGACTGAAGCTTATGTATGCTATACGTTTATGTTTTAGACCTACATACTAGAAGCATGCCAGTGGATCAAAGGGCTCTGCCAGCAATATCATGAATTAGATCAAAATTCCAAAAGCAACACTGTAAAAACCTGGAACCTGTTAGCAAACCACTAACCATACTTGGAGCACTAGAAGCCTCTTGGGATGTAGGCCACGGGAAACAGGGAAATCTGCCAAGGTAATGCCTCAGTCTAAACAATGCCTGATCTAATGAGACAACCCGGCGAGAGGCACTCAAAACTGAAGAAACTGTTTCGTGACACGCCTCCAGGCCTGTATTTCCTTTTCCCTTAATCTGCTTGACCTTCGCAGACTCTGCGATTCACTCCTGTTTTTCCAAATCTTTTCTATCCTCATTAAGGAAGCCAGGTGTTAACTCCTCTGAAGAGCTATCACCGCTTGGCTCTGCAACATTCTCATCAGAATGTGTAGTTTCACTTTCCAAGCCACTGACCTCAGAATCAACATTTTCATTACCATCAGGGAGAAATACACTCAGAGAATCAGGTTCAGGTTCAGCAATCAGAGAATCAGGTTCAGGTTCACACGCAGGCTGAACCCCAACACCCGAGCCCTGCCACATGCATAATGGAGGACCTTCTTACAGCAACACCAGAAGCACTCCAAGTGGCCAGCTACTGGTCAAAGGATATTTAATCAACTACCAAACTCGCAAATTTTGTATTTTGTCTGTCTGTTTGTTTTGTTCTGTTAGAAATGTAATATAATTGACTGGTTGCCCTGACACGACAAATAAATAAGTAAATCACCATGTAACCCACATACATCTTCTGATGCAGATTCTCTTCCAATTCCCTTTTAACTACATATCAAATACTCTGAGCTTTTTAATTTTCCATGGAAGTGATTAAATAATTTCAATATATTCCCCTATTCCATTGCCCTGCTTTCCAATGCTTTTGAGTTTCAGCTTCTCCATACATGGCTTGAAAAACAAAGGATCAAACCTGTTGGGTAATTCTATATTTTCTTCCCATTCTTGCAGATCAATGATGAGGAAGTGACAGCTGAAAATATACGACCAAGACCACAGGGGTCTTCTCCAGTTTACGAATACTGCATAGACGACGAATATTTTAACAAAAAGGTAAAAGTTGATTCAAAAAGGGTTTCGTATCATTCTATTTGTCTTATGACTGATTCTGAGTTCTTTCAAACTATTGATAGCATTATTTTTTGCTTTTCCTTTCAAACGAAAGGCAAAAGTAACAGTAATTGGCCGAAAGAGGGAGCCAGTTCCCTGAAATTTCAAAGGGAAATTGCTAAACTAGGGAAGGCAGCTTTGCCACTATTTAAAACAGTAACACTGGGTTTTTTTTTCTTTATTGGAAAACACTATAAAACAGAGGAAGGGATGGGCCACCTTATATTTCAAAGTAAACATTCCCCACCTAAATATTCTTAACATACATACACACCAATTTAGGGTGCATGTGCACTGTAGAATTAATACAGTTTGATACCACTTTAACTATAATGGCTCAATGCTGTGAAATCATGAGCATTGTACTTTTACATGGTCTTGAGGTTGTCAGGGGTTCAAAACAGCTTGAAATTCCCAGATGTACAGCAGAAGGGATTGTTCATTCCTGTTAGGGAGCAAAATATCTTTTTGCTGTCAAGTTGTCTCCTCAAGAACAAGAAAGATACAAAGCCGTTCGTTCCAACTGGAAGGCTTTTCTTTCTTTAGTTGCAGCAACAGTACAAACAGTATTTACAGTATGTAAATTTACAGTATGCACAACAAGTTTTATATCTTCATCCATCAAACTTCTACCCTCATCCAAACAACCTATATATGACTGTCTCATCCACCACACCCCAATTACAATGACACCAGTGGTTAGATCAGAGACACGGATCCTGTTATCACATAAAGAAATGTTGTGTAACTTACAAATCCTGACAGAGCCTTCTCTGCCAGAGGATTGGTGCATCACCAAACAACAACTCCCAAAATTTCATAGCATTTATTTATTTACTTATTTATGCTACTTTTATCCCGCCCATATCAGCCCGCGACTCAGGGCGGCATACAAATCGGCACAATTCGATGCCATATATAAATTCATACATCGGTTAAAAACAAAAAATCACATCGTAATACATTTAAAACCATAAAAAGCAATAAACAATAAAAAATATTTTTAAAAACCTATGTCTTCTTGTTCAATTTCTCAACCGTTCCATCATCTTGGCCATTCCTATTTGAGATTATCTGGTCATGCTGAAGTTCCAAACGTTTGCTCAAAGAGCCAGGCTTTCACTCTTCTCTGAAAGGTCAGGAGGGAGGGAGCCGATCAAATATCCCTAGGCAGGGAGTTTCACAGACAAGGGGCCACCACAGAGAAGGTCCTGTCTCTCGTCCCCACCAAACGCGCCTGTGAGGCAGGCGGGATTGAGAGCAGGGCCTCCTCAGACAACCTGGAAGGTTCATAGGGAGAGATGTGTTCGGATAGATAAGCATTGAGCCATGGCAGTGCCATTCTGCAATGTGACACTGCAAAATTTTAACAGCAACCATTGAAACGTATTACTGTCATGAATGTACAAAATTAAGTATCTTTTTCCTGGTGCTAGAGCAGTATAATAATTGGTGCCAGTTTACATTTTGGGGTGAAAACATTCTGTAGTGCTGTCGTGTGAGGCTTAGGAAGAGTCACATTTTATATACTTGTGTTGAAGTGGATCTGATGCTATATAACTGAGGCCCCTTCTACACTGCCCTGTATCTCAGGATCTGATCCCAGATTATTTACTTTAAACTGGATTATATGAGGACATTTCCAGACAGTGCCAAAATCTGGGTTTTAAATTGGGGTCAAGAATCCCAGAACCTGACAGCAAGTCTACACACACAGCTGTCAGTCTCAGGATATGGTCCCCCACTATCCTCACAGTCTTCTTTTGAGCAGATCAAGATGGAGGACAAATGAGGGACATCCAGCTGAAGTTTTTTTTTAAAAAAATCCCTCCGTTATGTGCTGGTCTGTATGTACGCACATACGAATATCCTAATATAAACTTAAGCAGTTTGCATGTGCGCACATAATGAACTGTTGTTTTTTTTTAAAAAAAAAGATCAGTCTCTTCAGTCTCTTCCCCAAATCTTAATTCAAATTCTGTTTAAGATTATAAAGTGTAAAAAAAATTTCTGAGAGCTCTAATTGCTTTCCATTTGTGCGTTCCTTGAGCCACCTGTGTGTCCACTGACAGCCTGACCAGTTGATCGGCTCTTTCGGGCTTTTGAAAAGCACGCGTGCACTGAAGCAGTCTACACAGTGGGAGGGAAGGAAAGCACATGTTTTGCATGACTGCAGGGATATACAGTGATGCAAAGGTGCACATTTTCTGGCTGGAATCAGGATTTAGGTGCACCTTTTAAACACATTTTTTGTCTGTTACTGCAAATAAGCGCAGATTTACCAACAGCGTCATTTAGCCACCCCACCCCTTTTAACCTGGTTACTCCTGCATTTTAGGGTGTGTGTAGAAGGACCCTGAGTCTCCACTGCCAGATAATCTGGAATCAGTAAATAATCTGGGGTCAGATCCTGGGATATAGGGGCAGTATGGAAATGAAGAGAATGAAGAGAGAATAGGAAGATGGAGAATAGGAAGAAATGTATGTCTTTCCTCTATCTCACCTCCTTAGTGTTATGATATTAGGCCACATCTACATTGCCATATAATGCAGTTTCAGAATGCAGATTAACTGCATTTAACGGGATTATATGACTCTACACTGCCATATAATGCAGTTAATCTGAATTCAGAAACTGGATTATATGACAGTGTAGAGAGGTGCTGTTTCAGTTAAAATGAAAAGTGGATTTTTAATTAATGATTTCATGTGCCCCTAACTCCCCCAAAAGTGGAACCCTAGTGTATTCCTAACCTTTCCTAACCTGTATTTACATAACATTAATTTTGCCTTGCCTTTCCCCTTCCTTGCCTCTTCTAACAGCCACTCATTCTATTCAGACAGTCTGAATAAAGAGGTTTGCATGATCTGACCAATCTCTCACAGCTAAGCACTAATAGTTACACTTGTATTTCCAGCTTCAACAAGATAGGGAGAACAGACAAAGAAGGGATTCTTCTATCAAAATGAGTGAATCACAGGTGAGATTAAACACCCGATCAGTGCACGCCCTTCAAGACAGAAGAGCATTGTGCTGACTCTCTACCGTGTGTTATGCAAAATTCAGTCTTCTTGGTCTCTGGCCCTGAAAGTGAAGGCAAACGCAGATTTGCAAATGTGCATTTTACACTTAATTTTTTATACTCACGACCCCTTACTGCCTAAGACATTTTTATGTTCCCCTGGATATATAGCTTTATATAAAATATGGGTTAAAAATCAAACATTTGCTGATAACAAACCACAATTTGCAAGGCTTACTAAGGCCCCTTCAACACTGTCTTTATATCCCAGGATTTGATCCTTGATTATCTGCTTTGAACTGGATTATATGAGTCTCCACTGCTATATAATCTGGGATAGGCAAATAATCTGGGATCAGATCCTGAGATATAAGGATGGTGTAAAAGAGGCCTAAGCAGGCTGGTTTTCCTTTTTTGTGGAGTATAACAAACATTATTTCCAAATCTCAAAGCAACACCCATGTCCTCATAGACGGAGAGAGAGAGAGATGAGAAGGGAGAGAGTGATGTAGGCAGAGAAGATTTCAATTTAGCTGTATAGATTAGTAACAATTTGAAACATTTACTGTAAATACTCAAGTATAAGCCTAGTTTTTCAGCCCTTTTTTTAGGCAGAAAAAATCCCTCTCAAGTTATATTCGAGTCAAGGTTATTTATTATTTTACTCTGTTATTATTATTATTTTAATTACATTTATTATTTTACTCTATTTATTATTATTACCGATTATTTTTTCTATTTATTATTGTTATTGTTATATTTATTATTTTACTCTTATATTATTGTTATTATTACATTTATTATTTTACTCTCTTTATTATGATTGGAAGGATGCATAGGCACATTTATATTGAAGAAAGTTAGAATAATGGTTTAATCAAAGTTGGACAGTCTTATCTTAAATTACAGTTTGATGTAAATATTCAAAAACATCTAACCTCCTGATTCCTCAGTTAATGTAATTTTATTGGTATCTATTTTTATTTTGAAATTTACCAGTAGTTGGTGCATTTTCCACCCTCGGCTTATATTCGAGTCAATATGTTTTTCCAGTTTTTTGTGGTAAATTTAGGTGCCTTGGCTTATATTCGGGTTGGCTTATACTCGAGTATATACGGTAATTTTTTTCATTATAAACATTCCAGAGGAAAGTCTGCACTTGTTGTTTCACAATCCTTTCCATAAGTTGGCCATGTGAGCAATCAAGAAGTATTTACATTATGGTATCAAATCAGATTGACTTTAAGGCAAATTCCCATGAAAGGCATATTCATCACAGTAGTCAAACAACAAGTGCATAAGAGCATAATGTACCAAACATAATGCATGTTTTAGTCCATCAGGGGACAGAGAACCCCTAAGTGCATTTATAAAACCTGTAAAATCTTTGGGAGCACACATCTGACGTAATAGAACATGAGATGATGTTTGTGATCTTACTGATATTATGGAATGAATGACCTGAATCCTCATATGGCCTTACACATATTTATGCCTTATATATATTTAATAACACAACTTTTGGGACAACTAGGAATCTATGGAGGTGACCTTACAAACAGAAGTGGAATCTGGAGCAAGTGGATTTAGTGTGGCTGGTGGCGGAAATGAAGGGATATTTGTGAAGCAAGTCCTCAAGGAGTCTCCAGCATCAAAGGTCTTCAGTCTAAAAGAAGGTACAGTGTGCCCTTATGTGATATTACACAATTGTTTTAGTATACCAGTAATTAACTTGTAAATGGAAAATATTTCTAATGCAGTAACCACACAACCCATATCTGATGTTTCACTTACCCGCACCGACTCATTTTTTTTGGTAGAATAAACCAAAGCCAAATAACCCTCTTCAATTATTTCACTTTTTAAAAAGGCATGCAGTGCACACATGGCTTGTTTTAAAGGACTTCTGCATGGGTCTGAATCCTATATTTATAGTCCTAACCACCTTGAGTCCCCTCAGGGAGATAGGTGTGGAAAATAAATAAAGTATTACTATCTGAAATACAACAAGACGAGTCCACGCAGACAAGATCACTCTGCTGCCTGTTGTATTGGATCACATGTCGGACACTTCCCAAGTGTCTAGGACTGTGTGATGTATTGGAAAATAATGCATGCAGCTGGCAAATGGTAATTTTGTCAGCGTCGATTGTGTTTAAGTACAGACCAAGGTCTTTAGGCACTGCACCCAGTGTGTCGATCACCACTGAGACCAACTTTACTGGCTTGTGCCAGAGTCTTTGCATTATTATTATTATTATTATTATTATTATTATTATTATTATTAAAGTACAGTCAGCCCCCACATTTACAGGTTTTTGAGGTGCAGGACCCCCGTGAAAGGGAAAAACCATGAATAAAATTGCTAATATTTTACCTAAGAGTAGTAATTTCTAAGTCTTCCAGCATGACTCTGTGATCAACTTCCCCTGGAAGCTAAACATAGAGTTGTATTAAAGAATCTAGAAATTTCAAGAGAGGTGTTCTCTCTAGAAATCTCTAGGTATCTCTGTATAGGTAAATGTAAAGGTTTTCCCCTGACATGAAGTCTAGTTGTGTCCGACTCTGGGGAGTGGTGCTCATCTCCATTTCTAAGCCAAAGAACTGGCATTGTCCATAGACGACTTCAGGATCATGTTGCCAGCATGACTGCATGGAGCGCCATTACTTTCCCGCAGAAGCGGTACCTATCAATCTACTCATTTGCATGTTTTCGAACTACTAGGTTGGCAGAAGCTGGGGCTAACAGCGAGAACTCACCCCACTCCCATTCGAACCGCCAACCTTTCAGTCAACAAGTTTAGCAGCTCAGCGGTTGAACCTACTGCGCCACTGGGTATAAAATCCCACATTATCTGCTTTGAACTGGATTATATGGTAGTGTGGACTCAGATAGCCCAGTTCAAAGTAGATATTGTGGATTATCTGCCTTGAGATTCTGAGTTATATGACTAGATATTCTCAAAGGGAACATTTTAAATAAAATCTGTGAAAAAAAATGCAAAAGTCAAAACTGCCAATGTGGAACAACTACCATATATCCTTTGAAATCATCTCTTGAACAGGCAGTCAACACTTAAGTTGAAGTCCCACAATTAGCCTGCTCTGGTGGAAGAACAGAGACTTGGGCACCAGAAACCTGGGAAGCATGCAATTCTCCTTTTAAATAATACACATTTTCCTAAATTAAATGTAGGATACACCAACAAGTTTATCAGAACAACATATTTTATGTGTGGCCAAGACCCAAAAATAACGTATAAAACAGCTCTGTACTTAAGCAAAACAATACGTCTGAGAACCACATATGTAGGGCTGATTGGGGTAAATTGTAGGGGTGATAATGAAATATGATGTATATACTCAGCTTGATCAGTTTATCAGTTTTATCATGTCTTATCATATGTATTTACTGTATTATTATAAGTGTCTTATTTTAACTTTCTACGTGGAGTGTGATCAGGTCTTGTCAGGCCTTGTTGTTCTGTTTCTTATTGTGATATGGCCTAAGGGCTAATCAATAAAATTACTACTACCAACACGTTTTGAGAATGCACAGCAGCAGTGGGGAAATTTGGCAAACAGAGCCATGGCTGTAGAGATGGCAAATAGTCATGAGACAACTTATTAGGTTATTTGTTGCCCAGACATATTGAGTTATATAGTGCTGAGGGAAAATATGCATGACATGGGAAGATATAGTCAGTTTCTGTTCCCTCTTCACAGGTGATCAGCTGTTGAGTGCCACAATCTTTTTTGATAATATCAAATATGAAGACGCACTCAAAATTCTGCAGTATTCCGAGCCATATAAAGTACAGTTCAATCTTAAAAGGAAACTCACTGGGAAGGAAGAGCTGGAAACAATGTATTCTGCAAAACAATCCAAAAAGGAAAAACTCATCCAGGTAATATACAGATGTAGAGATGTATTTTGGAATAAGACATGCATCACAAATTTTCCTGTAATTTTAAGACTATGGTTTGTTTTTTTGAAGTGAAATACAGTGGAGTTTCAAGACATAAGCTATAAGCAGTTCTGTGTATATGCTAACAACAGTCTGTGAGAATGCACAAAATATGCCTCAGAGTGGGATATTTCAGCCACGATCTCAGTCTTCTTTTATTTATTTATTTATTATTATTTATTACTGCATTTGTAGACCGCCGTTCTCAGCCCTAGGGCGACTCACGGCGGTGTACAACATATAAAAACAGATTACAAAATAAGCAATAACACAAACAACAATAACAACATCACTGTCAGTTTTCTTCACAAACTTCTGGCAACCTTGTCTATTTGATTGTGAAGATGTCTGAAAATGTGAAGGGTAATACCTGGAGGATATGTTGGGGTAACTGATTAAAACAGCTAGTTACCATTCCAAATGACAAGATAAAATGTAGGCCAATTATGTAAAATGGCACAAGACTTATGTACTTGAGGCTGGAGATGTGTGAAATGCCCATCACAGTCCACAAAAGCTTTAGAAGTTGCTATTTGTCAATTTTTCATAAAATAAGAATTTTCCCAAGCCAAAAAAAGTGGCTCGGATGTATAAGTGGATGAAAATGAAGAATTTTAGTCATGCAGCATCCTACAGAACACCAACAGAACCTGCTAGCCACAGAAGTTGACCACTGTGTTTCTGCTTCAGAGAGAAAAGTGGTTCACAACACTGAACACATACTACAATGTATTTTTAGGCTTATATTTTAAATATTTTTAGGCTCCAAAATTAATGCTATCTTTACACCAGGCATAGGCAAACCTTTTTTCCATGGGGGCCACATGCTGGGCCAGAAGGGAGAGGAGAGGAGGTTGCGGGCAGTTGGTGTGGGAGGGGAGAGGCCAAGGGGGCAGTTGGCAGGGGGGTTACCTATTGAGGATGCCCTCCATTGCAAACCAGAGCCAGAAAAAGGAGGTGAGGAATGAGAAAATGAGAAAAGCAACAGTGTTCTTTGTACTCTAAAAGGCAAAGGAGGCAGACAATTGGAGGCAAAAAAAGACCAAAAGAGGCAGGTAGAGGGTGAGGTATTCTGCCATGATTATGATGAACATGGGGGGGGGGGGTGCCTTCCCAAGCAGCACTGCCCAAAAATGCATTAGGGGTGTTCACAGATGGAGGAAGGGAGCAAACGGAGGGTGAGGAAGGCATGACTTTGTGGGTGCATGTGTATTGTGTTGGCCAAGGTATCTTTTGGGCYACTCTCTGTCTTCTATCCTCCTCCCACATGTATTTAGAAAATTGAGCCTRTAGCTTGCCCTCATCACGCTGGCAAAAAAGCAGAGGTTGAAGGGGAGAAAGCGGGTGAAAGGACAGGTGGAATGTGCCAAGGAAGAAGCTGTTCATGCCCCTCTTCCCTCTCCTCTGCGGCACTTCCAAAGGCTCTGCCTGGAGATGCAGCAGCTCCCCACATCCCTGGCTGAGAGGACAGGGAGACATGCAGCTACCAAGAACTCTCCGGAAATCTCTTTCAGTGGGCTGTTGCATCTACAGGCTGAGAGGAGGGCCAAGGCAGATGAGGGCTGGAGGAAAGAGACCAAGGGGACAGACAGGTCCAGCCCGCAGGTCTGGGTTTGCCCATGCCTGCTCTACACATATGTTATTGTCATACTACCCAGAGAAATTGAATTGAATGAAACATTGCATAGCATTGAATGAAACATGCAGAATAATCACAGGATTTCTTAAACCTATACCTGTTGATAAACTCTACAATCTAGCTGGCATTGCCCCCCCCCCCCGATGTGCGACAGGAAGTTGCTGCTAAATGTGAGAGAAATAAGGTTGAACACTGTGAAAGCCATCAACTACATGGATACCAGCCTCCTCCCAGGAGACTCAAAGCAAGGAAAATCTTTAGGAGAACTACCACTCCTCTTGGTGTCCCTCCAGCAACAGAAAGGGTCTCCCTCTGGGAAGCTAAACCAGGAAATCCCAACTGGATGGCCCCCTACATGGGTCTTCCTCCAGAGGCAAACCAAGAATGGGCAACTTGGAAGTCCCTGAACAGAGTTAGAAGTGGAGTGGGCAGATCAAAAAACCTGACAAAAGGGCACTACCTAAAAGAATCCCACACCATGTGTGAATGTGGAGCAGGACAGACAACTCCCACATCTGTATGCTTTTCCACTATGCCCTGTATAAAGGCGCGTCGTGTGGCCAAACAACAGCTGGACAGGGGGTAAAGCAGATCCCACCAACTGTCCCTCCACTATAAAGAATTCACACCACTTTGGCACCAATATAACGTTTGAGGGTATTGTCTCACTAATTAAACTTCCGCTGCCACCATAAACTGAAAGAACAGGAACACCCTAGCTGTTTATAATATTAAAAATGCTTTTAAAGATCACCAAACACTGTGTTCTAATATTTCTTCTTATGTGCTTCTTTAAAGGAAAACAAGTTGAGGTTGTTTAAAAAAAAAGGACTATAGCCACAAAGGGTACACTTGACTCAGGCTTTTTAGTTTAAAAATAATCAAGAAAGTTTATTGTTGAGAATACAGAGAAGTGAATGCTGTTTAATAAGCTTGGCTGTTACAGAGAAAATGTTGGTTCTTGAAAGCGTAACGRTTACATGTAAATGGTTCTTTCTTTGTTACAACACAGAGATTTTCTTCTCTTTAAAACCAAGTATACTTGACAGGATCTGAATCTCTGCCAAGATACAACTGTAGCTTAGCTACCCTCAACTGTGGMCTAGCTAACTACAMWCCAGCTATYTCTCCYWRATAGCTWTTCCAGTTTGCTACAGCYTCTCTTGCTGGCAAACCTAAGGCAAACTGCCTTCYCTAAACTAATCTTAAAACACGAACTCCTAAACTRCCTTCCTACWCTAATCYCYAACAACAACAGACTSRCTGAAAAAGCCYYYTTCTTTCCCTCCAAACMRTGCTAAACTCYGCCCCCYTTTAAYAARCCAATYCTGGCTGTTYTAAKGCYRWCTCAGGCCTAGGCCACTCCCCCTCTCTGAAATGGTGYTTTCCCTRAACTAAAATGGCTCCTGCTGCCCTCTGCCAGGCCTTCTAAAGCTGCAACTAACTGGCCTGTTTCTCCTAGGCCCTGCCACCCAGGCTGGAAAGGTAAGGGATCTTTACACCCTGCCTCATGTACAGAGGAAAAATTGTTGGAGGCTACAGACAATGTCATTGCTATTGCCCATTTTTGGTCAAAAGATATTTAGCCACCCGTGCTCCCTCTATTTTTATCAGTTTTATACTAATTTATGCAATGCTTTTGACACAAAATAAAACCCAGAGAAAGGGGATATTACTGAATATTTATCTGTTGTTTAAAATATCAACTCAAAATCTATGTTACAGGTTTTTTTAATTCCTTCACTACTCATCCTATGAATATTAAGTTATAAATGTTGGAAATAAATTTAACAGGAAAAAAGGGAGTATAAGAACTTTCTAAGAATAAATGCTACAACCTGTATAGTACTAATTTTTGAAATTTTGTTTTTCAGGGAAAGGAAATTCTGGAAATATCTGAGAAGACAATTTCAGAAGAAGATAAAGCAAACTTGATTGTAAAGCAAAGAGTGGGGAGGCCAAAAAGAACCAAAAAGGATAGACTTTCTTGGCCAAAATTCCAATCCATGAAAGGTAAAAAGATTTTGGGCCACAGAAGATCTCGTAGCACATCAGATGCCTATGAGCATACCATTCCAGATATCTCTCCAACAAGTACAGATACAGAATCCCAATTTCAACATGAAGAACTCCATGCAAAGATTAAAAAAGGAAGTCAAAAGAAACTAAAATTTCCTAGTATAGGGTTCAAAATGTATAAAAGTAAACAAGAAACCGAGGAGAGATCAAAATATGAAGTAAAGCCACTTACTGAATTTGAACATGACATTTCTGGAGAAAACACAGAATTAATCACAACACAATACTCTACTACGTGGGATGAACATAAGCAGAAAGAAGGGAAAGAAAAGGATGCAATACTTATGATGGAAACAAAACCTGAATTACAACACCTTCCCAAAAAATACCCTGAAGTTGAACTAACTATTAAAAAAACAAAGGACAAGAAACTGAAATCTGAAAAAGCTACAACACAAACAGAAACTGCAATAATAACATCACAAATAATGTCAGCACTACAAACAAATGAAGGGGAACCAAAGGTGGCAACACAACCACCTCCAAAAACACGAAAAAAGAAGCACAAAGGATCAAAAGAAAAAATTGAATTAGAGATTGAAGGCGAAAAAGGAAAAAAACAAAAACAAGTAATCAAGGAAAAAAATACAGAAAAAATAAAAGAAGATTCAAACATTATAACACCTCCTCATATGAGGGCAAAAATATCTGAAGCTACCTGGGATGCTACAGGCCAGGCTTCCGTTGAACTGGAAACTCCAAAACTACAAATGGGGGCATCTTCAGCCCAAATAGCTCTGGACGGTGCCGAAGTTAGGCTGGAAGACATGGACAACAAGTTCAAAATGCCAAAGTTTCACATGCCAAAGTTTGCTGTGTCCCTTTCAAAAGAAAAAGCCACTCTAGAAGAGGACACTGCCCTATCTTCTGTGGATGTTGAAGTCACTAAACAAGAAATGAAAGCTGATGTGACTCTGCCCTCGGTCAGAGTTGAAGAAGACATTAGGTTGCCCCATGCAAAGACTGAAGCACCGAGCTTGGAAGTAGAGGTTGGAGAAAAAGGAAAATTGAAAATGCCAGATGTCATGATACCCAGTGTAAAAATGACCAAGGGAAAGATGAAGGTATCGGAACCAGAGGTCTCCATCAAAGTTCCTGAGGCAGAAGGCAGCATGGAGAGTGGAGGAATGAAAATTCACATGCCAAAGTTCAAGATGCCCAGCATGGGCCTCTCCAAACCAGATATCAAAGGTCCCAAAGTTGATGTAGACATTAGCCCTCCTAAAGTGGATGTCACGCTTTCCTCAGCAGATCTCAGCATTAACAAACCAGAGCTGAAAACAGGTGACCTGCAGACAGACATCACCATCTCAGGCCCTGATGTCCACATTCCTTCAGGCAAGGTTTCCTTGGAGACGAAAGCACCAGAATTACAATTGGAGGCACCTGCAGCACAGATTGCTCTAGATGGCACTGAGGTAAAGCTAGAAGGTGTAGAAGGCAGGTTTAAAATGCCAAAGTTCCACATGCCAAAGATTGGTGTGTCCCTTCCCAAAGGAAAAGCAACTGCAGAAGGTGAATTTGCCTTGCCGTCTGCAGATGTTGAAGTCACTAAGCCAGAACTAAAAGCTGATGTGACCCTGCCCTCATTTGGAGTTGAAGGTGACATTCAGCTGCCTCAGGCCAGGATCAACGTACCAGACATGGAGGTTGAAGTTGGAGAGAAGGGAAAATTCAAAATGCCAGATGTCAAGATGCCCAGTGTCAAAAAGCCGAAGGGCAAAACTCCACAAGTCGGAGTAAGTCTGCCTAAGGTGGAAGCCGAGGTCTCCCTTCCCAAAGGCAAGACAAAGCTACCAGAAGTAGAGGTCTCTGTCAAGGATTCCGAGGCAGAAGGCAGTATAGATGGTGGAGGAATGAAAATTCACATGCCAAAGTTCAAGATGCCCAGCATGGGCTTCTCTAAATCAGATGTCAAAGGTCCCAAGGCTGATGTAGACCTTAGTCTGCCTAAAGTGGATGTCACACTCTCCTCAGCAGATCTCAGTATTACCAAACCAGAGCTGAAGACAGGTGACCTGCAGACAAACATCAGCATCTCAGGCCCAGAAGTCCATGGTCCTTCAAGTCAGGCTTCTTTGGAACTGAAAGCACCAGAATTACAAATGGAGGGACCTGCGGCACAGATTGCTCTAGATGGCACCCAGGTAAATCTAGAAGACAGGTTTAAAATGCCCAAGTTACACATGCCAAAGTTTGGTGTGTCCCTTCCCAAAGGAAAAACTGTAGAGGGTGAACTTGCCTTACCGTCTGTAGATGTTGAAGTCACTAAGCCAGAACTGAAAGCTGATGTAATTCTGCCCTCGGTCGGAGTTGAAGGTGACATTAAGCTGCCCCAAGCTGAAATCGTATCACCGAGCTTGGAAGTAGAGATTGGAGAGAAGGGAAAATTCAAAATGCCAGATGTCAAGATGCCCAGCGTCAAAATGCCGAAGAGCAAGACTCCACAAGTTGGAGTCAGCCTGCCCAAGGTGGAAGCTGATGTCTCTCTTCCCAAAGGCAAGATTGAGATCCCGGAAGCAGAGGTCTCTGTCAAAGTTCCCAAGACTGAAGACAGCATGGAGGATGGAGGAATGAAAATGCACATGCCAAAGTTCAAGATGCCCAGCATGGGCTTCTCCAAATCAGTTCCCAAAGTTGATGTAGATCTTAGCCTGCCAAAAATGGATGTCACACTTCCCTCAGCTGAATTCGGCATTACCAAACCGGAGTTTGAAACAGGTGACCTACAGACAGATATCAGCGTATCAGGCCCTGATGTCCACATACCTTCAGGTGAAGCTACCTTGAAAATGAAAGCACCAGAACTACAAATGGAAGGACCTGCAGCACAGATTGCTCTCGGTGGCACTGAAGTAAAGCTGGAAGGTGTAGAAGGCAGGTTTAAAATGTCAAAGTTCCACATGCCAAAATTTGATGTGTCCCTTCCCAAAGGAAAAACAACTGCAGAGGGTGAACTTGCCTTGCCATCTGTAGATGTTGATGTCACTAAGCCAGAACTGAAATCTGATGTGACCCAGCCCTCACTTGAAGTTGAAGGTGAGGTTAAACTGCCTCAGGCAGAATTTGAAGCACCAAGCTTGGAAGTAGAAGTTGGAGAGAAGGGAAGATTCAAAATGCCAGATGTCAAGATGCCCAGCGTCAAAATGCCCAAGGTCAAGACTCCACAAGTGGCAGTAAGTCCGCCCAAGGTGGAAGCCGACATCTCCCTTCCAAAAGGCAAGATTGCGCTACCAGAAGCAGAGATCTCTGTTAAGGTTCCCGAGGGAGGAGGAAGCATGGAGAGTGGAGGAATGAAGATTCAAATGCCAAAGTTCAAGATGCCCAGCATGAGCTTCTCTAAACCAGATGTCAAAGTTCCAAAGGTTGATGTAGACCTCAGCCTGCCAAAAGTGGATGTCACGCTTCCCTCAGCAGATCTCAGTATTTGCAAACAAGATCTCGAAACAGGTGCCATGGACACAGACATCAGCATCTCAGGCCCAGATGTCCACCTTCCTTCCGGCCAGGCTTCTTTGCAACTGAAAACACCGGAATTGCAAATGGAGGGACCTGCGTCACAGATTGCTCTAGATAGCACCCAGGTAAATCTTGAAGGTGTACAAGGCAGGTTTAAAATGCCCAAGCTACACATGCCAAAGTTTAATGTATCCCTTCCCAAAGGGAAAACAACTGCAGTGGGTGAATTTGCCTTGCCGTCAGTAGATGTTGAAGTTACTAATCCTCAACTGAAAGCTGATGTGACCCTGCCCTCTGTCGGAGTTGAAGGTGACATTAAGCTGCCCCAAGATGAAATCGAAGCACCGAGCTTGGAAGTAGAAGTTGGAGAGAAGGGAAAATTCAAAATGCCAGATGTCAAGATGCCCGGTGTCAAAATACCCAAGGCCAAAACACCACAAGTGGGAGTCAGCCTGCCCATGGTGGAAGCTGACATCACCCTTCCCAAAGGCAAGATCAAGCTACCAGAAGCAGAGGTCTCTGTCAAGGTTCCTGAGGCAGAAGGTAGTGCGGAGACTGGACAAATGAAAATTCACATGCCAAAGTTCAAGATGCCCAGCATGGGCTCCTCTAAACCACATGTCAAAGCTCCCAAAGTTGATGTAGACCTTAGCCTGCCTAAAGGGGATGTCACACTTCCCTCAGCAGATCTCAGTATTACCAAACCAGAGCTTAAAACAGGTGTCTTGCAGGCAGATATTGACATCTCAAGGCCAGATGTCCACGTTCCTTCAGGCAAGACTTCATTGGAACTAAAAGCACCGGAATTACAAGTAGAGGCACCTKCAGCACAGATTGCTATAGATGGCACTCAAGTAAAGRTGGAAGGTGTGGACAGCAGATTTAAAATGCCCAAGTTCCACATGCCAAAATTTGGCATKTCTCATTCCAAAGGAAAAGCRGCTGCAGAAGGTGAAATCGCCTTGCCATCYGTAGATGTTGAAGTCTCTAAGCCAGAACTGAAAGCTGATTTGACCCTGCCCTCCGTCGGAGTTGAAGGTGACATTAAGCTGCCCCAAGCTGAAATCGAAGCASCGAGCATGGATGTTGAGGTTCGAGAGAAGGGAAAATTCAAAATGCCAGATGTCAAGATGCCCAGCGTCAAAATRCCCAAGGGCAAGACTCCACAAGTCGGAGTCAGCCTRCCCAAGGTGGAAGCTGACATCACCCTTCCCGAAGGCAAGATCAAGCTACCAGAAGCAGAGGTCTCTGTCAAGGTTCCTGAGGCAGAAGGCAGCGTGGAGAGTGGAGGAATGAAAATGCATATGCCAAAGTTCATGATGCCCAGCATTGGCTTCTATACATCAGATGTCAAAGGTACCAAAGTTGATGTAGACCTTAGCCTGCCTAAAGGGGATGTCACGCTTCCTTCAGCAGATATCAGCATTACCAAACCAGAGCTGAAAACAGGTGTCCTGCAGGCAGATATCGACATCTCAGGGCCAGATGTCCATGTTCCTTCAGGCAAGACTTCATTGAAACTGAAAGCACCAGAATTACAAGTAGAGGCACCTGCAGCGCAGATTGCTCTAGATGGCACTGAGGTAAAGATGGAAGGTGTGGACAGCAGATTTAAAATGCCCAAGTTCCACATGCCAAAATTTGGCATGTCTCGTTCCAAAGGAAAAACAGCTGCAGAAGGTGAACTCGCCTTGCCGTCCATAGATGTTGAAGTCACTAAGCCAGAACTGAAAGCTGATGTGACCCTGCCCTCACTTGAAGCTGAAGGTGAGGTTAAACTGCCGCCGGCAGAGTTTGAAGCACCGAGCTTAGAAGTAGAAGTTGGAGAGAAGGGAAAATTCAAAATGCCAGGTGTCAAGATGCCCAGCGTTAAAATGCCCAAGGGCAAGACGCCACAAGTCGAAGTCAGCCTGGCTAAGATGGAAGCCGATGTCTCACTTTCTAAAGGCAAGATTGAGTTACCAGAAGCAGAGGTCTCTGTCAAGGTTCCTGAGGGGGAAGGCAGCATGGAGAGGGAAGGAATGAAAATTCACATGCCAAAGTTCAAGATGCCCAGCATGGGCGTCTCTAAACCTGATGTCAAAGTTCACAAAGTCGATGTAGATCTTAGCCTGATTAAAGGGGATGTCACCCTTCCCCCAGCAGATCTCAGCGTTACCAAACCAGAGCTTAAAACAGGTGACCTGAGGACAGACATCACCATCTTAGGTCCGGATATCGAGGTCCCTTCTGGCCAGGCTTCTTTGGAAGTAAAAGCACCGGAATTGCAAGTAGAGGCACCTGCAGCGCAGATTGATTTAGATGGCACTGAGGTAAAGATGGAAGGTGTGGACAGTAGATTTAAAATGCCCAAGTTCCACATGCCAAAATTTGGCATATCTCTTTCCAAAGGAAAAATGGCTGCAGAAGGTGAACTCGCCTTGCCGTCTGTAGATGTTGAAGTCTCTAAGCCAGAAATAAAAGCTGATTTGACCCTGCCCTCTGTCGGAGTTGAAGGTGACATTAAGCTGCCCCAAGCTGAAATCGAAGCACCGAGCATGGATGTTGAGGTTGGAGAGAAGGGAAAATTCAAAATGCCAGATGTCAAGATGCCCAGCGGCAAAATGCCCAAGATCAAGACTCCACAAGTGGGGGTCAGCCTGCCCAAAGTAGAAGGGGACGTTACCCTTCCGAAAGGCAAGATTGAGCTACCAGAAGCAGAGGTCTCTGTCAAGGTTCCAGAGGCTGAAGGCAGCATGGGGAGTGGAGGAATGAAAATTCACATGCCAAACTTCAAGATGCCCAGCATGGGCTTCTCCAAGCCAGATGTCAAAGGTCCCAAAGTTGATGTAGACCTTAGCACACCTAAAGTGGATGCCACGCTTCCTTCAGCAGATCTCAGGGTTACCAAACCAGAGTTTAAACCAGATGTCCTGCACGCAGATAGTGACATCACAGGGCCAGATGTCCGCATTCCTTCAGGTGAAACTTCCTTGGAATTAAAAGCACCAGAATTACAAGTAGGGACACCTACAGCACATATTGCTCTAGATGGCACTGAGGTAAAGATGGAAGGTGTGGACAGTAGATTTAAAATGCCCAAGTTCCACATGCCAAAATTCGGCATGTCTCATTCCAAAGGAAAAGCGGCTGCAGAAGGTGAACTGGTCCTGCCATCCGTAGATGTTGAAGTCACTAAGCCAGAACTGAAAGCTGATGTGACCCTGCCCTCACTTGAAGCTGAAGGTGAGGTTAAATTGCCGCAGGCAGAATTTGAAGCACCGAGCTTGGAAGTAGAAGTTGGAGAGAAGGGAAAATTCAAAATGCCCGATGTCAAGATGCCCAGTGTCAAAATGCCCAAGGGGAAGGCTCCACAAGTCGAAGTCAGCCTGGCCAAGATGGAAGCCGATGTCTCCCTTCCAAAAGGCAAGATTGAGCTACCACAAGCAGAGGTCTCTGTCAAGGTTCGTGAGGCTGAAGGCAGCGTGGAGAGTGAAGGAATGAAAATTCACATGCCAAAGTTCAAGATGCCCAGCATGGGCTTCTCCAAACCAGATGTCAAAGCTCCCAAAATTGATGTAGATGTTAACCTGCAGAAAAAGGATGTCACACTTCCCTCACCAGATCTCAGCATTACCCAACCAGAGCTGAAAACAGGTCTCCTGCAGGCAGATATCAACATTTCAGGGCCAGATGTACATATTCCTTCAGGCAAGACTTCATTGGAACTGAAAGCACCAGAATTACAAGTAGAGGCACCTGCAGCGCAGATCGCTCTAGATAGCACTGAGGTAAAGATGGAAGGTGTGGACAGTAGATTTAAAATGCCCAAGTTCCACATGCCAAAATTCGGCATGTCTCATTCCAAAGGAAAAGTGGCTGCAGAAGGTGAACTGGTCTTGCCGTCCGGAGATGTTGAAGTCACTAAGCCGGAACTGAAAGTTGATGTGACCCTGCCCTCACTTGAAGCTGAAGGTGAGGTTAAACTGCCACAGGCAGAATTTGAAGCACCGAGCTTGGAAGTAGAAGTTGGAGAGAAGGGAAAATTCAAAATGCCAGGTGTCAAGATGCCCAGTGTCAAAATGCCCAAGGGCAAGACTCCAAAAGTCGGAGTCAGCCTGCCCAAGGTGGAAGCCGATGTCTCCCTTCCCAAAGGCAAGATTGAGCTACCAGAAGCAGAAGTCTCTGTCAAGGTTCCAGAGGCTGAAGGCATCGTGGAGAGTGGAGGAATGAAAATTCACATGCCAAAGTTCAAGATGCCCAGCACGGGTTTCTCCAAGCAAGATGTCAAAGGTCCCAATGTTGATGTAGACCTCAGCCTGCCTAAAGTGGATGTCACACTTCCCTCAGCAGATCTCAGCATTACCAAACCAGAGCTGAAAACAGGTGTCCTGCAAGCAGATATCGAAATCTCTGGGCCAGATGTCCACGTTCCTTCAGGCGAGACTTCCTTGGAACTGAAAGCACCAGAATTACAAGTAGAGGCACCTGCAGCACAGATCGCTCTAGATGGCACTGAGGTAAAGATGGAAGGTGTGGACAGCAGATTTAAAATGCCCAAGTTCCACATGCCAAAATTCGGCATGTCTCATTCCAAAAGAAAGGTGGCTGCAGAAGGTGAACTGGTCTTGCCGTCCGTAGATGTTGAAGTCACTAAGCCAGATCTGAAAGTTGATGTGACCCTGCCCTCACTTGAAGCTGATGGTGAGGTTGAACTGCCGCAGGCAGAATTTGAAGCACCAAGCTTGGAAGTAGAAATTGAAGAGAAGGGAAAATTCAAAATGCCCGATGTCAAGATGCCCAGCGTCAAAATGCCCAAGGGGAAGTCTCCACAAGTCGGAGTCAGCCTGCCCAAGGTGGAAGCCGATGTCTCCCTTCCCAAAGGCAAGATCGAGCTACCAGCAGCAGAGGTCTCTGTCCAGGTTCCTGGGGGGGAAGGCAGCATGGAAAGTGAAGGAATGAAAATTCACATGCCAAAGTTCAAGATGCCCAGCATGGGCTTCTCTAAACCTGAATTCAAAGCTTCCAAAGTTGATGTAGACCTTAGCCTGCCGAAAGGAGATGTCACGCTTCCCTCAGCAGATCTCGGCATTACCAAACCAGAGCTGAAAACAGGTGTCCTGCAAGCAGATATTGACATCAGAGGGCCAGATGTCCACATTCCTTCAGGCGAAACTTCCTTAGAATTGAAAGCACCGGAATTACAAGTAGAGACACCTACAGCACAGATTGCTCTAGATGGCACTGAGGTAAAGATGGAAGGTGTGGGCAGCAGATTTAAAATGCCCAAGTTCCACATGCCAAAATTCGGCATGTCTCATTCCAAAGGAAAAGCGGCTGCAGAAGGTGAACTTGCCTTGCCGTCCGTAGATGTTGAAGTCACTAAGCCAGAACTGAAAGCTGATGTGACCCTGCCCTCACTTGAAGCTGAAGGTGAGGTTAAACTGCCGCAGGCAGAATTTGAAGCACCGAGCTTGGAAGTAGAAGTTGGAGAGAAGGGAAAATTCAAAATGCCAGATGTCAAGATCCCCAGCGTCAAAATGCCCAAGGGGAAGGCTCCACAAGTCGAAGTCAGCCTGCCCAAGGTGGAAGCCGATGTCTCCCTTCCCAAAGGCAAGATTGAGCTACCAGAAGCAGAGGTCTCTGTAAAGGTTCCTGAGGCTGAAGGCAGTGTTGAGAGTGAAGGAATGAAAATTCACATGCCAAAGTTCAAGATGCCCAGCATGGGCTTCTCCAAACCAGATTTCAAAGGTCCCAAAGTTGATGTAGATGTTAACCTGCTGAAAAAGGATGTCACGCTTCCCTCAGCAGATCTCAGCATTACCCAACCAGAGCTGAAAACAGGTGTCCTGCAGGCACATATCAACATCACAGGGCCAGAAGTCCACATTCCTTCAGGCAAAACTTCCTTAGAATTGAAAGCACCGGAATTACAAGTGGAGGCACCTGCAGCACAGATTGCTCTAGACGGCACTGAGGTAAAGGTGGAAGGTGCGGACAGGAGATTTAAGATGCCCAAGTTTCATATGCCAAAGTTTGGTGTGTCACTTCCCAAAGGAAAAGCAACTGCAGAGGGTGAACTGATCTTGCCGTCCGTAGATGTTGAAGTTGCTAAACCAGAACTGAAAGCAGATTTAAAACTGCCCTCCATCGGAGTTGAAGGTGACCTTAAACTGCACCAAGCTGAAATTGAAGCACCGAGCTTGGATGTAGAGGTTGGAGAGAAGGGAAAATTCAAAATGCCCGATGTCAAGATGCCCAGCGGCAAAATGCCCAAGAGCAAAACGCCACAAGTAGGAGTCAGCCTGCCCAAAGTAGAAGCTGACGTCACCCTTCCCAAAGGCAAGGTTGAGCTACCAGAAGCAGAGGTCTCTGTCAAGGTTCCTGAGGCTGAAGGCATCGTGGAGAGTGGAGGAATGAAAATTCACATGCCAAAGTTCAAGATGCCCAGCATGGGCTTCTCCAAGCCAGATGTCAAAGGTTCCAAAGTTGATGTAGACCTTAACCTGCCTAAAGTGGATGTCACGCTTCCCTCAGCAGATCTCAGCATTACAAAACCAGAGCTGAAAACAGGTGTCCTGCAAGCAGATATCGACATCTCAGGGCCAGATGTCCACGTTCCTTCAGGCGAGACTTCCTTGGAACTKAAAGCACCAGAATTACAAATAGAGACACCTGCAGSACAGATYGCTCTAGATGGCACTGAGGTAAAGATGGAAGGTGTGGASAGYAGATTTAAAATGCCCAAGTTCCACATGCCAAAATTTGGCATGTCTCGTTCCAAAGGAAAAGCGGCTGCAGAAGGTGAACTCACCTTGCCGTCCATAGATGTTGAAGTCACTGGCCCAGAACTGAAATCTGATGTGACCCTGCCCTCACTTGAAGCTGAAGGCGAGGTTACACTGCCACAGGCTGAGTTTGAAGCACCGAGCTTGGAAGTAGAAGTTGGAGAGAAGGGAAAATTCAAAATRCCAGATGCCAAGATCCCCAGCRTCAAAATGCCCAAGGGCAAGACTCCAAAAGCTGGAGTCAGCCTGGCCAAGGTCGAAGCCGATGTCTCCCTTCCCAAGGGCAAGATTGAGCTACCAGAAGCAGAAGTCTCTGTCAAGGTTCCTGAGGCAGAAGGCAGCATGGAGAGTGAAGGAATTAAAATTCACATGCCAAAGTTCAAGATGCCCAGCATGGGCTTCTCCAAACCAGATGTCAAAGGTCCCAAACTTGATGTCGATGTTAACCTGCTGAAAGAGGATGACACACTTCCCTCAGCAGATCTCAGCATTACCAAACCAGAGCTGAAAACAGGTGACCTGCAGCCAGACGTCACTGTCTCAAGTCCAGATATCAAAATCCCTTCTGGCCAGATTTCTTTGGCAGTAAAAGCACCGGAATTACAATTGGAGGCACCTGCAGCACAGATTGCTCTAGATGGCACTGATGTAAAGGTGGAAGGTGCGGACAGGAGATTTAAGATGCCCAAGTTCCACATGCCAAAGTTTGGTGTGTCCCTTCCTAAAGGAAAAGCAACTGTAGAGGGTGAAGTCATCTTGCCCTCCATAGATGTTGAAGTCACTAAACCGGAACTGAAAGCTGATGTGACCCTGCCCTCAGTCGGAGTTGAAGGTGACATTAAGCTGCCAGAAGCTGAAATCGAAGCACCGAGCTTGGAAGTAGAGGTTGGAGAGACAGGAAAATTCAAAATGCCTGACGTCAAGATGCCTAGCGTCAAAATGCCCAAGGGCAAGGCTCCACAAGTGGGAGTCAGCCTACCCAAGGTGACAGCTGATTTCTCCCTTCCCAAAGCCGAAGTTGAGATACCAACTACAGATGTCTCTGTCAGTGTTTTCGAGGCAAAAAGTTCTATTGAAGATGGTGAGGCTAATATTCAAATATCAAAATTAAAGATGCCTGGCATGGACCTCTCCAAACCAGATGTCAAAGGCCCCAAAATTGACATGGATCTTAGTTTGCCAAAAGTAGATGCTACACTTCCTGTAGGTGATGTCAGTATTACCAAATCAGCGATTACAACAGATGACCTCCAGACAGATGGGAAAATTACAAAAAGTCAAACCCTTGAAAAGGACACTGCAGAAAAAGAAAGTAAATTTAAGATGCCAAAATTCAAATTACCATCTTTTAGCTGGTCTCCAAAAAAGGAAACAAGTCTTTCTGCTGATATTGATGCAACTTTAGATGATTCCTCAATTGCAGTTTCAACACAGGAACCTGAGTTAACACTCACTGTGGAAGAACCTTCAGGTCAAATTGGAGAACTGGAGGCTCATATGTCTCTTGATAAGGATAGTGAGAAAAGCAAAGTCCGAAAGCCTCAGTTTAGCATGCCAAAAATATCTCTTCCAAAAATGAAGGGTCACAAAGCTGAAGCATCTCTACCACAATTGGAGACTGACATGACAGTATCTATATCTGAGGAAGAAGGAGAGGTTTCACTGCAAATGTCAGAAAAAGAAGTAACTCCTAGTGATGTTAGAAAAGGCATTAAAATGTCCAAAGTCAAACTCCCAAGTTTAGAACTTTCAAAACCAGAAATTAAAGCTCCCAAAATGGATACTGAGGCAAGCTTAACTAAAAGTGATGTCCAAGTTCCTGCACTTGATATTGGTCTTTCTGAACAAGTACCAGGTGATGTTAGTGATGACATTAGTAAATCAGCAGCACAAATTAAAGTTCCTATGGTTAAAGGTCCTGATGTAAGTTTGGAGAGACCATCCACTGAAATATCAGTAGATGGAGCAGAGATAAGAAGTGTCACTATTGATGGGAAGATTAAAAGGTCAAAATTCCAAATGCCAAAGTTTGGAATTTCATTCCCTAAAGGAAAAGTTCCAGAAACTGGTATCAGTCTGCCGTCTGAGAGTATTGATGTTCCCCAGTTGAAAACAACAACAGATATTGGTGATATAGCAATGGAAGCTCCAACATGTGAAGCTGAGTATGAGATCACTTGTACAGAAAAAAAGATTTTGGAAGAGAATATAAAAATTTCCCAAATTCCTACAGGTGACTTGAAGACAGCTGTGGACATCAAAATGCCATCTGAAGGGTTTTCTATGGCACACCCAGAGAGAGAGACTCAATATTCAGATGCTACTGAAACGAAACCCGAGAAAGAGATGAAGATTGGAAGCTTAGATGCAGAACAGAAAGAAGGAAATTTCAAAATGCCAAAATTCAAGTTGCCATCATTTAACTGGTCCCCTAAAAAAGAAGCAACAATTAAAACAAATATAAAAGAATCTCTAGAAGAACCTAAACTTACTGCATATACAGATGCAGAACTAAAAATAGTTCTGTCACAAGATCAAGAAGTCCAGATGGATGAAGATGCTGAATCATCTATCAAAAAAAGTCAAGTGAAAAGGTCTCATTTTATGATGCCCAAAATCTCTCTCACTAAGACCAGGATAGCAAAATCGCAGGATAAAGTAGAGACAGATATTACTGTGGAAAGAGGGGGTGATTTGGTACAAATACCTGACATAGAAAGCAGTTTTACCACAAAGAAAGAAGAAGAAATGGAAATAAGCATCAAAATGCCAAAAGGCATATCAAAATCTGAACTGAAAGCTTCCCACGTAGATACAGACATTACCTTATCCAAAGGTAGTATTGAGGTATCCACAATAGATAGTTCATCCGAAATGAAGAGTTCTGAAAAGGGCTTAGAAGGTGATATAGTTGTAGAAAGAGCAAGTGGAACAATTGAAGACAAGGAGGGGAAGATTAGGTTGCCAAAACTCCAAATGCCAAAATTTGGAATTGCAGTTACTACACAAGAATGGCCAGAGAGTGGCATCACCTCAACAGAAATGGAAGCCGAAGTACCTCAAAAGCAACTTACAATAGAAACAGATGGATTTAGTGGAGACATTCCAACTTTAGAAGTTAAAACTGATGCCAGTGACGTAAAGGTTTCAGCTGGAAAAATTAAAATGGCACAAACTGCCAGAGGCGAGATCAAAGCATCTGACTCATCTGTTGTCAGTCCTGATGAAAAGGATGTAAAATCCCAAGGAGAACTTGAAGCTAAATCTGGAGAAGTTCAGACTGAGGATTCACAGGGTTGGTTTAAAATGCCAAAATTCAGGATGCCTTCATTTGGTAGATCAAAAGGCAAAAAAAGTGATATTGAAGTTGAAGACAGCACTGGCAAAGCTCCAATTGCTGAAGGAGAAGTTGAAATATCAGCTTCTGAAGTTGAAATACAATCTGCCCACGTGGATACAGAATCATGTGCTGGAAAGAATCTTTTTGAAGGCAAAGTAATTTTTCTTCAAGAGGAGATGGCTGACAGTGGAATTTCAGTACAGAAAGAAAAGGAATCTGATGTTGGCCTATTAGATGAAGCCAGACTTTCACAACTCTCTGGAAAAGCAGACCATAAACTAACTGCTCTTGGGACGAGAATCACTGAAGAAGATTTTGAAATAATAGACTTCCCAATAGAGGGTTTTGAACAAGATGTACTCACAGAAGACAAAGTGAAAGTAGAAGATACAGATGGGTTGAGTAAAGCCAAAGCATCCAAATTTAAGATGCCAAAATTTGGCAACCTGCGTACCAAATCAAAAGTTTCAGAGGTTCTTACTGAGCCAGCCAAGATGGAGATTGAGGTGTTACCAGGGAAAACCAAAGATGTGACATTAGACATTCAGACTCAAAGAATTGAATGTTCTGCTGATATAAAAACAGATTTTTCAGAAGAACCAATAGACTTTATAGATAAACACTTCGAAGATTCTGAACAAAGTTTCCATATTACCAAATTTAAAATGCCCAAGTTTACATACAGAACATCTACAGTGGAAGAACAAATTTTGCCTTCAGAAGGGATGGTAGATAAGAAATCTACTGAAATTGATACTGATGGTGCACTTCAACCAGAATTCAGAACTACATTACTTGAAGAGAAAATAGACGGCAAAGGCAGTGTCCAAACATCAAAAGTCAGGATTACAACATTATCTGAACCTACCATTCAAAGAACGCACATGGAATGCAAACTCCCTTCTACAGAGTCTTCTTTTGCAGAAACAACAACACACATCAAGAGGCCAACAGAATTCAGTTGTGGATTTCCTGCAGAGATAACACAAACCACAGATGGCAAAATCCAAAAATCAATTGCCAAAATTAGCACAGTAATGGAGCCAGATATTCGGACAACACAACTTGAAATTAAACTTCCATCAGATGAATCATTTATCTCAAGTAAAACATTGCATATGCAAGAATCCTACAAAGAGAGCAAAGAGATTAAAATAGTAAGTAAATCTGAATTTAGTAAGGCTGATGAGGAGGAATCTTTCTCCACTCAAATAGTGAGAGAATCTGAGATTCCACCTTCAGAAGTTAAAACTGCTGCCTATGGGTTTTCTCTTCTCAAAGTGAAAATCCAGGAATCACATGTGACTGTAGATAAACCAGTCAAAATATCTTCAACTGATATGACTGAAACATTTGAAAGTAAAGATCACCAGCTATCCGATGAAAGTTCAGAACAACCAACACAAAAGACTGGTTTCACTGAAATGAAGTTATCTCACAAAGGCGAAGACAGTGGATTTACTGAAGGCCTGTCTTCTACTACTACACTGACAAAAGTGAAAGCATTCACCGTTGAAGTACAATCTTCCAGTGACTTTTCAGAGAGCCATCATGATAAGCAACCAGAAGAGATGTCTGAATCTGCTGTAGCAGTTACAGAAGAAACTAAAATTGTAGGTACTGAAGCAGAGCCAACTGATCAAAAAGAAAAATCTGATAGTAAGAGGTCACCTGGCCGGTTTAAATTTTGGTTTCAAAATATTGGGTATTCATCCTCTGCTGATGATGCAACCTCAGATTCCAAACCTGAAGATCAAAAATCATTGCCGGAACCCGAGCCTGATCCATCATCCACATCGGACAGTGAGTCTTCCAAACAAACTGAGAAAGCTGGGTGGTTTAGACTTCCCAAGTTAGGTTTTTCATCTCCAACAAAAAAGAGCAAGGAAACTAGCAAAGAAGAAGATCTAGATCCAACAGAAAAAAAACAGGATGATGAAAGTCCAACAGAAAAAGCAGAAACGTTTTTTGATGCACAAGAAACCTTATCACCTAAAGATACAATTACAGAGAAAGAAGAAGGAGACATCTCAGGAGCCTTACCTTGTGAGCCCATTGTTTCATCTTCAGCAAGAACCGAACTGATCCTGCTAGAGAAAGAGAAAGCTACACTCCAAAGCATTCCAGAAGAGGCATCAAAATAAGCTGGTCCTCCTCCGCAATTTAAAAACATACTCAAACGGAAAGAAGTTAAAAAGCAAACAGTTTTGAAACACCAGAAAATACATTGCCTTCTTTGTAACATACAGAAAGAATACATTAAATTACAAGGATCAAACAAATTTTGTATATTCCATTTGTGTTTACAAGTTAATACATAGATAAATAGTTCCTAAGAAAGAGATCTGTTGTGTGAGACATGTGTATAAAAAACAAGAACAGACAAGCAAAACTACTGATAAAAAGAAACCAACAATGATCCTTTCTGCTTTTCATGGAATAACATTTTCTTTAAACCAGTCTGGAGGAAGAAAAAAATTGGACATTAAACGTCAATAATCAAAGAATGATTTGTTTTAGGTTATTTTCAGAAAATAGAAGAAGCTAGCGCTGGAAAAATTAGTATCATGTTTCCTTTTTTAAAGTTTATTTTTCTAACTGTATTTCTGCTGCTATCATATGAAAGAATATATATTTTCATTATATTTGAACAATAGGTATATTGCAGGATCATTTTAAACATAGACCAAATGGAAATAGTACTATCAATGTTAAGCATCTAGTCTACAATCCAGTTCATCCAATGTATCAGGAGCTAAAGCAATTTAATACCATTTATACTTGCATCAGCATACCTATCTATTATATCCCTGAAATGGTAATATTATAATCCCGTATTTTCTGATGTTCTGGCACAGCTGTAGTAACCTGTTCTGACCACTTATATACCAGGAAAGCACATCTAAAGGCTGTTTCTGAAATGTCTTTTCATTGTCAGCAATCTTCATACCAGTGTCTTAAGCTCTGGGTCAGTCAGTGTGCCTTTTGGAGTTTTCTGCATTATACATGTCACACTCAAAAATAATGCCTGCACTTACATCCAATTTATAATAAAAAATTACGGTATTTGCTGCTGTGGTTAAAGCCACTGCAGATGTTTTTAGGATTCTGTACTGAGGAGCCAAAAGTTGAATCCAGTATATGGCAAGATATGTACATGGTTAGCTTTTCACAGGCTGGAAGAAACTAAGGCCTCTTCCAAACTGCCCCTATGCCCCAGGATCTGATCCCAGATTATCATCTTATCCCAGATTATCTGACATTGGAGACTCATATAATCCAATTTAAATCAGACAATGGCCCCAACACACTGAAACATTTTCCACTTTTACAGTGAAGGCATCCCACAGACAGATCATGCAATAACTTAAAATAAGGTGTATATAATAATTTAAACTTCTGAAAGCAGCGAAAATTTAGCTACTTCCTGCTTTCTTGGATTTCTCATTAGGTACAGAAAAGTCGTTTAAAAAATAATACAACTTCACAGGAAAATACAGTTTGCTTTCAATGTGTGTGCTTATATAAATATATTATCAATTGTCAATAGCCATATTCACTTATAGACAAACTTTTGTGAATGCAACCCCTGAGCGCTTTTTTTGTGCCCATCTCCTCCGTGGTAAAGATAATTTTCTCTCATATCAGGTAGAGTTCAGAAATTGAGATATTTCTAATCCACATCACTATAGGCCATGCTGAATAAAGAATTTTACAAACCATTTCAGGTACAAATATGTGGTTACAACTAGATAATAACTTATACAAGCCTAAATACAGGCACTGGGCAGACTAGATTTTTGTTTTCTGTCAGTGTGCTTGGAATAACCTTGACACAAATGCACCAGCCCATTCAAAAGTGTCATTCATTGACATCAGTCTTAAGACAAGGGTTTTAAGATTTCAATAAAAAGAACTTTCTGAACCAGACTTTATCATCAGAAAAGGAGTCCCATTCAGTGGGCATGAAGTGGCTTAAGATCAGTTACTTCAGTGTGACTGGAAATTCACATGTAAATTAAAAATATCGAACCAGGAGTTTAATCTAAGGTGTGTATACGGGAAGGAGCCTATGCAAGTACAGTAGTTTTAAAGCTTTCCTAGAAATATAAGTTGTAAATAGTTATCATTTGCCTTTTAGATGATTTTTAAAAATGCTTCTTGCAAGTACGCAGCCAACGAGGTAGTACATACCTGTTTAAATATTGTGCTTATGTAATGACAAGAATGTCTAATGTATCCTGGGTTATCCTCCTGATGTGGAAATAAAAACATTATCAACAGAATTGTGGTTATCATTCTGAGTTTGAAGAAATACTATCCATCCTGACCTAGGAATGTTGCTATCTAAAACTCTGGGGGGAAATCTTACGTATGTTTGGGTTTTAGGACCAAGATTCCCAGTTAAAGCAATATATCACAGAAAGCCTCCCATTCGATTACAACTCCTGAATGTCTGTAGCCCTGTATGGTTTCAGAATTACCCATGAGTTACCAGTCACTACACTCGACAAAGGAAATTCAGTGAATTGCAATGTACCTTTGTAAGGATGTGCTTGAAGACCACAGAATGTTTCGTGAAGACATGTTACTCCTGTACAGCCCTACATGCTAGACTAGCAATAGACTGCTAGCTAGCGTCTATGTGTTTTGCCCTGGAAATATTAATAAATAATGGGTGTTAAGAATCACATAACTTTGAGTGCATCTAGACCAGACATGGACAAGCTTTGGCCCTCCGGGTATTTTGGACTTAACTCCTACCAGCTGTTAGGAATTGTACGAGTTGAAGTCCAAAACACCTGGAGGGCCAAAGTTTGCCCATACCTGGTCTAGACTATAGAATGAATGCAGTTTAACACCACTTTTAACTGCCATGGCTCAGTGTTATGGAATCCTGGGAGATGTAGTTTGACAAGCTCCTAAAGCCTCTTTCCAGGCCCTTCCAGACAGCCTCATAATCTGGGACAAAAAATTGCAGTAACTGAAAGCAAGTCCAAACTCGGTGCTGTCAGTCCTAGCAGATAGTCCCCTGGTGTCCAGAAAGGTTTGTTTGTAGCAATTTTTTCAAAATGGACACTGATATCTGCCAGAAGTTTTATTTATTTATTAATTGATTTTCAGAGATGCACTGGACCTCATAAGTGGTGATACAGATATCTCAATGTGTACACAAGCAAATTTCTTGTCATTATCTCTCCTCACCCTCCTGCTGCCTTGACGTTTTCCTTCTTCAAACCCTGTTTCCCATTGCAATCACTTGCTTGCCATGCTGGTTCCCACTGTGTAAATTCAAGTTCTGTTTAATTTCATAAATACGGGGAAAAACAGAATTGCAGAGAGTTCTCATGGGAATTGCTTTCCAATTGTGCTTCCATTTAGCCACCGCCATCTCTTTACAGCCCTCATGAGCTGTTTTGGGATTTTAAAATGTGCACGTCTTGGAGAAATGGAAATCTCCATAACCTTTTGTGAAAATGTCACACCCTTTTAGGAAATGGAAATCTCCATAACCTTTTGGAAAATGGCATTCATTACCATTTGGTAAAACCAGAAATCTCCTTGAGAAGACTTAAAAACTTGCTTGAGTCAACCTTCTCCTTAGTGGTAAATATCCACTAATATACATGCAAGGAGGATGATCCAAATGCACTGCTTCTAAGCTGCAAGTTTTCTTCTCCTTGGATTTCTTTGAGAGCATCCCAATCCCTGCATATTTCCAATTTCCTATTCCTGGACTGCAACTCCCAGCAATCCTCCAAATAGATAGATTAGACAGAGATAGGTAGGTAGTTAGGTCGATAGATAAATCAATCAGGAGGACTGCTGGGAGTTGCAGTCCAAGAATAGGTAGAGAATGCAGAAAGGGGAGAAAGAGGAAGGGAAAGAAAAGTGGGAGGGGAGGAAGGGAAGAAGAAGAAAAGGAAGGAAGGAAGGAAGGAAGGAAGGAAGGAAGGAAGGAAGGAAGTAAGGAAGGAAGGAAGGGGAGAAAAGGAGAGAAAGAAAGAAGAGAAAGAGGGAGGGAAGGTTGGCCACAACAGCACATGGCGAGTACATTTAGTCTAAATAAATAAAAATGTTATGTTTGTTTGTGGGATTAACATAACTCAAAAACCACTGGATGAACTGATACGAAATTTGGACACTACACCCCTAACAGAGCAACGAGTGATCATCACTCTTAAACCCTTCCCAAAAAACAGCAGAAAGGACTTAAAAACCCAAAAAAGCTAAATGACGATACAGCGCATGAACAAAAACGGCAACTGCTAGCATCCCCTAGGCCAGGATCTTTAGGGGAGGAGGATGCTCCAAATGCACTGTTTCCAAGCTACAAGCTTGCTTCTCCTTGGATTTCTTTGAGAGCATCCCAATCCATACATATTTCCTATTTTCTATTCCTGGACTACAACTCCCAGCAATCCTCCAGATAGATAAGATAGATAGATTAGATAGTGATAGATAATAGGTAGATAGATCAATCAATCAGGAGGACTGCTGGGAGTTACAGTCCAAGAATAGGTAGAGAAGGAAGAAAGAAGAGAAAGAAAAGGGGAGGGGAAGGAAGGAAAGAGGTAGAGAAGGAAGGAGAGAAAGAAAGGAGAGAAAGAGGGAGGGAAAGTTGGCCATAGCAGTGCAAGGCGGGTACAGCTAGTAAGGAATATATAGCGAGACAATGAAAGATGCTATTGCATCACTCAGCAATGCATCTGAACCCTGGATGTTGTACCTCCCTTTCTTTCCCCCTAAATAAAAGGGATGGGAAGAATGTGGGATATACTTCCCCATAGCGATATTCCTCACTTATCCTAGCAGGATTAGAAGCAAGCCAGCCATTGTATTGTTTCGCTTAATCCATTATCCAAGCAATTAATCATTGAATTGGCAGCTACCTCAAGAGTTATCTAATGCAGTCTCTTGCCAATGGAGGAACAAGACGGTTCTAGGGTGCCTGGTTATTATTTACTCCACGCATCTGAGAAAGCAGATTAAGTACACGAAAGATTATGTTACAACTTCTTTCAGTTAGTCTCAAAGGTGCTACAAGAGCCAGTTGCATACCATTATTCTGAGTTCATTTCCCACTGGAATGAGATACTGGAGATTAACTGGTGCTGTGTAAAATTTGTTTATCAATCCCATATCTGTTGGGGATACAAGATACTGTGGCTATTAGTGAACCTTCTTGAAACAAAGGACTTGAGGCCCAAGAATATCATGCATTCACACCAGAAAATGCACAGAGAAGATATATTTGAAGGACAAGGAGAAATAAAACAGTAGACGCTGATCCTATGGATATGGGAACCTTACACAGTTCTGACGTAAATGGAAATACAGTATTAAGTAGTCTTAAGATCATTAAAGTGTTGACAAACTGCATTAATTCTGCAGTGCTGTCAAACTGTATTAAAATGCTGTGAAACTGCATGAATTTTACAGTGTAGATGTACTCGTTAATCACTAGAAATGGATAGAGATGAAAATGAATATAATAATACAGAGGGCAATACAAATTTAATTAAAGCATCTGTATTTCTCAGACATTTACCAGAGAGAACTATAGATACAGTTTTAGGTAGTTGTCTAAGATCCATTTGAATTGTGGGAATGAAGTCGAGGAGGAATTTGGAAGGGTCTCGCCCTGAAGGAGAGACCCTGCGGACCCACCAAAGAGGGCTCGCTACTTTGGTGAGCAAAAGAAAAGAAGCCGCAGTTTAAAAGATTTCCCTAAGTTCACAAAAGAATCTCACCAAAGCTGAAGGAAGCGCCACTGAGTTGATTTTATTGCAACCCAGCTGGAAAGGATGCAAAGCCGCAATAATTCGTCAAGCAAAGCATACATTGAATACAAAATAAAGATTTTTTAATACATATACAGAGCTGTCTGATTGGTTGGCGCTCTACAGCTGGGAGGAGGCTTGGCCGCCTCCTGAACTCCTTAACCAATGGGTGAGGTCACGCCACTTCGGCCTCCTGGCCAATCAGGAGAGGAGGCAGCAAGACGAGAGGGAAACAATGAGAACTGGAGTGGATTATGGAAATATGTGGTGCCCATGTGGTCAGCAAGTCCTCAGGGGGCCTTCTAGCCGACCAGCCTATTGTCTTGAGGGGTGGCAATCAACATTGATGTCTGGCGAGATGGCCAGAATCCAGATTTTTCTTGAACTGAGATATGGAGACAATGGGGTAATCCTGGCTGTAGTTTTGGTGGATGGAAGATAACTGAGAGAACAGATCAGGACAAATTGTGGCTTTCCGAAGGCCCTTTGTCCTGTTGAGATATGATCAATCATGCCAAGTGGGCACCTTCTCCTGGGGAGCCAAACTCCGAGCCCCAGGGTCAAAGCCCATTGTATTGTCCATACAAATATGTCTTTTGACAAAGTTTTTTTTCCAAACAGGAGATTTCCTCCTTCCAGGGTCACTGGGAGTGGCTTCTTATATTTTTTATACATTCTTAATAAAAGGGAATAGGACAGAAGGGTCGGGCAAAGGTCATTCATAGGGAGCTTGAAAAGGTAAAGTTTCCAAAAAGTTTCTAAAAGCCCTTCAGAAGGGAAAAAAGTCCCATAGAAGTTCAAGAAAGTACATAAGTGAAAAGGAAGGTGGTTTCTCAGTAATAAATGTGTTACCTTCTGCTATATATGAAACATAGGGCATAAAACCTTGATTAAATGTACACACTATCTAACATGGGAAGGGTCCTTGCTGTTGTTGTTGTTGTTGTTGTTGTTGTTGTTGTTGTTATTGTTAGTGTCTTGGCAAATTGACCAAGGCTTAACCCTTATTATCCAGTCTGGTGTCCTTGTCCTTAGCAAAACTATAAGTTACTATTTTTATGGGGGGGGTCATATTCGACTTCAGGAACAGTGAGTGGTTTACAAAGCAGTAGCAGAGCATTTGATGTTAAAGCTGGTTAGCGGAGAGAACCAGTTATAATTTTGAAGGCATTGCCACCTTGTGGCATTTTGTAAATGCAACAGCTGCTGCACACAGTTTCTTTTTTGAACTAGGTTGCAGTTTGCAATTTTACACCAAGTGTTTTGTGCAATACAAGTGTACTGCATACCTATCATATCTTTCCCAAGTTATCCAAATTAGAGATCTGAGATGGTCACTCCTGGAGATCAGTCACAACATCCCAGGTTAATAATAGCTCTGCCCCTGGCAGACCATGATGATTGACCATCATTTGAAGCAGACAGATATCAATTCTAATATAAAGTGATTACCAGAAGAGATGGACCTAGTGAATGTTTGATCTTTGTTTCACTTCTGTTTGTTGTTCTTTGATCTATCTGCTCAAGCCTTTGGCTTCCTTCCTACCTGTTTAGGACCAAGTCCTCCTTTCTTTAAGAACTCAGGGCCCTTCCACACAGCCCTATATCCCAGAATATCAAGGAAGAAAATCCCACAATATCTGCTTTGAACTGGTTTATCTGAGTCCACACTCAGATAATGTGGGATTTAGCCTGAAGAAGAGAAGGCTGAGAGGAGATATGATAGCCAGGCCTGTAGCCAGGATTTCGTTTCGGGGGGGGGGGGGCTGAATTTTTTTCAGGGGGGTTCAGGGGGTGCTGAGTTTCGGGGGGGGGCTGAGTCTGAGTGGAAGAGGGTCTAGCCTAGCAAACCTTTTGTATCATTACCCCAATACCTCCATGCATATGGGATATATTGAGTATGGTGATCAGATCATGATATGAATAAACATAACAGTTTAAATAATGCCCCAGTAAGGCCTTTTCACGAACCACCATGAGAATTTCGGGGGGGGGGGGGCTGAAGCCCTCAACCCCCCCCCCCCCCGCGGCTACATGCCTGATGATAGCCATGTATAAATATGTAAGATCTATATAATAAAATAATAAAAGGAGAAAAAATTCTGCCATCATGGGAACAGTCATTGATCACTTTGGAAGCTTTTAAACAGAGGTTGGATGGCCATCTGTCAGGGGTGATTTGAATGCAATATTCCTGTTTCTTGGCAGGGGGTTGGACTGGATGGCCCATGAGGTCTCTTCCAACTCTTTGATTCTATGATTCTATAATTCTATGATTCTGCCTTGATATTCTGGGATATAGGGCTGTGTGGATGGGCCTTCAGTCTGTGTATTCCCTTTGTCTGGAAGGGGACATCCAATTCTTATAATTGCTGCCAGCTCACTCCGTACACTTTATAATATAGGTCTTTTGTCTATCTCCTTTCCTGTCCTAAGATAGATTCACTAAGGCAACAAAAGTTTAAAAAAATGCAAGTGCATTGCACTAGCCCTGCTGCTTTCTTCTTAATATGAATTCTAAATATTCCTGCAGCCAGGTAAGGAGCAAAACAAGTCATGCCAGACTAATCCGATCTCTTTTTTTGATATTTACTTGGTTGTTTATTTATTTATTTACTATACTTGTATACCGCCCCTCTCAGCCCAGAGGTGACTCAAGGCGATTTACATTTGGCAATCAAAGAGTTACAAGCTGGGTCATGCAGGGAATTCCATGGATGTAGCGTATCTGCATTTCAGTAAGGCCTTCAACAAGGTCCCCCATGACCTTCTGGCAAACAAAACAGTCAAATGTGGGCTAGGCAAAACTACAGTTAGGTGGATCTGTAATTGGTTAAGTGAACGAACCCAAAAGGTGCTCACCAGTGCTTCCTCTTCATCCTGGAAAGAAGTGATGAGTGGAGTGTTATAAGCAGGGTTCTATCCTGGGCCCAGTCCTGTTCAACATCTTCTTTGGAAGCTTTTAAACAAAGGCTGGGTGGCCATCTCTTGGGGATACATGAATGCAATTTTCCTGCTTCTTTACAGGGGGTTGGACTGGATGGCCCATGAGGTCTCTTCCAACTCTATGACTCTTTGATTCTATACCAAACAAAACAACTCCTCCCCTCTATTCATATTTCTAAACACAACTATGAATTAACCACACAAAAGCTGGTGCTGAAGATTGTCCAAACTCTGCAAGAAACAGGGAAGGAGGAGGACAACAGCTTTTCCCATTTTCTCCACCTTAATCTGGATTTTCAAAGCACAGCAGAACTGTAGACCAATCAAAGTATGTTTTTCTATATAAACAAGCTGCAGTAGCTTCTTAAAAACAGACTGCAACAATAAGGAACAGATCTATGAAATTTTCAATACAGTGCTCTCACCCTGAGATTTTTCCCCATTCTGTGAATTTTCTGCCTTGATATTCTGGATTATATGGCTGTGTAGAAGGGCCCACAGTATGATTAGTCATAGATCATGTCTCCAGTGACGGCCAACTTACAATTGTCTTCTTTTATAACATCTTTTAGCCACTCCCCAATACACAATATAGAACATAATTTTAGTATGAGAATCCAGTTTGAAACACCCTGTATTTTACATCTCACAAATGCATGACAAAGAACCCAAAACTCATTGGTAACATCAATAAAATATCACCAACAAAAGTAATCTAGTTTCCTTTTAATTGTATATATCAATCTTTCCAAGTACAATCTTTCTGTCTAGGCAAATCTTCCATGTTTATTGAGTATCTGGAATTCCAGTCTCGTTCAAAAAGAATCTTCAGTTGTTCCTGTATTGTTGGAGTCTTCCTTGCAGGATCTATTGAAGACTGGCTAACGATCAGTCCCACACCCGCAGTGTTGGTGAAGTATTCTTCTGCCCAATTAGAAGTTCCTGGAGATTATATCAAATACAGAATATGAATATAAGAGTATAACTTCCAGCTTCCTCTCCACCCCTAATGACAACATCCATTATGACTAATACTCATAGCAGACCTTGGAAAATCTAAATCAATAACGATAACTCCCAGAATTCTCCAGCCTTATCTGGAGCACTTGGGACCAGGTTGAGAATCCCTTATTTGGGATGTGTTTTTCTTCAGATTTCTAAATACCTGTGTTTGCATATGAGTCCATCTACACTATAGAATTGATGCAATTTGATACTACCTTAACTGCCATGACTTATAGAATCCTGGGACCTGTAGTTTTACAAGGTTTTTAGCCTTCTCTGCCAAAAAGTATTGGTGCTTTATCAAAATGCGACTCCCAGAATCCCAAAATACATTGAGCCAGAATGGTTAAAGTGCATTATTAATTTGACAGTGTAGATGAGAGCTTAGTTATAGGACCCCCAAGTCTAAATACTAAATGTATTTAGAATTTTTGTACATGTAATGCACATAGCCCAAAGGTATTTTATACATAATATTTATGAATGAAACAAAGTTTGTGTACATTTAACAATTGGAAATCAAAAGTGTTATTATGTCAGTGGCCCAGGATTTTGAAGTAATTTTGGATTTCAAAATTTTGGATAAGGGTGTACCACCTGTAATACATGAGCCTCATTCCAAACCATAGTGCTTACCAACATAGGTTGCCTTCTCAGTAACCATGTATTTATTGTGATTCAGTCTCGCATAGGGAATATTGGTGTAGTTTCCAATAGGTACAATGAAGATTTTCTGATAATAAATAAATACAAAACATGAATGATGAAACACATTGTGATTGTATGAAATTGCACAAAATGCTGGCATTTCCAATTAACAGATTAATATAAAATATCTTATGTCTGAACTACACTAGCCATAACCTTGAATATGACCTGGACTTTTTTTGTCTGATTCGCCAACAAAGAGAACATGCAACAGGAAAGAATAACAGTACTTTGAGTCCCCCCAGGGGTGAGAAAATACTGTAAATAAACTGTAAATAAATACTTAAATACAATTAATGATGCTTTGGAACATTCAGAAATGCTAGGACTCTAAAGGCAAGTCCGTATTATTATTCCCTTATTACAGACTGAAGGTCCAAGCTGCAAGAATGGTATTTTGCCTCAGGCCACCTAGAAAGTTACAGGCAGAGGTAAGGTCTGAACCAAGTTCTTCTCACTACAAGCAGCTTTGCCAGAAGCACCAATCCTGAGATAACATTTACCAAATGGCCAAACGAGATGGTTAGCCTCCTAAGTAATACAGAAGACTTTTACCACAGATCAGACGGCCATGTCTGACCAAATAGTAACTTGTTATATATTTACTCAACCAACTTGTTAATGGATCCAATTTGCCCCATGATAAATTCAAAGCCAGCTTTTTGTCAGGCAGCATGACTATGCCATTTTAGGATAACAGGAAAAATTGTAATAAAAAGTCATTTAATAAGTTCAGTAGGCTTGTGCAATTTTGCTGGAGGGTGATCCATTTTTGGTATCTGGATTTCGTTGGGTACCCAGATTCGTTTTCAGGAAAATCATTTTCAGGATTTTCTCGAAAATCAACTAATGGAAAAATCTGTTTTGACTAGGCAGCCAAAAGATCCAGGATGATTTGGCCCATTGGTGTGAATGGGGAACTTTCGAGGCTTCTCTTTCCATTTCTGGGACCCTTTCCTATCTTCCTTTCAAGGGAGTCTGGGTTTGAAGAACAGGGTTAAGGAAGCATCCTTCCTGGGACCCTTTTCTTTCTTCTGTTCAAGGAAGTTTGGGTTTGAAGAACGGGGTTAAAGAAGCAGTGTGTAAGACACGTCACAGTGTTCTTCTGTTCTGATTGGTGAACAAGCAGGATTCACATGGAAAACCCATATGAGCAGCACACAGGAGCCTATCTCTGCACCACGTGGTGCCAAATAGGGGAGGGGGAGCAGTGATCAGCTGCCACGTGGTCCCGTTACAGACGGGGGGGGGGGGGACTTAACAGCTGAGCCTTTACCATTACAGCCATCCAACCAAGCCAAACAAGCCAGATTGGCCAAAGGGAACCAACCATTAGACACAAGCCTAATGTTCAGTATATACTCATGTATAAAGTTTAAAAAAGATTAAAAAACGACCTAAAAAGCCTGGGTCAAGCTACACATGGGACAATTCTGGAACATGAATACTTTAACTAAAACACCCACTAAAGCCCGAAGAATGCTTGTTTTACCACTTCTATGGTGATGTTAGTGCTTGGATTGTTGAGGACACTCAGTGATTTCAGGAAATGAAACATGGACGGATCAGTATGGATCCAGCAGCTGACCAAAAGCCGTATCAGTATATTATGGCCAAGTGCCGCATTTCTGAGAGCGTTGTCGATGGGTGGCCAGTATCTACAAAAACAACACCATAATATTAGCAATGGAAAGTACAGCATGCACAGTTATCATTCCACTGTTCCATTTTTTTTCAAAAAGGAAAATGGCCTAGAACAGTGGTTCATTACTTTGGGTCCTCCAAGCGTTTTGTACACGTCCCCCCCCCCCCCCCCCGCCTTTGTGGGAAAGCTTGGTATTTAAATTAGCATGCAGAAGACAGTATCAGACACATTTGGTCCATTCCATTAGGATGAAAAGTTTTTGTTATATACTTCATAGAATCTTAGAGTTGGAAGAAACCAAAAAGACCATCTAGCCCTGTGGTTCTCAACCTGGGGTCTCCAGATGTTTTTGGCCTACAACTCCCAGAAATCCCACCCAGCTTACCAACTGTTAGGATATCTGGGTGTTGAAGGCCAAAAACATCTGGGGATCCCAGGTTGAGAACCACTGATCTAGCCCGAGCCCCTTCCATACATTAATACACAATCAAAGCACTCCCCACAGATGACTATAGAGTCCAGATAAAGGTTAACCATTTCAATAAAAAGCAGGCCCACATAATTCAAATTGCTTGTTGCAGAGACCATACAATCATTATTGAGCTAAATACATATACATTCTGGTTTAATCTGATACCTTGGTGGGTGGCTGAAGCGGCTTGTAGGAAAGTACTCCATCATGGAGATATAGAGAAATTCTTCTGCATCATAGATAACATCAAGAACTGTTACAAGGTCAAAGGTACGACCCCCTGGGCAAAATGAAGATGGAGAAGCCTAAAGCAAAGGAGAACTTTAATTACTACAACAGCATCATCTATCTATTCCAAATTCATTCCTTTAAAAAAATATCTTCCCAGCTGCAAGAAGGCTCCTTTTAGATACATATTTGCTGTTCTGAGCCCTCTTGAATTATGAAAGTGTTGTCCACACCTATATACCTGGCATTAAGAATGCTTTATTTTGTGATTAGCCATTGTATGACCTTAAATTTGTACATTTGATTGCTAAGGCACATATCTCTGAGAAGAGCTGATTTCAAGAGGAGACACATTATTTTTAAAGTCTAGTACCTTGGGAAGTCTGACTTGGCCATGGTAGTCCACGCTCTGGTTACATCCCGCATAGACTACTGCAACGCTCTCTACGTGGGGTTGCCTTTGAAGACTACTCAGAAGCTTGAAATGGTCCAGCGTTCGGCAGCCAGGTTGCTAACAGGAGCAGCACTCAGGGAGCATACTATTCCTCTGTTGCGCCAGCTCCACTGGCTGCCAGTTTGCTACCGGGCACAATTCAAAGTGCTGGCGTTAGCCTATAAAGCCCTAAACGGTTCTGGCCCTACTTACCTCTCCGAACGCATCTCCTCCTATGAACCGACTAGGACACTAAGATCATCTGGGAAGGCCCTGCTCTCTGTCCCGCCTGCATCACAGGCGCGCTTGGTGGGGACGAGAGACAGGGCCTTCTCAGTGGTGGCCCCTCGGCTGTGGAACGCCCTGCCTGCAGATATCAGATCGGCCCCCTCCCTGCTGGCGTTTCGGAGGAAAGTGAAGACCTGGCTGTTCGAACAAGCATTTGATTAAACAGTGTAATTGAACATAGGAATACGGAATAATGGATGATGAGACTGGATTGTGATTTTACTGTTGAGGCGCTAATGATTGTTATACTGATGTTTAATGATTTATCTTACAATTGGTTTTAATTGCCCTATACTTGTCTCGTGATGTTTTGTATCGATGTTGTTCACCGCTTTGAGTCGCCTGAGGGCTGAGAAAAGCGGTAAATAAATAAATAAATAAATAAATAAATAAATAGTATGATCTTGAGCCTACTTACAGAAAAATATGCTTTGGTGGAGGTTCCATTGAAGTGTATTTCCAAAGGTTTCTCCCTATTAATATCGGTAGAATAATTGCTTGGCCATGGAGATGGGATGGTGGCATTTGGCTCCCCAAGATCCCAATATGTTTTGAAGGTTTTCCAAAGATCATTAGCTAAAGAACTGCAGTTACTGATCAAAACACCCAGCTCTTTCACCTGCAGAAATGAAAACACAAGTGAGCGGCATTCCAATCCTCCTTCATCTGAGACCAACTGAACTGATTTGCCCATGGTCACCCTGCGGATTTCCATGACTGAGCAAGGATTTAAACCCTGGTCTCCAAACCACTACACTACATTGGGTGTCAATCATAGTTTTAGATAAATGCCTGTAACAAAGTATTAGTAATTTATTCTACTTTTTTCTTGCCTTATGTTTAAGAAACTTGGGACAGCACAAGTAAATAAAATTAGTTTAAACAGTTTTGAAATTGCCAATGACACCTCTCAGGGAAGAAGATTCTATAATGCAGGTACCACAACAGAGAAGGCTGTTTCCTGTATCCTTGCATAATACATTGACTCCCCACTAGTGGAATGCAAAGGAAGATCCTCCCACATTTCTCAGACAGGCAGGAAGGCAAACTTATTTAACTTAAAAGAGTATACATTCTTTTTAGATATGTTGTGAGTCAGTCAACTGAGGACTTAAATCAGCATCTTCTCTGTAATCCTGTAACACATTTGCTTTCCATCTATGTTATTGATATCATAGTTGAATGGTAAATCAAATGCTTTGCATGCAGGTTCAAATCCTCAACAACCACAAGTGTTTATTAATTCTCAGGCGGTACATAATGGACACACTTTAAGACATTTGAGAGTTGCTACCAGTCATGGAATGCAGTACTGAACTAGGCAAATGAATGGTATGTGACATGGTGTAAGATTGCTTTCTATTTTCTTTCATATTATTTGTACTGCGAAATTTCAGGTATTCATCAGGAGAAAAACCATTCTAGTAGATTAACTTTCCCCAAAGTTGGTTTATCCACCAGACAGGCCCGTTGTCCCAGGACCTGATCCCAGTTTTTCTGATCCCGCTGCCAAATAATCTGGGATAAACAGAAAACCTGGGATCAGATCCTGTGCTATAGAGTCTGTCTGGAAGGGCGCCAAGACTAATATTTCTTTACAACATGCAAGCATAGAGTTTTTGGTTACATCAGATACAGTCAGAGGTCCAGAGTTGATGAGTTATACAAGATCAGGAAATCAGAAGACATTTGCTTCTTGGGAGGAGAGCTATGTCCAATCTCAATAAAATAGTTAAGAGTAGAGACATCACACTGGCAACGAAGATCTGCATAGTTAAAGCAAAGGTATTCCCCATAGTAACCTATGGATGTGAGAGCTGGACCATAAGGAAGGCTGAATGAAGGAAGATAGATGCTTTTGAACTGTGGTGCTGGAGGAAAATTGGGAGAGTGCCTTGGACCGTGAGAAGATCCAATCAGTCCATACTTTAGGAAATAAAGCCCAACTGCTCATTGGAGGGAAGGATACTAGAGGCAAAGATGAAGAACTTTGACCACATCATGAGAAGACAGGAAAGCTTAGAGAAGACAATGATGCTGAGGAAAATGGAAGGAAAAAGGAAGAGGGGCTGACCAAGGGCAAGATGGATGGTATCCTTGAAGTGACTGGCTTGACTCTGAAGGAGCTGACAGGGGGCTCTGGTGTGGGCTGGTCCATGAGGTCACGAAGAGTTGGAAGCAACTGAATGAATAAACAACAACAAGAAAAACAGCAGCAGCAGCATCAAGACCACAACACTGGAGGATGAGAAGAATCATGGGGTACATATGTGTTTCTTCCTATAGGCAAATAGCAGCTTTGGAGGGGGAGATTTAATTAAGTTCCGTCCACCCAGTCAAAGTTCCTAATTCAAATAATCACTTGCTCTCTTGCTATTAGCCCACTTTAAAAATCCAGAGAATCCCTTTCTCCTATATTACGAATATATTGTGAATTTTTAGTACAGATTCCTTTAGCTTGTTATATATGCTCAAATGCTCAAATCTCTCACCTGAGTCAGGGATCTCCAGTCCACATTCGCGCTACCAAGAAATATGTGTTTCATGTCTACTATCCAGAATTTGGTGTGTAGGACACCTTGGGTCAGCCGTCCAAAATTTATCCTTTTTACATGGGCCCCTGTGAAAAGGAAGAAATGTTAAGTTTACACATTAAGAAAGGATCACTACGTCAAATATCATCTAGTTTCTTGTCTGACTATAAACACTTCTAGTTCAGAGCAGAGCTTGTGCTTTTCCAGATTGTGATCAATACACTTTGTCTTGAGACAATGGGCAGGAGAACCCTTTATTCCAAGGACATTGATACTACCGCAACATCCTGCAAGTCACCTGAGGATAGCAGATCTGTTTAGTTTACCTAGAATATATATCTATGGACTACAGAAGAGGTACTACTACTGCTCTCTTGTAATAGTGATGCACAGAATTATTATGGAAAACGCTGTTTCCTTATAGAAAATATAAGGTTTGGTGGAAAAAAAAATCTCCTGGATTTTTGCACATAATAATTCCCTAAAGAATTATCCCTCTTTGAAAACTGCAATTTTTAAATAAATTCTCCATAGTGGCAAAACAAAAATTACAGCAAGAGCTCCATATCCACAGAGGATATGTTCCCAAATTTGGGTTCCATAAGGGGTTTTTACTATACTAAAATTATTAATTCCTTGAGAATGAAATTACTGAAGAATCACATCCCTACCTCACAGAAGAAAAAGCTTTTATAATATTCTGGACTGCTGAGCTCTATAATGCTTGTAGCATATGTAGTTGCTTTCATTGTTTTGGGTCAGTACAACATTCAGTTTCATGACTGCTTTTAAACTACTAGATGTTACTGTAAAGGGAGTCAGTCTACTTGGCCAAAGATAAGGTAGAAGTACTTCTGTAGACAATTACCTTTTCTCTCCAGGACCTCAAGATCAGTGGATTGTTTAATCTTAGGTGGCAAACTGGTTGCAATGAACACAGAAATATTCTTCAAAAGCAGGCTTTCAAACTTTTTGAGAATATCTTCACCCTACAAAAGGCAAGCCATTATTTTTGGATCAGATTCCAAGTGTTGGGTGAGATAAAGTAAGCACTCCATTTTTGCAGGAGTCAGGACGCAGGACTCTCAATACAGTAGAAAATTTGCAAATATTAAAAATGGACCGTAAGAGTTGGAAAAGGCCACAAAGACCATCCAGTCCAACTCCATTCTGCCATGCAGGAACACAGAATCAAAGCACTCCTGGCAGATGGCAACCCAGCCTCTGTTTCAAAACTTCCAAAGTAGGAGATCCCACCACATTCTGAGGCAGCATGTACAACTGTCAAATAGCTCTTACCATCAAAGAATTCATTGCTCCATATCCTAGTCTCTACAGCAGTGGTTCCCAACCATTCTTTTGGCCAGGGACCACTTTGACCAGGGACCACTCTCCAACATTAGTGCCAAAAGGGTTACGAATCAGTTTTTGGTCAACTTTAGATTTGGTTTGGAGTGCTGATTCAGAAAATTGCATTGGATAAACCACATCAGCTCTAGTTCTTGATACAGAGTATATGCCATGGACAACAACGGAGAAGGAATGGCAGGTGGCACAAAAGGAGCAGAAATAAAATAAAATAATAAAATAAAATAAAGAGGAAGGAGGCTCACGGACCAGATTTTTGTCTTTGTGGCCCACTGGTGATTCACAGCCCACAGGTTAAGAACCACTGCTCTACAGCAACAGAAAGCAAGCTGACTTCCTCTTTGATATGACATTTTTTTCAGATATTTAAATGTGGCTATCATATCCCTCTTAACTTTTTCTTCTCTGAGCTAAATATACCCAGTGTCTTCAGCTGCTCCTCACAGAGCTTGGTTTCAAGAACTTTCACCATTATGGTCACCCTTTGAATACATTGCAGCTTGTCAATATCCGTATGATTCTATCTAAAGTAAAATATATGGGGAACACTTTGTATTGTGCACTCAAAGTGAGAACTTAACATGTACCATGGATTGCTCTCACCCTACATCCAGCTGAAGATTTCATTAAAAAAAAACCTTATCTTACCTGCTTAGATGATGTGTCATTGACCCCAATGTCTTCTCCGGTCAATGTCCAATAGTAAGAAGCCATGTGAATGCTTTCCTGAGTCATATTTAAGAGCTCCATCCATGCTTGGTATAAAGGTTTTGCAGCACTACTATTTGGTCCATATGGCATGTCCCATGGAAGGCTTTCCACCAGCTGAAAACTACAGTGATAAGAGTAGGTGAATAGCTAAACATTTGGTACTGGATGTAGTTAATACTAGGAATAAGTCCCCATTCTTGAAGTTGGTATTCAGACACAGATGCTTAAAACATTTTACAATTGTTTCTGCCTTCAAGATGAAGTCAGTGGGTCTGCTTTTAATGTAAGTCAATTGTCCAAAAACATTTTGTGTAAAAAGAATGTAGAATATTTGAGATAATTTCTCATCCTGTCTTACATGTTTTTTAAATTCCCATACTTTTTTCCCAGAATGCCTGCTTGAACTCTGTTGCCCCTAAATGTGTATTTAAGGAAGAGATATGCAAATCTCAACAGCAGGCATACCTGTGAGGTTAAGTGTTTCCTTAGCATCATCCACACATAGGGACACAGACTGATTATGGGGACTTAGTGACTGCTATGAATAAGGTTGTCCTTGTTACACCTTCCCTGTGCAGCAGCCATGATCAATATTATTGTTAAAGAGAATGGGGCAGTCCCTTGAATGGCAGATTTAAAAGGTAAAAAGTAAGGAAAGCCCAGCTTTCCTGTCTAAACGTATCTTCCTCTATGATCCTTCTCAGATGCAAAGATTGTCGAGGGAGGCCCTGCTCTTGGTCCCACCCTCTTCGCAAGTGCAACTGGTGGGGATGAGAGACAGGGCCCTCTCGGTGGTGGCCCATCGTCTATGGAACTCCCTCCCTAGTGAAATTAGATCAGCCTCTTCCCTCCTGACTTTCAGGAAAAAACTAAAACCATGGCTGTAGGAACAAGCTTTTGGTCAGTAAGCAGCACAGAAAAAGCCCTGGAATATGATTTAAATTTTGTGATTTTAACTGATGTTTTGATGTTTATGTTTTTAATTAGGTTGATTTTAATGCAGTTTTTTATTTACCAATATGTATATGTATATACGGCATTGAATTTTGCCTTCGTGAGGCTGCCCTGAGTCCCCTTCGGGGTGAGAAGGGCAGGGTACAAGTGTGGTAAATAAATAATGAATAAATAAATTTGCCTCCTGCAGCAAATGTCTTGGGATCCTTTCACGGTACTAAATTATGGCACTATAATTCCATTGTAACTGCCATGGCTGCATTTTATGGAATCTTGGTGAATTTCATTGCCATGACCACAAATGCCTTTGAGATCCAGTCTAAAATCCAGACAGCTGTATTAAAGAGTGAGCAGGGTGCTAAAGAGTGACATAGCCCCTGCCAGCAAGGTACAGTGTGATGGGGAGTTCATAATTCCTTCCTATCATCATCCTTCAGCATCTTGCTCACCATCACTGTAGAATTCAATCCCTCTGTAGGGCTGCTTAGGTTTAGGGAGTGAAATCGGGAGAGAAGGCATATCCATAACATTGTAGCTACCCTTAGAAAGTCACATGAAGAATCTTGAAAGAGACTCATTTGCATCATTAAAGAGACATTGATCCAAACTTTGATTATAAAGATATTGTCTGAGATGTTTTTTTCTGGATAGCTCACTTGCACAAATCGTTATAGGTGGGATGGCTGTCCATCTTATGCATTTGGTCTCTTCCAGTGTTTTGATCATCATTCCTGTTCAGGTAGCTGCTAAGATTCATATCTTCATCCCTTGCAAAGATTACAGTGGAAGGCTTCATGATGTAGTTTATTATCACAACAATGAGCGCAGCAACTGACATCAGTCCAAAAACCTGGAACTCAAAAAGGATTTGCATCACATTATGGATGTCAGCACAAAACACTTTCCTCTGAGGCTCAGAATTTGGTAAGTTAGTATTAAAATAATCACTGCAATGCTTAGAATTCTGTTAACATATTCTATATGTATAAATAGCCATGTATAAATATGTGAGAGGAAGTCACAGGGAGGAGGGAGCAAGCTTGTTTTCTGCTTCCATGGAGACTAGGATGCGAATCAATGGCTTCAAACTACAAGAAAGGAGATTCCACCTGAACATGAGGAAGAACTTCCTGACTGTGAGAGCCGTTCAGCAGTGGAACTCTCTGCCCTGGAGAGTGGTGGAGGCTCTTTCTTTGGAAGCCTTTAAACAGAGGCTGGGGTGCTTTGAATGCAATATTCCTGCTTCTTGGTAGGGGATTGGACTGGATGGCTCATGAGGTCTCTTCCAACTCTATGATTCTATGATTCTATGTATGTGCTTTCCAATAAAAGTGATTGGACAACTTTATCTGGTGTGGAATGCATGGATTCAATTCCCCTGATGTGTCCAGTCCAGTCGTGTCCAACTCTGGGGGTTGGTGCTCATCTCCATTTCTAAGCTGAAGAGCCGGCGTTATCCATAGGCACTTCCAAGGTCATGTGGCTGACATGACTGCGTGGAGCACTGTTACCTTCCCACCAGAGCAGTACCTATTGATCTACTCACATTTGCATGTTTTTGAACTGCTAGGTTGGCAGAAGCTAGGGCTAACAGCGGGAGCTCACACTGCTCCCTGGATTTGCACCTGCGACCTTATGGTCAACAAGTTCAGCAGCTCAACAGTTTAACCCACTGCACCACCAGGAGAAGCAGAATTGTACATATGGCATTATTGTATATACAGATGCGTGCACAGACAAAACACACATTCACTTGTGCTGCATCTGCACTGCATAATTTTAGTGATCTGATAGCACTTTAACTGCCATACTTCTATTCTATGGGATTATAGATTTTAAATGTTGGTAGGATTCATAGAATTCTGCTCCAGAGACCTCTAGTGCTGTAATTAAGGGGGAAATATTAAAGACTACAAATTACAAATCCCAGGATTTCATTGGATAGAGGCAGGGTGTCTAAACTAATATCCAATTGCAATCATTGTTCAGTGTGGATGCATTTCTGATTGTGAATTAAGTTGCCTGATCTTGCCATTTAATACAATGATTGCATAGAACAATAAATGTGAAAATTCACAGGCAGAGATCTATGCTACACAACCTCAAAGTTGAAAGTTGACAAATAATATGCTAAAGTCATCCATAAAGAAGGGATAGGATGTTATTTTAGGACTAAGAGCATGATCCTACCATTTTTGAGTTGAGGGTTGCTCTTCAAAATATCCCTAAATTCATTCTTCTCAAAAGTAACTACCCAAGCTAAGCTCTGAGTTGCAAGGAATACAACCTTCAGCGGAGCAGAGATCTATGAACTGATTCTTACTCAGCAGAAGGAGCAGAAAGATTTTCAGATGCAATAGGCCTGATGTGCTATGTGTGTGATACCAGCAATTTTTTTTCTAATGTGCCACATAACATTTATGACAATCGGCTACCACTGTTTCTTTCTTTCCTCGATACTCCCCATGGATTAGCAGCCAAAGACTTGAAAACTAGTACCATTTTGGAGACTATCATTTTGAGCAGCACAGTATAGAGGGAACAGAAGCAAATACACATTCTAAGGCAGAAAAAAACTAGCTAACTCCACCATAGTGATAAAACATGGGACACATCTAGGCAAAGAAGAAATAATAGTCATACAGCACAGTTTTTTTCATGTTTCACTGAGTCCAGACAGATGTCTTAGGGGCCCAGAGTAGGACAAATGTTTGTTCTTATATGAAAATGCAGAAGTGAAACTTGTTCTTCTTCACCGCCACCATACTTTCCTTTGCTTTAATAGGTTTCATTGCAACCTGATTTTGAAACCGGATGTATACCGAGAAGGTAGCTAAATACTTAAAGCACAAGAGTTTAATGAGAGAATACCTTCCCATCTTGTTTCAACACTCAGTTAAAACTTTACCTCAAATGTTTATGACCCAGCAATCATCGTCTCTTGGATTGTGTACCTTTTTCTTTTTCTTTGTCCGTTTGGTTTACTTGTTTATGATGTTCAGTTGTTTTGCTATTTCAAATTTGATTATTTTAAACAACAATTGTTTTTTCTTTTTCTTTCTTTCTTTCTTTCTTTCTTTCTTTCTTTCTTTCTTTCTTTCTTTCTTTCTCTCTCTCTTTGCCAAATTAAAAAAGTAGTAAATTCAGTTCTCAAGGTTAAAAAATAGTTTCGTTTATCAAAAGGATGAAACTGCCATTTATTTGCCTATACCACATAGCAGGTGGATAGAACTTCCTCTTTTATATTTTTAACATGGTAGAGTCAAGGTACAATAATATGAAAGAATGAGGGAAAGGATCAGGACTGTCTTGTTTTTAAACTCTCTGTAGAAATATTTAGGTGCTTTATAAGTGGAGGTGGAGGTCAAAATAAAAATAACAGTAAGATACCAATTTTAAATACTGCCAAATCACTCTGAATATGAATGCACAGCCGAGAGGAGTGATTCTTGTGACTGAGATTATTGTCAAAAGGAGCTCAGTGTTTTGTGAACTCCGCCACCACCATGAATTGAAGAAAGTAAATTTTTCGTTTACAATTGGCCAAAATACAGCAGAATTGGGCTTAGAATCATAGAATCATAGAGTTGGAAGAGACCTCATGGGCCATCCAGTCCAACCCCCTGCCAAGAAGCAGGAATATTATTCAAATCACCCCTGACAGATGGCCATCCAGCCTCTGTTTAAAAGCTTCCAAAGAAGGAGCCTCCACCACACTCCGGGGCAGAGAGTTCCACTGCTGAACAGCTCTCACAGTCAGGAAGTTCTTCCTCATGTTCAGATGGAATCTCCTCTCTTGTAGTTTGAAGCCATTGTTCTGTGTCCTAGCCTCCAACATGACCAGCTCCTTAAGCTGCTCCTCATAGGGCTTGTTCTCCAGACCCTTGATCATTTTAGTTGCCCTCCTCTGGACACATTCTGTTGGCCAGTTCCAACTAGAGTAAAACCATTTAATCAAAGTAAATTGTTCTGATTTAATGGATCTGTTCTAGTTGAGACCACCAGTAGAATTCAAGTACAACATATAAAATGAGAAATTGACACTTGAATCAGATTATTTTATCTTCTGGCAGAGTCACAATGGAGTTGGAGGTCATATTTTGCAACTACAATACCAACCCCATACTGTGGGATATATTGTCCTGGACTTCACATGGATATGCAAAACTGCAAATAATAGTAAACCCTATTGAAATGAAGGGCACTGGAACCAAAAATACCATAGCGTTACAATGGAAGACCTAAAACACCTAGAATTGACAGATTTTGCCCAATGTTGATAAAACTGCAGATACCAGTTCCATAGATACAGAAATGTCATATTAGCCATATTGGCATGGCTAATGGTGTAGAAAACTGGGCAGTGTAGTCCAATACCACCTAGAGAGGCACACAATGTATTCATACACTTGGTTGATTTGGTTCCTCGTGTGATGTAACTTAGTTTTATTTTCGTACTTACCACTTGAATGACTCTTCGCTCATTTGGGTACATTTTCACATTGAAAGATCCATTTGATGTAAGTGGTTTTATTAGGATCTTCTTCATGACTTTGTTTTAACAAAGAAGCATGCCATGGAAATAAAAGAAACAGAATAACATATCCGACTACTATCCATAAATACCATAGGTCATTGCATTTAAAATCTTCTTTGGGATCCATTACAGAGGATTTTGGGATATGTTTTGGGACAAGAACCCAACTCTGTCCCTGCTAAAACTCTGCCCCTTAATTATAGCAGAGAACCTTATTTACTGATGAATTCCAGGGGTCTGTACTAGGCAGTTATAGTGGTATCAAAGTGCTATAAATGTATTATAGGTATATTTCAGATTTGAGGAGAGTTGCAGTCCAGAACTTTGGAGGGCCTGCTAAATGAGGATCAAGAATTCAATAATAATAATTTCACTGAAAGACTGATAGTAAATGTACTATCGGTTCTCCCAAGCTGTTCAACCATCCTTCTCTACTGTTGGATGGAAGAAGAAGTAAGTGTACTACTGAGAATTATAGTTAGAAGAGACCATAAGGCTCATCAAGTCTAACTTTCTGCAATAGCATAGTGAACGCATTCTTAAGAGATGGCTATCCAACTTCCAAACCAGGAGAGCCCACCATGGTTCGAGACATTCTATCACGCTGTAAAACAGTTCTTACCATCAAGAAGTTCTTCTTAGCATGGGCTTGGAGAATGCATACATTGCCATTACACAGACTTAACACAGCCCTGAAAGTTTCATAATTGCTTCTTATGAAATAGCCATGTGTAATTGATCCACCTAGCTCAGCTTTGTTTACTTAGTAATTATCAGCATTTAGAAATCGAGATGTTCAGGGCATCATCTCCAGAATCCCTTGCCATTGAGGATGCTGACTAGTTTCTGGAACAAGAAATCCAAAACACCTGGAATAACAATGTTAAAGAAGCACTGGTCTATCCAACCCAGCGTGTTTTCCAGGGATTCTTTCCCAATACCACGAGCTTGTGGCTCTCTTTCAATAGAAAATACCAGAGATTGAACCTGAAACATATTGTGATCCTATTTTGGGAGAAAAGTGGGATAAATTAAATTACATTTGCACATACCAAGCATCTGCTCTGGCACTGAGCTATGCTTCTGCAAGTATCCCAATCCTAATACCTCAAAAGGGCAATTGCCTTCACTGGCATCCTGAGAAGCAGGACTAAATCTTCCAGAGTATCCCTTCCCACTAACAAAGGAGATCCCTGGAGCTGTAATTCAAAAGTGCAATTTCCTGACTTAGCGTAAAGGTGATTGGTGGCTGGGTATATCCCAGAACTTTTTAAAAAATAGACTCACCTTTTCATGAGGTTTCTCCAGTTGATGCTATTTTATCTTTACTTCAGATCTACAGAATGGAAGTGGTTGCTATCAGGACTGCAAAAACACTGAGCAACTGTTATGTGGGAGTTTTCTGACCACAACAGGCTTCCCCCCCCCCCTCATTTACATGCGCCACTGACTACTTCTCCTTTCAGCTAAAATGTCACATTATTTGATCACCATAAGACCCATAGAGAAAGCTGCCATCAAATGAAGTCTGTCTGTGACACACCACAGAGAGAAAAAAGGAAATAATTACCCATGTTTGTGACAATAGTTTTTCAAGATATTGAAAATGGTAGTTGAAAGATACCAAAACCTTGGAAGCTAAGCCCTGGATAGTACTTGAATGCAAGTTGCTGTAAGCTGTGTTTCTGAGCAAGGACCTGGGAAATCCAACTCTGAGTATTCCTTGCCTAAGAAAACCCCATGAAATTAATGGGGTCACCATAAGGCAAGGGTCCTCAAGTAGAGGGCTGGCTCACAATCCCTCAGACTGTTGCGGGGCCAGACTATAGTTTGGAAAAAATGAATGAATTCCTATAGGAATGAATTTCTATGCACACTGCATGTGGTTTAAAACCTGGCAAACTGTTTTTAATGTATATTTATAATCATTTTATGTAATTGTGTATTTTATTGCTGTTTTTATATTGAGTTGTTGTAGGTTTTTTCGGGCTGTATGGCCATGGTCTAAAGGCATTTTCTCCTGATGTTTTGCCTGCATCTATGGCAAGCATCCTCAGAGGTAGTGAGGTCTGTTGGAACTAGGAAAAAGGGTTTATATACCTGTGGAATGACCAGGGTGAGACAAAGGACTCTTGTCTGCTGGAGCTAGGTGTGAATGTTTCAACTGACCACCTTGATTAGCATACAATGGGCTGACTACCTGGAGCAAACTTTTGTTGAGAGGTAATTAGATGTTTTTATATTGTTTTGGCATAGAATTGTTGCCTACTAGTAGCCGCCCTGAGTCCCTCTTTGGAGGTCGAGAATAGGATGGGATATAAATGTTCTCTCTCTCTCTATATATATATATATATAATTTTTGTGCAAAAAATGAAAGACCAATGCAATATTTAAAATGAACAGTTTTAACCAACATAAACTTGCCAGCTTTTGATTGATTAGATGGTCAAGTTAATTAGGGTTGTTGTTTTTGTCTGCCTTCAGGACATTTTAGCCTTAGGGCAACCCTAAGTTTAAAGTTTAGGGCAGGTGGTGGGTAAATGACCTTGGAGGGCTGCATCTGACCCATGGCCCTTAGTTTGGGGTCAGCTGCAATAAGGTGAGAGATAATTTGATGGTACATGCACATTGGAGAGATTTTCAGTTTGAGTGTCTTGTGTACTAATTCAGACTGCCTCAAGACATGAGAAGGTCCAAACCTACAAGTTGAAGAGGCCTCATCTTTACCAGAAACAAATGCCATGGCCATGAGTTTAAAAGAGCTGGAGCCAGGCAGTTGACAGCATGGTGAGTTGGGGGCCTCTCATTCTTAGGGTCACCATAAGTTGAAGTCAAATTGATAACAGTTAACAACATACAATTGGGAAGGGAGCAAAAGGGCTAGAATCTTTGTGGTGTGATTTCAGGATACCATTTGCATCTGCTTTGTATTTAGGGCTTTAAGATTGCATCTACGGTAAATGTTGCAGCACTACTGAGTAACACAAGCAGAAGTCCTGCACTCCTTGAAGGCAAGGAACCTAGGGTCAGTGCCTATACGTCCAATTTAATGGTTGTGGCTACACTGTGATGTACATTGTGACTGTGCTTGACCCCACAGAACCCACAAAGTCTTGCATTGGTGTTTTGTATGATGTATGACACTTATTTATTCATTTATTTATTTACCGCATTTCTATGACGCCTTTCTCATCCCGAAGGTGACTCAAGGCGGCTTTAGGCGATAGTATAGTATGATTTAGGCGATAGTAAAGTATGATTCCTGTGTCTGCAGTGGATACAGGCATGTAGCCGGGGGGGGGGGGGCTTGAGGGGCTTCAGCCCCCCCCCCCCCCGAAATTCTCATGGTGGTTCGCGAAAAGGCCTTACTGGTTCATATCATTCATATCATGATCTGATCATGATCTGATCATCATACTCAATATATCCCATATGCATGGGGGTATTGGGGTAATGATACAAAAGGTTTGCTAGGGTAGACCCTCTTTCACTCAGACTCAGCCCCACCCAAAACTCAGCCACTCAGAACGCCCCCCCCCCCCCCCCGAATCGAAATCCTGGCTACGGGCCTGAGTGGATACTTTCCTAAACTTATCATGGAAACTGTGAATAACAGTGAACTCTATTGAAATGAACAACTTCTGCTGGACATTACCATCAAATCACTTGAAGAACCTACAAAACTCCTATTTTGTCAGTTGCAAGTAAGTGAAACCATGGGCACCAGTCCTGCAGGTACTTACTCTATGTGTTAAATTCAGTATATAACATGCAGTATCATTGCTTTTGTGTAATGGGTTTTAAGGCATGTTTATATAAATTTGCTAATTGTTTCAACTTTTGTGATTGTGTTTGCAATTTTCATTTGTAAGTAGCCACATAAAACCCAAGGAAGTGATGTACCATGAACTCGTTTTGAAGGGTTTTTGTTTTCAAACCCTCCAAAAATTGTTTTTCCCTTGGAACTCAGCAGCCTCAGTCTCAGTCCATCCCAAGTCCCACGACATGTTCTCTAGCCTTTGCAGAACTATATCACATGCCTTCATTGGGTCCCCAACTCTTAGTACATTGTCTTTCCAACAAAATGGACTCCAGAATTCAGTAACACACATCTACATCTGTACATAAACAATTAAGTGGAAAACAAAGAATGATTTATTATAGCAAATTTATGATAAAATTATATAAAATAACCATTTATTTTGTTTCGAAAGACATCCACATCATCACTTGGGAACAAAAATGTACAGATAAATTGCCTAACAACCAAACAAAATAAATTATCATGAACAAAAACCAAAAACAAGAGAAAAAGAAAGCCCCACTGTCTATGAATTGGGGTTGGGGAAACAATGAATCTTAAAATTGTACATCGTATTTTGACGGGGCATGTGGAAATGAAAGAAAAGAGAGACCAAAAAAATCCCTAACTCCATTTAAACAGTTTAGACTTATACAAAGTTGAATTTCAGCTATACTTTCATACAGCTCAGCTTGCGTTTGTGAAGCATGCAGATGGAATGGATGATCTGGTGGACATATTTGTGTGTATTTTTTGAACAGCAGAAAATATTTTCAGCAGCATAACAACAGCAGGTTATTTAGGCACAATTCAGCACGGGGCACATCAGAAAGTGAACAGGTAGTTAATGTACTTTTTACAGCTGCAAAAGTCATGTGTGAATTTGCTGGATTTGAGAAAGAAAACAAACAAACCTCGCGACCATTTAACAAAATAAAAACTCAGTAGCATCTTGCACTTGTACATCTTTTTTTTAAAGTAGGTTATCTGTAAACATTCAGAGAAAACATTGTCATTAATTCGTTTAAAGATGACTTGGGGCCATTCACTTCCAAACATGTTAACCCACTCCAGACCTACACTGAGGGCTAAACTGCACAAAAGGGATAGCTTGCAACGAGGAACTGATAGTACATTAGATTTCCAGTGATAGGATTACTACAGAGCTTCATGCCTAAGGGATAAGACTTGCTACTGAAGCCCATGTTTAGCTTTAGGTGACCCTGAAAAGGGCTTCTGATCACCATCATTGCAAATGGAGCTTGTGTTTACATCCAGGTGAACCTGAAAATGAGCTCCTGATGACCTGTCACTGCAAATGTAGCCCACATTTACATCCAGGTGATCCTGAAACTGGTTCCTGATTATCAGTCTTTTGCAGATGAAGCTCATATTTAACTTCTGATGACCAGTCATAAAAGAAAGCTGATCTACAAGATGCTGCAATTAAAAAAATATCCTATTAGGACAAATATAAATCTTTCAACACTTAAAGGAGCACCACTTCTAAATGCAGAGTTCACCAACTCTTGTAGTTTGACCTCAGTCTTTAGGAAACAACAAGCATCAGTTCAAACTCATGCAAAGACTCTGACCAGTATAAAACTGGCCCTTGGCTTGCCACTTAATTTAGCAGCATAAGAATGACACATTATTTTCTCAAAGAGGATGAGCATTCTTTCAAGGATTTACATTCATTCTAGTATAATAAAACAAGATTTTTTACAATGATCATGAAAGAAACTTTCCTTGTCAAGCTTATAGAACGAAGCCTGAACTCTTCAGAAGGAATCCTGAGGCAACCAGACACCCAATCCACCACTGAAATTCAATGGCTTTTTATTCCCCTGAATCACCAGTCAAATGTAGAAGTTTAATTTAAAAACAAAACATGCAATAACACAGGCGTAACACTCAAAAAGAAAACCAAGTAAACCCTGAACAACTAGAAAGTCATGATCCTTAAAATAAATTGGATTTGGATCATTCAAAAGTCTCAGATGAAGGGTTGACACACTGCATGCAGTGTTAGGCTGGAAAAATACATATGCTTTACAGCAGAGATGGGATATCATTGGCCCTCTGGATGCCTGGGTCTACAGGTCCCATTAGCTCATCCACCTTGGCCAACAATAAGGTATAGTGGGAGTTGTAGTCCAAAACATCTAGCACAGTGGTTCTCAATCTGTGGGTTCCCAGATGTTTTGGCCTTCAACTCCCAGAAATTCTAACAGCTGGTAAACTGGCTGGGATTTCTGGGAGTTGTAAGCCGAAACACCTAGGGACCAACTGGTTGAGAACCACTGATCTAGCAGGTCAAATGTTCCCCATCCCTTTAGAGCATTCGTTCTCAACTCTCTTGGTCCCCAGATGTTTTGGCCTTCAACTCCCAGAAATCCTAACAGCTAGTAAACTGGCTGGGATTTCTGGAAGTTGTAGGCCAAAAGACCTGGGGACCCACAGGTTGAGAACCACTGCTTTTGAATGACTCAAACCAGGGAAAGATTAGAGTCCCGTGGCTTCCTCTTTGACTTACCTGCGCCTGACACAAGACAGACCAAACTGAAATAGAGAACATACTAGGCATAGTTTGGATTGATATATGATGCTGTGTGCAGCAGGACAATTGGATTAGATCATTATCATTCAGAAACCCTAACAATCCTCCAGACTCACTGAATATTCACATGAGAACATACTATTGGTATAGATTCTAGCACACAAAATACCTCAACCTCAAAGACCACAGGTTTACATAAGAGAACAAATGTGTAATGTTGCTCTCTATTCTGGTAAAGAATTGTGTGAGGGCAAGGTTGTGTAATGCAGCCACCCTTGTGCCCTGTCCATTTGAAGTAAGTTGAACAACTGTTGGCATATTCCTGAAGAAATGAATCAAGGATTATGAATGAAAAATTATCAGGCAACAACCCATCAAGCTAAAAATAGGTGGATGTTATTATGAATTCACCTGATTATGGCCAGCTTTAAATTCATTACGAACTAAAGTGTTTGATCATGTAGTTTCATACATTGACTATATGCCACTGACAACCGTACAGCCAGAAAATAGCTTCCCACATTTGGGGTGGGGGGTGCTTACAGTGCCCTGAATCTCTCAGTTAACTTAAAGATTCTGGGATTTGTAGTCCAGCAATATCATATAAGTACCATATGGGATTAAAAGTGGGGGAATAAATGAACCTGGAGCTCTGCCTTTTGGCAACCCTCTCCAGCTAATAAAAGCATTTATGTTTTTGGGGTTTTTTTTAGCTCCTCAAAGCCATGTACAGTTGGTCTTCTGTATCCACAGATTCCGGATCCATGGATCCATGGATTCAACCTCCAATGACTCAAAAATATTCAGAGACAAAAATTAAAAAAAACACACACAAACATTTTCATAAGGGGTGCCATTTTACTATGTCGTTGTATATAATGAAATTTGAGCTTCCATTAATTTGGCACCTTTGGTAGTTCTAGAACTGAATCCCAGGAGATATTGGGGGGCACTGTATCTAAGAAAGATACACGTCACAAAACGAAATGAATTTGAATGTGCTGGATTTTCTATAAGGGGTGTTTTCTTCATCTGACTGGACAGTTTGACCTCTACTATCTTAGATTATGGAAGTTTGAAGATAATAAACTTATCTTCTCTATTAGAAACATTTACAGACTTCATCCACCCATCCTTGGTCCCATGAACTAACATGTCTCTCAACCTGCCACAAATCAGCAATTAGATCTTAGACAAGTTACTTCTTTGGACTACAACTCCCAGAATTCTCCCACTAGTTCTATCACTGATCATTCTTAAAGGGATTTACTTTCCCTCACTGGAAAATGTCTTGTCCTATTGATCCATGTCCACCTTGCCTCAAAGTAAGTCTCCAAAGTCTAAGCAGTTTGGCCACATTAGTTGGGAATTCTAGTTTCAAAAATTGAGTTTTCCAATCCTTGGTTTTCTCAACCATGCTATCTGTTATTGTCTTTGCTGGAGAAGCCAAGTATTGAACCTTGGAACGTCTGCATACTTACCATCTACTCTGCCAGTGAGCTATGGCATTTCAAGCATATTCCAAAAGCTAAGCTCAAGTTAAAACTAGAGAGGTTACCTCCATTGATGATAACAAGGATGGACAACTTGTGATGCTCCCTAGCTACAGGTTAGATTGCTGTGAGATACTGTTCAACAACAAACCAGCACTGATTTGGCAAATAGAAGTAGAAAACCATGTTTTAATTGGGGGGGGGGGGGGAATCTGGTATTCTAACAGCAGACATCTCAGAATTGCTGAAAAAATATTCTTGGCATTAGGCTGAATATTAACAGTCAAGCCATACTAGTAATACTGTATTTAAACATCAGCCCTGACATATTTAATTCTCCTAAGCCAAATAGAAATCGCACATTTGAATTCAACAGTAGCAAGATGGCACCAGTGTTAGAAAAGAAGTGAGGCTTAAGCTCTTCCTCTGAAAGTGATTCACCATCCATGCTTTGCTTGTGTACCCTTGACCCTCAAAGCAAATTTTTTATTCATTGTGGTGCAAACGTTTTGAAGCAACGATAGTACATTGAGTACTGAAGGAAATACGTTAACCAACATCAAGACAGAGTATACACTAGGTTGAAACTATGAATCCCACCTAAGGAAATATCAGATGGAATATTTCTAAGATCTCTGGACTTCCATGTTCCTGTAAGCTAAGCAATTTGAACATTATCCCTGATATTTTTTTATATCTAGTCTATAGTGTGAAAGCACAGATATTGTATAAGTTGCTATGATTGTGCTTGGGCATCTTCCAGCTCATGGCAAGTTGGGCATTGGCGAGAGGCCAAAGAGCAGCATAGGGACCACTGGCTCAATAGTGTTGCTATTCTCATTTTAGCATGGAGCATCCAAGAGGCAGCACTAGAAGATGCTTAGTTTGGGCACTCCATACTTACAAGTTTAAGCCTGGCTTGGCTGGTCATGCTTTGCCCAAGGCCTCCAAAATCCTGGAGCCAGCAGGAGGTGGAGCTAAGCCCACTTCTACTACTGCTCAATACAGGACCTCTCTGAGTGGAAGGAGTGACCTGTACAATTATGCTCTTAAGCAGGCCTGGGCAAACTTTGGCCCTCCAGGTGTTTTGGACTTTAACTCCCACAATTTGTAACAACCTACTGGCTGTTAGGAATTGTGGGAGTTGAAGTCCAAAACACCTGGAGGGCCAAAGTTTCCTCTTAAGGATATCAATGGCATTTAGAGGAATGGAAGGGGTGGAGAAGTGTCTCATTTTCAACCATCTGTCACTGCCCACACATGGAACAATTTCTTTTACTCTCTCTGGAATGATATGCAGTAAATGAGGACCCTGTTGGTTGTATTAAAAAGAGATTAGGACTACACCAGAGCTTTGTTTCCCAGCAAATACCGTGAAATGGCTTCAGACTGGCAACCTTGTTAGACAAAATCCTGGCCATTCATTGATTTGTCTCCTCTAGACCTCTATATTTGGAACCGCTCAGCTAAAGGAGCATATGGAAAACCAAGATGCAAACTTATTTACTGGCTCTCCATCATCTGCACTTTTTAATTACCGTTCCCAGAGGAATAGTGAAAGCCATCTGTTTGGACGGGGAATGAATCAATGTCATCTTTGTTTCCTCCTTGAAAAAGGGATGAAAGTCACTGCTTTCGTAAAACGAACCTTCCTTTGCTGCGTCACTTAACCTGACAATAAAATGTAAATTCTGGTCGAATGATTGAATGCTCTGCTAGTTTAAAAAATAAATATACAGCACCAGCAGCCCCCTCCCCCCTCACTGCCCCCTGCAAGAAGGTACATTTTCAAAATGGAGCCTCTATACAACTAAACAGGCAGCTATGAACAAGCTAGATACAAGAACGTAGTAGTGTTTCGGCAGTATGGAGTGAAAAATACGCAAAGCTCGTTTTGCTATGGCACATTGGAGGAATGATGCATCGGTAGCTTTCTATTAAAATCGGAGCCTGCTTCTATGCTGAGTATGTGCTGTTCCACAGTGCTAGTTTCTTCCCACCCCCCTCACAAAAGGCATCTATAGAGAGCTTCCACTCACCCCGCACACAGCATAGATTGTACCTATTTCTTTCCCATTTTGTGCAATGTGTTAGCAATCTAAACAACTGCTCCACGCAGACTTGCCCACAACCACTCGTACACAATACTAACACCACGGAAGATTACATACAAGAGGATAAGCACTAGAAAATATTCCATCAGATGACGTATTTCTCCCCATCTGGAACAAACACCGTACCATCCTGCAGGCTATTAGGAACAAAGTTCGATTTCTGTACATAATTTCTTTTCTTGGCAGGGGATAACGCCTCCAACATGGGCCCTGAAATGTTGTTAGCAGTCCTGACTTTAGCAGCCGCAGAGTGTGACGTAGCAGAGGATGTTTTATTATTGGCAAGGATATCCAAGTTTCCACTTGGGTCAATGATCGCGTTTATAACTGCAGAAAAGAGGGAAGAAATCATGATGAGCATTAGTCTGGAATACAAAAGGAATCAATAATAATAATAATCATCATCATCATCATCATCATCGTCATCTTTATTTATACCCCGCCACCATCTCCCCAATGGGGACTCGGACCGGCTTACATGGGGCCAAGCCCAAACAACATATTTCAGCAATAAAATCAAAGCATAAAAAACAAACAAATAACGACAACATCATCAAAGTACATTAATAATAATAAGAAGAAGAAAGCAGTCTTAAAAAACATTCTAATAAACACAATCACGATAGCGATAATGATGACAATGGGCGGGCCACATGTACAGGATAAAACAATTTAAAAACTGTGATGAGAATAAAAAGGACCAAGACATTTACAGGGATTTATGAGGTTGAACTTCCTATTTGGGGGGCACGAACTCCAGTAACAGAGGGGTGCAAAATGTCATGGTGTGTACCTATTCACCAAAGGCACAGCGGAAGAGCCAGGTTTTAAGGTTCTTTTTAAATGTTTCTAGTGAAGTGGCTTTCCTGATCTCTCCAGGTAGAGAGTTCCAAAGTTGGGGCGCCACCTAGGAGAAGGCTCTCTCCCTTGTACCCACAAGACGGGCTTGTGAGATTGGTAAAGGTGACAGGAGGACCTCCCCTGAAGATCTAAGGGCCCGGGTTGGTACATGGAGAGAGATGCGGTCACGAAGGTAGGCAGGTCCCAAACCGTTTAGGGCTTTATAGGTGATGACCTGTACCTTGGGACCAGAAACCATCACTCATTAAAGAGCCAGTGGAGCTCTTTAAACATAGGAGTTGAACGCTCCCTGTAACTAGCCCCAGTTATTAATCTGGGTGTCAAGCACAATACGTAAACGTCTGCTGCTCAGCTGCACAGTGCAAAATCTGAGTGCCTTGAAACCTGTAAACTCATAAGTAAGCACATGGATATTGATGATTTATGTGCTTAAAGCCATTTCTATCTTTTGATGACCCCATTATGAGGTTTTCTTGGCAAAAATTTATCCAGGGAGGGGAACCTGCCCTTGCCTTCCTCTGAGTGTGACTTGCTCAAATGAATTTCCATGGCCAAACGGGAATTTGAACCCAGACTCCCAGTCCAACACACAAAGCACTATTTCACATTGGTTCTTAAAGACATTGTGGAGGAATTGCATTTAAAGTGTCAAGTTTATTTATTACTCGTATATACTTGAGTATAAGCTGACCCGAATAGAAGCCGAGGCACCTGATTTTACCACAATAAAACTAGGAAAATGTATTGACTTGAGTATAAGCTAAGGGTGAGAAATGCAGCAGCTACTGGTAAATTTCAAAATAAAAATAGATACCAATAAAATAACATTAATGTTTTTTGAATATTTACATAAAACTGCAATCTATATAAATAAAAATGTAATATTCGTTTGTGGGATTAACATAACTCAAAAACCACTGGACAAATTCAAACAAAATTTGGACACTACACCCCTAACAGACCGACGAGTGACCATCACTCATAAAAACACTGACAATCACGATAGAGATGACAATGGGCATTCCCTAGACCAGGCCCTTTAGGGGAGGAGGATGCTCCAAATGCACTGCTTCCAAGCTGCAAGCTTGCTTCTTCTTGGATTTCTTTGAGAGCATTCCAATCTGTACATATTTCCTATTCCTAGACTGCAACTCCCAGCAATCCTCCAGATAGATAAGATATATAGATTAGATAGAGATAGATAGTAGGTAGATAGATCAATCAGGAGGACTGCTGGGAGTTGCAGTCCAAGAATAGGTAGAGATGAAAGAAAGGAGAGAAACAAAAAGGGAAGGGAAGGAGGGAAAGAGGTGGAGAAGGAAGGAAGAAGAAGAGAAAAAAAGGGAAGGAGGGAGGGAGAGGAGGAGGAGGAGGAAGGAAGGAAAGGAAGGAAGAAGAAGGAAGAAGGAAGGAAGGAAGGAAGGAAGGAAGGAAGAAGGAAGGAGAGAAGGAGAGAAGGAAAGGAGAGAAGCCACAGCAATGCATCGCGGGTACAGCTAGTTTAAGATAAGACTGTCCAACTCCGATTAAACCATTATTCTAACCTTCTTCAATGTAAATATGCTTACATATCCTCCCAATAATAATAGAGAGTAAAATAATAAATGTAATAAATATAATAATAATAGAGTAAAATAATGTAAATATAAGAGGAAGAAGAAGAAACAGAGTAAAATATAAATGTAATTAAAATAATACTAATAACAGAGTAAAATAATAAATAACCTTGACTCGAGTATAAGCCAAGGGGAGATTTTCAGCCTTAAAAAGAGGCTGAAAAACTATGCTTATACTCGAGTACATACAGTATTTTACATCTGCCTTAGCAGATGTGTTTCAGAAGTTAGAAATGTAACTTTTTGGATCCAAATTCCCAGAGTTCCCTTGCAAAATGGTCATTAGCCAATGCTGACTCGGGAATAAAGGGATCTATAGTCCGTAAAATGATATTCCCAAGCTTGAGGCTTTTGTGTGAAACCTGGTCCTCCTAAATAAATAAATAACAGCTACAAACCTTCAAGTTGTTTCTGGACTCTGCGCAGCTCCTTCAGAATAGAGCTTATTTCCTAGCAATAAAGAACAACATGGTAAGAAACTGGGACACTGAGTAATTCAGGGGAAAAAACACCACTAATTAGTTCTCTTCCTTCTCTTGAAATGATATATTTAATTTCATGCTTGTTCAGCCTTTTTCTCTTAAAGCCAGGCACAAAAACATAGATTCTAAATCTGAATTTTGTGATCTATTTAAAACATTCATAAGCTGAACTTTTTTTGAAGTTCTTTGCAATGCAACGCCTTCAAAATTAGATAAGTGGAAAAGGAAATAACCCAAATTCACAAGAAAGCCAAATCTTTAAATTTCACCTCCAAATTAATATGCTAGCTGCCTAAATACGCAAAATCTTGCGTAAGTATTTATGCACACAAGGACAAGAAGTTCACATTGACAAAATCTTCATTTAAAAGAAACCCACCAGCACACATCTTAGGATAAACATACTCCACCTTGTTCGAGGTCTTTAGAATTGGCACTTCGTTTTCAGAATTTATTTTGGCTTCCATCTCCTCCCACGTTCGCTCAGTATTCTGGAACAGAATTCTGATAAAAACATACACAAGTTACTATTTTGTCAAAGCATCAAGTGTGATAGCATTGGTGGCGAGAACTCAGTGCAGTTTCAATTAAGGATATCCACTCACTTCATTTTCTCTGCCAGGCTCTCTGTATTTTCCCGGATGGTATGGGATAACTGGGACACTGGATTTAGCATCAAGTTATCAAAGATTACCTGAAACACAATCACAAACAAACCATCATAGCAGCATTTTTCCCATGGAAATTGGTGTTTATTGAAAAAAATCACTGCAATGACATCACAATCCTATGGCTAGAGGAATTTTCCATGGCATCTCAACTAAACATCTGCCTTGTGGTTGAGCAAAACAAGGAAAGGCAGATGGGGTTTTCTTATAGTTATCTCATAGCCCTAAACGGTTCGGGTGCAGCCTATCTTTGCAATTGCATCTTCCCCTATGCACCTGAGTAATCTCTAAGATCTTCTGAGGAGGCCCTTCACAACTGCAGTTGGTGGAAATGAGGGAGAGGGTCATCTCAGTGGTAGCCCTCCGGCTCTGGGACTCTCTCCCCAGGAGATTAGGTTGGCGGCCACCCTGTCCACTTTCCATAAAAGCCTCAAAATGTGGATGTTCCAATGTGCTGATTAATCCAGTTCACTAGATAATTTTGGCTCCTCTAGCTTTAACATAATACCTGGCTCTTGCACTTTATCATCGACCCTGCCCTATAGTTGTATTGCTCTAATTGACTTGACCCTTCTAGCCCAAACTTATCATATGGCTCCTGCACTTTCTATCAGTCCTGTCCTTACAACTCTATTGCACAAGCCCCTGCTTCACCCCTGAGACCACCATGTTAGGCTATTGCTTGTTGTTAGTCAGTTGTGTTTTTATGATATTTTGTATTCGTAATTTTTACTGTGTTATATTTTAAACTCTGTTTGACCGGGCTTGTTCCCATGTAAGCTTCCCTGAGTCCCTTTGGAGAGATAGTGGCAGGATACAAAAAAAGTTATTATTGCTAGATGAAAACCTTATATAATAACTTGGAATGGTTTGGATGGCATGAGATGAACTACCACCATACAACCCTAAACAAAAATGCACCCTTCTGATTTTGGAAGTTAAACAATGCAAGGCTTCATACATAGATGGAAGATCATTGGGGAATACAAAATATTCTAGGTAGAACTAAAAGAAGGACTAACTGAATCTCTGAGATGGAATGGATCACAAGGACTATCATGCAAGAAGCCACTACTAAAACACCACTGAAAGATGTCCATCCAACCTTTCTTTAAAGACCTCCAAGGAAGGAGAGTCTAAGCAATCTATTCCACTGTTAAATAGTTACTACAGTAAAAATGTCCTTCATAATGTTGAGGTGGAACCTATTTTCGTGGTTGTCCCAGTCTCTGGAGCAACAGTAAACACACTCACTTTATCTCTTACATGACAATTGCTTCGGATATTTAAAGATGGCTATAATGTCACTTCTCAAGACATTTCTTCTCCAAGCTAAACGCACCCAGCTAAATCATTCCTCATGAAGCTTGGTTTATGAGGAATTACTTATCTGGACACATTCTAGCTTGTCAACATCCTTCTTGAATTGCGATGCCCAAATCTGGACATGTTATTCCAGAGAAAGTCTGATCAAAACAGAATGGAGTGGTGCTACTACTTTCCTTGATTTGAAGACAATTCTGCTCAAACCTCCTACCTAAAACTTCTGCTAATCAGGGTTCATCATACTGGGATAGATGTCTCAATGGTCTGGTACACGATAAGGCAATTATGCCACTATAGATATTAAAATGTATGAGAATTCTGACAAATTAAGTAACATTCTTTTCTTTTCTTTTTGGTCTGGAAGCAGAAGGACACAAATTTTGGGGAGTCCAAAAATATGTAATACTTATTTTCTTAGTAATAATAATAATATTAATAATAACAAATTTATTTATATTCTGGTTCATCTCCCCAGGGGAACTCAGAGCAGATTACAGTATACACATATATAGGCAAACATTCAATGTCTTTTATACAGTGAACAATGACATACAATATGCAAACAAAGGCAAAGGTTTCCCTTTCCCTCTCCAGCGTAGTTTAACAAACAAAGAGAGATAAACTCACTTCTTCCCTGTTTCTTATCCTTGTTTTTCTTGTGAGATCTTCCTCTCGACTGTCATTCATATTTTGGTCAAAATCATGGAATCCCATTGACCCAGGAGGCACCTTCTGGTAGTTCAGACTTGCTTCTGGTATGTGTTGGACCAACTTTAAAAAAAACACAAAAATGTTAAGATTGATACTATATTCAATTAGAACAAGAAGGAAAAAAGATATAGTGTTGGAAAAAGAACCATATGTGAAGTTTCCCCTCAAATACCAACCTTGTTAGAATAACATACTATGCATAGCATGCCAATGCTGATGAAAATGGTATCCCCATATCAAATTCTTGCTTGTCTTTCAAAATTTAGAAGAATGTGAGGTCTACAACACAGTTACGTTTTCCTGAACTCAGTTCCAGGAAAACTAGTGATATGATGACATCACCATCACGGGCAAAGGTGAAGAGAATCCAATGTAGAATTTGTTATGGTGGAACTATTTTCAGCAGCATCCCCATAACTGGACCCTAATCAGAGTATGTCATCCCAAATCCCTAACACTTTCCCCAATATTTTCATAAACTTTGGTTAAAATATTACGTCAAAAATGATCTAACTGCATGTTCTACTCATCATCTTATATTAAATAAACTACTCAGTTAATACTCTCCCATAGTGATCTTTTGTTTGTGTGCATCAGACCTACATGCACAGTCAGTGACATGGGTAAAGACAATATGAGATGGGTTAGTAGCAATGTGATTAAATGTGCATTGTGTGCACCTCTCCCATTCCCTCATGCCCCTACTGAAATACCTAAGTCATGTGCACATTAGCATAACATTTCCATGTGCATAAATCCAACAAACATGACCCTTACCCCACTACTGTGTTTTTTCAGAAGCTGTGGAGCTGTACTTGACATCCTGCTTACAACTTTACTGTGCCCTCTGGCTCTGCTCCTGGATCTCTGCACAGTCAGTGAAAGTGTGAACAGTAAGACAACCTGCGTGCAGCGGTATGTGCATTGGTTGTTCAAAACAAGTAGGAATCCTAATTATATAATGTTTCGGATTATGTAAAACAGGGATTGGGGAACGTGTAATCCTCCAAGGTGTTGCTGGCCTGAAACCCCTTTCAACCCTCCCAAGTGTGGTTAGGGATGATGAGACTTGTAATCCAACAATATGTGGAAGCATTCCTCCCATTTCCAGCATAGAAGTTGCATGCATGCAACTGTATTCAGGGTTGCCAAAGAGTTGGTTTAGGCCCGGATGAAAATAACTTTTTGCCCACCCAACTCCACTACTATTATTAGATTTTTCAGCAATATGATGCAGCTGAAGAGGGGTCTATACATGTAAGACAAACCTATATAAAGCCTGCCCCAAATTTCTTGCAAAGGAGAACTCTCATGAGAGTCCCCAGTTCTCAGAACATTATACATCTTGCCTGGGACTTTCATCTAAGTCCCTCCTCTCACAGGATTTGCGGTAGGCTTTATAAAGGCCTTCAGGAAGAGTGATCGGCAACAGTGTTCATCACAGACAGACCCCCACCACTATTGTTTTCTCATCTGAGGCCATTTCATTGCACACCAAATGGACTTAACCTAGGAAACAACACAATCCTACTTGGTGACACTGTTACTGTACAAGGCAGCTGCATTTGTGAAAACACCATATTGGTGTATTCGACAATACACCATATTGGAGAACTTAGAAATTCCTAGAGAGAACACTTCTCTAGGCATCTACAATTTCTCCAGCACAATTATATGGTCAACATCCAGTAAATTTGACAGTAGAGTTGTGCTGGAGGACCTAGAGATACTTAGAGGGGTGTCCCCAAAATAAAAATAGTGGAGGTTTTGTGTAGTTTTTCCACTTTTGCACAGGCCCTGGGCCCTAATCCTTGTGAAAGTGGACATCCAAGAAAAGTTTGGAATTCATGTTATCGGGATGAGCAAAGGAAAACCTGAAACAATTATATTGTGAAATCTCTCAAGAGAGATACATACACACCCTCAACATTTGGTATGTAATCTCACACCCTTCTATTGTCTATCAAATGGTTGAGAGTTGGTTTGACCTTAGCTGATTTTTGTTTTCACCAGAACCAATAAAATTTAAGATTTGTGGCTGTTCCCCCATCATAAGGAAAATGTGGACCCTGCCCTGACTGTATGCATAGAGGTTTCCCATTCAGAACATCTCCTGAATGTTGAGAGACCAGCAGAAAATGGGGATGGCCACACTGTTTTTGAAAGTGGTGCTAATGATAAAGCTCTGGCCACTGCCCCACTTCGGCCCTCTCTTGGTGATGCCCTAATGTCAGAGATTAACAACTGTGTATATTGTTTTTGTGCATTGAGCTTGAAATAAATACATGCCATGCTGATGTTATGTCAAGCATCAGGTCACTGGTGAGGGAAATGTGTGCCGGAATAAGGAGAAGCGATTCATTCCCAACAAAAACCTTTCATATGCATCAACCTCTTGAACGTGGGCTTTAGCAAGTGCAGTGTGAGTAAGATGAGAAAAATGCATGCATATTATTTTTAAGCACCGGAAAAGAATTTTTATAAAAACCAGAGAAGGAAAAAGAAAGCTGACAAAGAGGAGACTACTGCTATCATACAAATTCACAGCATTTAAAAAGCTTCAAAAGCATTTCTTAGCTTAAAACCGATCAACATAATAAAGGGAAGTACAGTGAAATGTTTGAAAGTAGTGGGATGGAAAATGCACCTGAGATGAAATTGCTGCCCGCAAAGATGAATGAGCGATCTGTATTGAAAATAGGAAGGGAAAGAGAAAAAAAGAATAGAAAAAAGAGAGAAATCAGTGCTGTTCATAAGATTAGAAAAATCTGCAGAAACACATACAGGGAGGAGAAGCCGGAGTAAAAAAAAAAAACCACACACAGGATAGTGTCACCAAGAAGGCAAAAGGTAAATCAAAGAAGTAGCAAAGCTGTCACAGAAAAGTCCCAACGTATCCTAAAATGTCCAAAGATCCCTCATACTGAGCTGGACCTATCTTGTCCACAGCTATCTCCTCTGACTTCCAGGGGTTTCCTGAAATATCTGTGTTTCCTTAACCCTGTGTGTGAAACCCTTTTAACTAGAAAAATTAGAAATTGAACTCATGTGTTGGCATAGCATGAAACTGTACCAGTGAGCAATGGCCACTCACTTCTATGATATTAAACAATATGACTCCCATGTTCACATGAATGGTATCTGCTGTTTTTCGTTCATCCATGCCCATTATATATGTCCACTCTATGCATTTTCTAGGTTCTTCAATGCAACTCTATTATAACCTTGGCCCAGAAGTTTTTCAACTTCAGTAGGGTTTGCTACACTTCAGGGTTTTCATATCCACACAAAATCTGGTAACACACTCCCTGTAGACATGGAGGCTGCACTGTACACTGGGGTGATTCAAATAGTAACTTTAAAAGTTGTAGATATTCATCAGGTATGTCACTTGGCAAAGAGAAAGAGATTGGTGCAAAAAATAAGATGTATTATCAATGGCTTTCATGGCTAGAATCACTGGACTGTTGTGTGTTTTCTGGGCTGTATGGCCATGTTCCAGAAGCATTCTCTCCTGACATTTCACCTGCATCTATGGCAGGCATCCTCAGAGGTTGTGAGGTGGATTTTCTCAGTACAGATGTACTGGTATACAAATAAGATGGCTTTTCTCAGTACAGAACACAGAATAAAACTGGTGCACAATTTTGATTGCATTTAAAGAGCAAAATCATTTACTTAGTTACTTATTTGCTTAGTTATTTGCATATTCAAGGGTATTCAGAGAGAATGTCCCACATTAGCAAAAACAAACCCCAAAATGCTACTGAAAAGCAGTAGAAATTGATGTGTGCATCTCTGCACTGTATAGCTATAACCGTTGAATAGCACTTTCATTGTTCTAGTTCCTGCCTATGAAATCCTGGGATTTGGAAGTTGGTGAGAATTCTCTGCATATTTAAATTCTCCATTAGAACATTTTAATGCTCTGGTTCTGCAGAGAACACAGCCTTGTAGTACAGTAAGATCTGCAGGAATACACTCCCAGCTTGACTGTGGTTATGAGAAATTGCAAATGCAATTGAACATCATTATATTACCTCTTTTCCAGTACCAGCATACCACAGAACTGCACTGAAGGATCAAGAGATTCCTTGACATATCCTTTCTAAGAATCTGCTAGGTCCTCTAATGCAACTATAGTAACTTCCAGGGGAAATGTACCATAGAATTGCTTGGAAAACCTAGCAAGTTCCTAAATAGACAATTTTCCCCTTGGACGCAAGAAAGTAAAACTACGGATATGGATTCCACCACAGTAGAAGATTCTAAACGCTTAAAGTAGTATCAAAATATTCAAATTGCTCTGAAGTATTCTGTAGCTAACTTCAAAGCTCAGATTGTTTTTGACAGAAAACTGCCAGTTGCTATCTGGGTTCTGGGGCTTAATTTGTAAAGTCCTGGTAACAACTAGATATGCAGTGGGGAAATTTCTAATGCTTAAACATAGACAGTCTCAGACTATTCTTTCCTCCATACTTCTTTGGCTTTGCCCTGGCAATTTAGAGCATAGCTTTCCAAACTGTGTGCCAAAACACATTAGTGTTGGCTGCAATGTGTAGGTATGTCGCACACACATAACACAAAACTTCTGAGTCTATGTGAAATAAGCAACAAATAATATACCTTTAAAAATATGAATGAAAGGTTCTCGTGAGATATGTTGTTTCTCCATATATTTCATTATTAAAATTTCAGTCTGTGTCTTTATCTTTTATAAGGGGTTGGTTTAAACTCTAGTTTGTGAATAAAACTGTGTTACGTAATGACGCATATATAAAAAACATGGCACCAACATGAAATGTTTGGAAAGCTCTGACCAAGAGGATGCAACACACAAAGCCATGCTTGAGGGCTGAATCTTCCATTCGGGATTCAAAACTTAGGAAAGTTATTGCTTGAGAGTATAACCCTCAGTATCTCCATGTTGAGATACTGAGTATCTCCATGTCAAGATACTGAGGGTTATAAACCTTATCCACATCCCTACTAAAGGAGTCTTTAAAACACAAAGGGGAGGCAACTGCACAGGGAGGCAATTGCAGCGGGGGTATATTTCCAATTTCTCCCCTCCCCCCAAAGCAGATCAAATTCTCTTCCCATCAAGCCCAAATACAGGTTGTCCCCAAGTTACAGATACATTTTTAATGTGTGTGTGTGTGTGTGTGTGTGTGTGTGTGTGTGCATGTATGTGTGTGTGGGAGGGGGGTATACATATGTGCTTTGGATAGTATAGGGAAGGGTTAATACCCCTGTCATGTTTGTTTTGCTATCTGTGCCCCTGTTCAGACGATTTCGCCTTACTTTCTTTCCCTGTAATAATTGGATTTTGAAAAATTTGGTTTGTTGTGGAAACAAGGATGGGTGATAAAGCTTCATTTGAGATACCATTTCCCCATGATAACCCTTTCAGGAGTGAATTTTCCTTCTGAGGGGTAGATTTCTCTCATTTCCTTTTGTCTCACCCTATTCTTAACTATGAGTCATTTGTAAGTCAGATGTTTGTAACTTGGAGACTGCCTGTACCTTGGTTTGCAGTCCTTCTAAATGGCATCAAAAACATGTCTCTTCCCTTTGTCATTTTGAGAGACACTGTAGAAGAAAAGGGAGGAATTTGGAAGTAATACGAGGTTTTGGAGCGCTAGTGAGAGTGATTTCTGGATGCTTTTAGAGCAAAGATTGCCTGAAAATCATGGTGGAGGCTGACCCCCTGGTGGGGAGGATTTGGAGGACTCATATGGGGTTCAGGGACCAAAAAATGGGGTTCAGGAACCAGACACAGCATGTTGGTTGCAATTAGCTCAGCCCTGCTTTAGAATATTGTGCTTTTAGTGAACTGATTAATTTAGAGCAATCACATTTCTACAGAGTCCTTTGAACATCACTTTTCATCTTGTAGCCTTTCCAGAAAAACAGGAACCGCTTATCTATACAGATAATCCAGATAGTCTTATGACAGCAGGTGCTAAAAAGGCTCAGTTTCATCTACAAGCATTTGGTATTTCATCCAGATTTGGAGGCGGAGAGGAGTGCAAGGGAATTTGCATGTATGCAACGTACCACATTACACAGACAAACAAAGAGGTCTACATCTCCAGCCTAATCTATGTTGTTGGTGGAAGTGCAAGTCTATTAATATTTTACTTACAGGCAGTAAAAGGTCCATGTGAAACTGAGAGATAAGAGGGGAAATCATTATATGGCAGCTCCAAGCATGACCTGCTGGTTAAATTATCGTCTATGTAATTTAACCTCAATGTAATCTAGTCTCTACTGGCAAACTATATTATCAGACCCTCATTCACCCCAGCTAGATAAAATCCACAAAATCCAAGACAGCAAGACATTTGAAGGTAGAGTGGTACAAATATGATCTGAAATAGTGTGATAAATCGAGGCTGGATAAAGGTCCAGAGAGCAGGCTTATTGTAGCTGTCTGCCTTCAAGGTTGTTTACACTTTATGGTGACCCCAAGGTGAACATATAATGGGATTTTCTTGGCAAGGTTTCTTCAGAATTTGCTTTTGCTTTCCTTTGAAGCTGAGAAAGTCTGAATTGTTGAAGGATCACCCAGTGGGTTTCCATGGCTGAGTTTGAAGGAGTCAAATTCTGATCTCCAGAGTCTCAGTCCAAAGCTCAAACAACTACACTACATTGTCCCTCTAGGTACTACTAGTAGACATTGATTAGACTCAGCTTGGAGTTGGATTTGCATACTTCACTTCTATAATGCTGGTATTTGCACAACTATTGTTTGGCTAGGAATATATATCTTTACTTATTCCATCCTAACATGCAAGAACCAGTCATTTCAGGAATATTTTCCCTGCTCCATAAAAATATAAGAGTTTCTGCACTATTTTGAGCATTATTCACACTAGGGAACATGTTGGATGTGTGACTAGCCCCCCTTCCATTCTGTGCTTCATTTGTTATGTATATTCCAAAATAAAATTAAATCCCAAATCTGAAAAGGCTCTGGTCCCAAGCATTTCAGATAAAGGAGACTCTACCTGCAGCAATGTCATGTCATGAATTCCAGGGATGAAATGTTACAGGGAAAACTCAATGCAATAGAACAGTTCTCAGTAATAGCTCTACTTCTACTCTTATTTCCCCATCAACCTAAGAATTAGCCATGAGATAAGGTCACCTAAAACTCTTAATTGAAAAGGCCCAACAGAGTAGCAGAAGTTTCTCCTTGCCACAAGGTCTAGGTAAGAATGGAGTAGTCTGAGTGCATAGTCCAAGAAAACTTCCTTTCATGTCCTCATTTTGTATGCACCCATCTTTAATTTGTATGCAGTCCTCTTACCTCTTCCCTTGCTGATATTGTAGACGCAGGGGTGTTAGGCACAGAACTCTGGGAGGTGCTTGGTCCAGTTCCAGATGAACTCTGGGAATCTCCATCTCCAGCAACATCATGAATCTCTCGAGCAAGAATTGCTACATCCTTCACCAAAGTCTGGCTCAACCTGGGAAAAATAACAGGAATAATTCAAGGACTGATGAACATTTGGCTCAGTCCATGCCTTAATCTTAGCAATATGAAGGACTAGCTTCATTGTGTTCTTACTTAGCATTCTTCAACCCAACAGCAATCTTGTACAAAAACCTAGCAATACTACCAGTGTACCTGTCCAAACATATGCTCCCCTATGAACCATCAAGGCTGTTAAGATCTCCCAGAGGGGCCCTGCTCTCGGGCCCACCACTTTCGCAATCACATCTGGTAGAGACGAGCGACAGGGCCTTTTCCATGGTGGCCCCTCAGCTATGAAACTCTCTTCCAAATGAAGTTAGATCCCTCCTATTCTTCAGGAGGCTAGTGAAATCCTGGCTATGGAATAAGACATTCCCAGAATAATGGTTGAGACCGGCAAAAGACTACAGTTATTGACATATGCGGAATGTGTTGGACATGATTTTATCTGTGCGAACTGGCTTATATATGTATTTTAATCTATTTTGTTGTATGGTGTTTTAAACTGTATTGTGGCATTGAATTCTTGCTGTGAGCCAGTCTGAGTCCCTCTGTGGAGGTTGAGAAGACCGGAACATAAATGTTTTACATATATACATACATACATACACAACAAAATTGTATATGAGCAAATTCCAGCACAAAACCTAATCATTTTGCATTAATTTTGTTTGCCAGTCTGTTGTTTTGTGAGCAAGATTTCCATTGTGTCATACTTATGTTATTTTTCATAGACACTGCCAGGAAAAATGTTTTTTTTGGGGGGTGTAAAATCATTCCCAGGCCCCAAAGGATGTGTACTTCTGCACAGAAAAATCTGTGACACTTTAAGATGTGTGAATACCAGGGGGAATTGTACAGAAATAATGATTTTCTCCACAACAGAGAGAAAATTGTGGAAAGTGTTAATCCTCGCATGAGAACAAAAAAGTCAAAAACAGGTTAAATATCCCTTATCTGAAATTCTAAAATCTAAAATACTTCAAAACTGTTCATGTGGGTAGTTGAGATAGTGAAACTTTCGCTTTCTGATGATTCAATGTAGAAACACTGTGTTTCATGCACAAAATTATTTAAAATGTTGTGAATAAAATTTCCTTGAGGCTATGTATGCAACCTTCCTGACCTTCAGGAAAAAAAACTTAATCCGTGGATTTGGGATCAAGCCTTTGACTAGTAATTGGAGCAGTGCAATAAATGACCACGAATTAATGTGATTGACAAATGGAACGGTCCTGGATTATGATTTGGATTGCATGATTTTAATTGCTGTTTCAGTAACTGTTGTTTTAACTGCTTGGAATTTGGTTGTATTTGTTTATTTTATGGACATATAGGTGTATGGCATCAAATCGCTGCCTGTTGTAAGGCCACCCTGAGTCCCCTTTGGGGTGAGAAGCGTGGGGTACAAATGTGGTACATTAATTAATTAATAAGATAGCTATGAAACATAAATGAATTTCATGTTCTGATTTGGGCCCCATTTCCAATATATCTCATTATGTATATGCAAGCATTACAAAATCTGAAAGAATCTCAAATATGGAACACTTCTAGTCCCAAGCATTTTGAATAACAGATACTCTAGATTAGCATTCTGACTTCTTCTCTAATTTGTTTGACATAATTGTATGGCTTGCCAAGGTTTCAAGGATCAGTCTGACCAAATCCAACTTCTAACAATTATTTTGGAACATATGATCTCATCACATAGGCAAACTGTCCATCCTACGTCACGGAGCTCCCCGGATCTCATCAGATGGTGTAGATCATATGACTTCCTGGGGGACTGCATCCCTGAACTGAAGTTAAAGTGTGGTAAGAGGGAGCATGAAGAACAGGGAGGCTTCCCACGTTCTCATGAGAACTCAAGTGGCGATGCTTTGCCCCCATGGAATAGATCAGGGGCAATGCAGAGAGAGCAACGAGTTCCCCACACTGCCCACCAGATTCGCCACAATGCATGGCAAATCCCAGCACTATTACCTGCAATGTTGACCTCAGTGTGATGATGTCCATAGTACAGATTGAACCCAGGTGCTCAACTCAGAGTTATAACCCCACATTCTATATTTCTGGTTAAAGTGAGCCATATGGAAATCATAGCTCGAATACCTCTCACCTCTTCTGGTGTAAATCACCTTATTTTGATTGGCTATGAACATCAATGTGCCATAACAGTAAAATAAGCTTCAGCGTGTAATGCAATCCTAGCTCATTCAATTTGACATCATTTGTACTGTTCTAATTTTTGTTTTGTTTGTTTCTGTGGGTTTCGGTTTGCCAAAACTCGAATATTTTTTATTGTGGATTATCAAGAGATGGAATGATTTTGAATAGATTATTGTCAACCTTTGTTTTTAAACAAATAATAAATTACATGTCAATACATTTGCATGTAATTTATTATTACATGTTTGACCAGTTTTTAATTACTGTTTGACAGGTTTTTAATTAGCTAGCCCTTCATTCCCTTTTTTGGTGAACCATGATGCCAGGAGCAAAGACAACATCCTCTAGTTGTCAGTAGGTTGGTCTCAATCTGGGAGGATAATCATTCTCTCTGGAGTCAGGAAATACAAGAAGTAGACATTATATCCTGACCCTAAGCACAACCATAATCTGACCCTAAACCTCAGCATATACAGAGTTCTTAAAGGGCCAGACAACTCACTAAGGATGCATCTACACTGTAGAATTAATCCAGTCTGACAATTGTGTTAACTGCCATGGCTCAAGGCTATTTATTTATTTACTATTTACAGCTTTTATATTCCGCCCTTCTCACCCCGCAGGGGACTCAGGGCAGATTACAGTGTACACATATATGGCAAACATTCAATGCCAATTTTTGACATACAAACATATACAGACATACACAGAGGCTATTTAACTTTTTCTGGCCGCCAGGGGAGCTTCATCGTCCATCTGTGACGCTGATGAAGTACCTCCACATTCCTCGCATGCTTCCCCGCTGGAGTGCTTCTTTATGGCCTCATAAATTAGTTAATTTAGCCTCCCCACACTTTTAAGGTGGTATCTTATTTTCCTACTTGACAGATGCAACTGTCTTTCGGGTTGCAAAGGTCGACAACAGGCTACACAATGGTTGGAAACCCACTCCAACCCAGGCTGGCTTCGAACTCATGACCTTTTGGTCAGAGTGATCTTAAGCACAACCATAATGTATTCATGGAAGTTGTAGTTTTAAATGCTCTTTAGCCTTTTCTACCAGAGTGTTGCTGCCTCACTAAACTACAACTACCACAATTCCATAGCATCGAGCCAGGGCTGTTAAAGTGGTGTCAAACTGCATTCATTCTTGAATGCAGATGCATCCTCTATAACTTTAGATCAGTGTTTCTCAACCTGGGGGTCGGGACCCCTGGAGGGGTCGCGAAGGGGTGTCAGAGGGGTCGCCAAAGACCATCAGAAAACACAGTATTTTTTGTTGGTCATGGGGGTCTCTGTGTGGGAAGTTTGGCCCAATTCTATCATTGTTGGGGTTCAGAACGCTCCTTGATTGTACATCAGAAAACACAGTATTTTTTGTTGGTCATGGGAGTCTCTGTGTGGGAAGTTTGGCCCAATTCTATCATTGTTGGGGTTCAGAACGCTCCTTGATTGTACATCAGAAAACACAGTATTTTTTGTTGGTCATGGGGGTCTCTGTGTGGGAAGTTTGGCCCAATTCTATCATTGTTGGGGTTCAGAACGCTCCTTGATTGTAGGTGAACTATAAATCCCAGCAAGTACAACTCCCAAATCCAAGGTCTATTTTCCCAAAACCCCATGAGTGTTCACATTTGGGCATATGGAGTATCCGTGCCAAGTTTGGTCCAGATCCATCATTGTTGGAGTCTAGAGTGCTCTCTGGATATAGGTGAACTTCAACTCCCAAACTCAAGATCAATGCCCACCAAACCCTTCCAGTATTTTCTGTTGGTCATGGGAGTTCTGTGTGCCAACTTTGGTTCAATTCCATTGTTGGTGGGGTTCAGAATGCTCTTTGTTTACAGGTTAACTATAAATCCCAGCAACTACAACTCCCAAATGGCAAAATCAATCCCCCCGCCAACCCCACCAGTATTCAAATTTGGGCAGCTGGGTATTTGTGCCAAATTTGCTCCAGTGAATGAAAATACATCCTGCAGATCATTATTTACATGGCGATTCATAATGTTAGGGTTATGGCTGGGGGTCACCACAACATGAGGAACTGTATTAAGGAGTTGCGGCATTAGGAAGACTGAGAACCACTGCTTTAGATGATGAACATATTATTTACTGCATGAAGCTCTTCTTTTTAGGCAGTGACCAAGATTCTGTACAAATGGTAATCAAAATATTTCTCAGTTGTTTTCTTGGAAACGAAAAGAAACACACACGTCTGAACCAATATTTGGAACTACATGACTAATTTAGCAACTAGGTTTGTATGGGGTTGGATCTTTTTTCCCCTCAACTCCTAAATTATGTGACTAATCCCAAAATAAACAAAGGAGGGTTACTTTTCCCTTTTGAAGTCTCCCTTGCTATTCCAGGCAGTGTTTCCCCGTTGATTCAGAAACAACAGAAGAAGGGGTGGAAAATGAAGTCTGCTATTACAGAACAGCCTTCTTGCAAAAAATTCAACAGAGATCTTGGCCCCACAATGCCAGAAGAATTCCAGGCATGCATCCAGCTTTAGCTGGTGCAATCCCTTAAAAGCTTATGATAACACTGATTTCTTTTAGGGAGCAGTATTGTTATTTTTCCCCCCTTTGATTGCACACGGTGGGATGCAACGCATCTTTAACCTTTCAGCAAGCTCCATCCTTTAAATGGAAAATCCCTTTTTAAAATGTAGGGCACTGGGGGTGTGAGAAATCTGCCAACAAAGGGCATAATGCTAGGTATGAACTGGCTTCTCAGGCTGCAAGTATTTACTGAACACCAAGCTCTGTGTAATATTTAAATCCCTACAGAGCTGCCAACCCTTCCATGCCCAGCTGTGCCATTTTCAAGCATACAATGTCGCTATCTTCCCCAAACTACAACTACAAGATTTCATAATGTAGCAATTTCAGGCTTTCTTTCAGTACAAAAGCGTGAATGCCAAATATTTTGGTGTATATTATATTTTAAAGGAAATCTGTAAAAAGAATACTTTTGTGCCTTAGCAACCTTAGCATGACCTAAGCAAGCTTGGCGTAATCAATCATACATTTGTATTAAAAACTAGACTGCCTTGTACTGAGCCAAATCACTGAATTACACTACCAAGTATTACAGTGATTCATCCACATTCATGGCGGACATGGGAAGAGCCTCCTCGAAGACTGAATAAATACAGTTGGGCGTCCCCTGGGCAATGTTTCTTGTAAACGGCTAATCTCTCCAACCCAAAAGCATTGTTTTACAATAATAATAATAATAATAATAATAATAATAATAATAATACTTTATTTGTACCCCGCTACCATCTCCCCAGAGAGCCCCCGGTGGCGCAGTGGTTTAAAGCACTGAGCTGCTGAGCTTGTTGATCGAAAGGTCGCAGGTTCGATTCCGGGGAGCGGCGTGAGCTTCCGCTGTCAGCCCTAGCTTCTGCCAACCTAGCAGTTCGAAAACATGCAAATGTGAGTAGATCAATAGGTACCGCTCCGGCGGGAAAGGTAACGGCGCTCCATGCAGTCATGCCGGCCACATGACCTTGGAGGTGTCTACGGACATAGCTGGCTCTTTGGCTTAGAAATGGAGATGAGCACCACACCCCAGAGTTGGACACGACTGGACTTAATGTTATTTGTACCTCGCTACCACCATCTCCCCAAGGGACTCGGTGCGGCTTACATGAGGCCGAGCCCACAATACAACAATAAAAACAATAGCAACAGTAATACAAACAATAAATAAAAGTCATAAACAGAAAACAGCAATAAACATTAACAATAACACAACGACGTTTAAAAACCTATGGCAAGGGCCAAATGTACTAATTAAAATTTTAAAAAATAATGCTGGGCGTGACCAGGTGATATATAACCAGGATAGAAATTTTGGAGAGGGTAGAGCGTGCAGACAATCCTAGATCACTAATAAAGTGCGTTTAGGGACATATGGCTGCGAGTTTCCTTATTCTGGGAAGGCACACTGGAACAACCACATTTCAGGCAATTCCTAAAGACTGCCAGAGTTGGGGCATGTCTGATGTCCCTGGGGAGTGAGTTTCAGAGTCGAGGGACCACCACCGAGAAGGCCCTTTATGCAATGCTTTTGACATGAAATAAACCAATGAATAAATCCACATTCACTGTAATTAGGGGAGCAGAACCACTGCAATAATGAAAAAAACTTTTTAAAAAAACTGAGATGGAGCAGCTCTCGATCTTCCAGCATGGCTCTATAGTCAACTGTTAAAAGAAGGTGAGCACAGAATTGCAGTGGACCTACGGATTCCCAGAGAAGTTTTCTCTCCAGAAATGTATAGGTTCTCTAATGTGAGTATGGTCAACTTCTGGTGAAAGTTGATCACAGACTCACACTGTAGGACCTACAGATTCCTACAGCATACATCAGTTGGGAGCCCCTTCCCCCAGCAACAAAATAGTAATATATGATACTAATATTGTGCTGTACTGATAATATATTGTATAAACATATAATAATGATAATAACATTATAATGTAATACAATATAATAATACTAATAATAATACAATATAATAATTATATATTTTATATTACATGTAATATTACTAATAATATTACATGTATATTGGTATAGTACAATGCCGTAATATATGATACTAATATTGTACTGTGCTAATAATATAATATATGGTGTACACATATAATATCAATATTATAATGTATGCAATATAATACTAATAATAAAATATAATAATTATATATTTTATATTACATGTAATATTACTAAGAATATTACAGTATATTGGTATAGTACTATGTAGTAATATATAATATTAACATTGTGCTATGCTACTAATATAATATATTGTATGTACATATAAGTTGTAAGCTGCTCTGTGTCCCCTTCGGGGTGAGAAGGGCTGGATATAAATGTCGTAAATACATAAATACATAAATTTTAATCAAATCCTTAAATACCAAATCTTCAAAAGTCAAACCCACAAATGTGGAAGGCTAACCATATTACATTATTTATTAGGCCAAGTGTATTAAGTGTCACTTGGATCCATACCAATTGTTCTCAAAGGAGTTCATGTGGCCTCCTGTCTTCCTACTTTATTTTCTTTTAATCTCCAGAAATTTACCCACAGTACATAAGGAAGCTGTCTGTTGTCTTTCTGCTCCTTTCTCATCTTTTCCTGCCCCATGTTTTAAATCAGAGAGTATTTCAGGGTGTATGAATTCCATCACATTGGCTCTTTTAAATTATACACAGTTTCTGGTTGCTCTTTTTTTCACCCTTCATCTCCACACCTGCCACTTACCCATGGCTTGGAGCATTGCTCAAAACTCCACCCTACCTGGCTATTTCTGCAATCTCCGCCGTCTGCGCCATGAAGTTGTAGGGATCGTGCTCATCAAAATCTTCGTCTTCCGTTTCCCTGCTGTTGCTGTGCTTCTGCTTATTCAGCCCGGAGGCTCGGGCACGGGGCGTCTGGGTGGCTGTTGAAGTATGGGAGCGTTTGTGTTTAGGGGAGCTCTGGTTTGAGCCGTACTCTTCATCGGAAGTGGAAGTATAATCTGAGCCCTGTTGTCGCCGCCTCGAAGCTTATAAAAAATGAATTGGTTTCAGATGGCAGGTGAAGGAGGAGAGCAGAGGAAAGACTTTCAAACCAGCCTCTTAAGGGGAAGAAATAACCACTAATACAAAACAGCCCAAGAAGGAGAGAACTTCTGTGCATAAAACAGAGTAGCAACACTTCTGGATGCTAACAATTTAAACTGTGGGTAGATACAGATGTTCCCTTCACCATATATTTGATCACACATCTGCAGTTGGTACTATCTTTATTACTGCTTAACCGCTGTTCTCTTAAGATACTAACTATGTGTAAAATAAGCATAAAAGGATTATGATGTTTGGTTTTGTCACTGGGATCATATGCTCATTTTGCTGTGTCCTCTTGAATTTGCAATTGTGTGAGGGAGCATATATGGCTAAAGAATCACACAGCTCCTCTGAGCCAACAACTCCACTGTTTGTAAGTCTGTTTCTGGGCACAATTCAGAACATAAAGCCTGCAAAAGATTAGATCTAGGCCAGAAGTGTCAAACCCATGTTTGTTAAGGGCCACATCCAGCTTATGGTTGCCTTCAAAGAACCATTTGTAATTATAAGAACGTATAAACATAATTATGTTGCCCTGGCATTGAAAGCCTCACGGGCCACATAAAATTATGTACAGAAATGATCTCCTCAAATGAGCCTGTCTGGATTCTGTGATCCATAGGAGAGACCCTTATCTTGGCTCCACCACCTTCATTGGTATGGTTGATGGGAACACAAGAGAAAATATTTTCCATGGTTATGGACTGGAGGACACATAGTACATCATGCTGAGGGCAGAATCAAGCTTGGTTCTTCTCCTTCTCAGTTGTCCATTGACCATTCACATCCTTAAATCCCAAATATGGACAGACAAGCTACAATTAGGATAAGAGAGGTCTTCCCATCATAATTTTATGGATTAATCTATCCCACCTCACCAAAGTAACTAATATATGTTTACTTGTTTAAGATCAAGTGCAGATGTGAGATGAAACATGTGGATATCTTTTTCTTTTCATTCCTACAGAATGAATGAAAATGTCTTCAATTTGTAGGAATTATCTAACATGGTGACAGAGTCAACCAAATTGCAACCATGCACGGAAGGCTCCAGGAGAAACAACAAAGCAAGTTAGATACCCATGTGTCCCCTTTGTGCAAATTCTCCATTTAGGCAGATCCAGTTCCAAAAAAGAGGCAAGTATGTCAGAAATTAGCATGAGAGCAGAAAGGGTGTCTTGTTTACACATTCCTATGAGCTCCAAGCATTTAAAAAAGGGACATAAATTGTCTTCAACCCAATGGTCTTCAGACTTTATGGTGGGCTCCAGGGTAATGTGACAAGAAGAGTATGGGTGAGGATCTTGCATCAGACTCTAACTTGGATTTTCTGTATGAAGAGCAAGTACTTAGCTGGCGCCCTCTCTGAACTCTCTCATGCTTCAAATACCTATGGTAACTCACAGAAACCCATCATTATGTGGTTATATACTTCAAGATAAGTTGGGAACCTGTCATTATCTAGGGGCTCCTCTTCCTTTACCCATTAAGACCAATTAACAAGCAATCGGTAGGTTCAATTATTTCAGGTCAAGGGAATGTGTAAACAAGCTCTGCATGTGAGAAAGTATCAACCAGAAGAGTAGCCCCATTTTGGAAGTCACTCATACTATATACACGTCCAATCACCATAATTATATCCATGGGATATTCAACTGTCCTTCAGAATTTACATGGTACATTTTACCATATAGTTGAATAAGCATTACACTTCTTATGCCCTAAACCAGCTGTCCCTCACGGTTATGTTGCCTTCGGGCTGCATAGGGCTGTTTACAAATATGGTAATAAATAATAAATAAATAAATTATGGATAGTCAAGGACAGAAATAAATTGTTTCACTTCCAACATTGGTTTTGAAGGCTGCAAATGATCCTGGGTCTATTCAAACTACACAATCATGGCACTATTATTCCACTTTCACTCCCATAGGTCCATCCAATGAAATCCTAGGATTTGCGGTCTGGTGAAGTTCTAGATCAGTGGTTCTCAACCTGGGGTCCCCAGATGTTTTTGGCCTGCAACTCCCAGAAATCCGAAGAGCTGGTGAAGTGGCTGAGATTTCTGGGAGTTGTAGGCCAAAAACATCTGGGGACCCCAGGTTGAGAACCACTGATCTAGAACTATCTATAACTAACACTCGATCTGTTTTTTGTGACTGGATATGCTTTTTCAGCTTCAGCACCAAAGCTATTGTATTATATTAGAATATAGTAACTCCATAAAATGTCTTATTAGATATCAGGAACATTTGCCTGTGATGCTTTCCTCGACCATTTAAAATTTACTCATGTCTTCAAAAAAGCGAAGTCATGATTGTATACAACATTAGTGAAGGCTGAGAAGGGAGACACTATCCTACAAAGCACAGTCTAGGTAGATGGAATACAAGGTCCACAACCATTACAAAGCAATTAGTGATGTTAGTAATGTAAATGATATACTGTTTAGTAAGTTAAGTCTCCACTGACACCCATTAACTCTTACCACAAAGCAATGGAAGAAAAACCAATTCATTTGAAATGACAACTAGGCAATTTAGACTGGATAATCTTGGGGGAAACAAGACTTAGAAACATTGCCCAATCATAATTCACAGGACTCCATTACAAAATGCATGGTATCAACAGACGGCTGCACTGTTCAAATATATACACCACTGCCCCCATTATATTGAAACTATATGGTGAAATTCATTTCAGTATCATTGACACATTTTTAAATAATCTGGGCATCAGGAACTGAGCCTGAAAAAAAATCTTCCTTGTACCCCAGCCAGTATAACCAATGGTTGACAAACTTTAGAAACTGTAGGCAAAAACATATATTTTCCAGGCACTGGATTCATAAAATTATACACTCATAGACTGATAGTTAAAGGGGACTGCAATGACCATCTAGTTCAATGCAATACACAACTAAATCTCTCCCAAGAATTGCCATCTAACATCTGATTAAAGACCTCTACAAGATGATCTAGCTAAAGACACCAGATCCCATCTGATCTTGGAAACTAAGCAGGGTCAGCCCTGGTGAGTATTTGAATGGAAGGTACTATAGGTTATACTTCAGAGGAAGGTGCTGACAAAACCATTTTGCCCAAGAAAACCCTATGGAATTAATGGGGTTGCCAACAATTAATAGGCAACTTGAAAGTGCATATGCACACACACAAAGACTATCCTCTGAGACAGTCTATTCCTCTCTTGAACAGCTCTTGTATTCAAGAAGCTGTTCTTAATGTATAGGTACAATCTCTTTTCTTGTAATTGGAATTGGTTGGTTTGTGTCCTGGCAGAAAACAAGCTGACTCTGTCTTTTACATGACATGCTTTCAGACATTTAACATCTTAAACCTTGCAAAGTAAAAAGCAGTGACTGCTCACAGTTATAAGGAACAGTACTGTCCAAGCTCTCCCTCTAGAGGTGCTTTGCATCACAGCAACTTCTCACACTCAGTTTAAGTTTGGTGCTTAGTGCCCAGCTTGGGGGATACTTTTGGACTCCAGCTTCCATACTCCCACAGCCAAGGTTGAGAGTCCACAGTAATAATTCCAAGCAATCCAAATGTACCAGAATTGGGTAGTTCCTAAAATATAATGAAGAATGAAGTTTCCCTCTAGATTGGTAACACATGGGGAGTCCTGGCTCGATAGCAGTACATGTGAAAAAATTGTGGAGTCCTTGTGGACAACAAGTTAAACATGAGCCAACAATGTGATGGTGCAGCTAAAAAAAAGCCAATGGGATTTTGGCCTGCATCAATAGGAGTATAGTGTCTAGGTCCAGGGAAGTAATGCTACCCCTCTATTCCGCTTTGCTTAGACCACACCTGGAATACTGTGTCCAATTCTGGGCACCGCAATTGAAGAGAGATATTGACAAGCTGGAATGTGTCCAGAGGAGGGCGACTAAAATGATCAAGGATCTGGAGAACAAGCCCTATGAGGAGCAGCTTAAAGAGCTGGGCATGTTTGGCCTGCATAAGAGAAGGCTGAGAGGAGACATGATAACCATGTATAAATATGTGAGGGGAAGTCATAGGGAGGAAAGAGCAAGCTTGTTTTCTGCTGCTCTGGAGACTACGACGCAGAACAATGGCTTCAAACTACAGGAAAGGAGATTCCACCTGAACTTTAGGAAGAACTTCCTGACTGTGAGACCTGTTCAGCAGTAGAACTCTCTACCCCGAAGTGTGATGGAGGCTCCTTCTATGGAGGCTTTTAAACAGAGGCTGGATGGCCATCTGTTGGGGGTGTTTTGAACATGATTGTCCTGCTTCTTGGCAGGGGGTTGGACTGGATGGCCCACGAGGTCTGTCCCAACTCTATGATTCTATGGTGGAGGAGTTGCATATAAGCCTTATGTGACTTGTATTTGAGTCCCTCACCAATGCTCCCATCCGAGATCCCACAATTTCTCTTTCAAAAATCAGATACACAATACTTCCTACATGCCTCCTTCATAGAGAAGGGAAGTGTCATGGCAGCATAAAGTGCTCATATTTAGCATCTTTTCCTGTTTGGCTGCCTGGAGAAGACCATTATTCATTATACATGTAAGACGCTACTGCATATTCAGAAGCTGTAAAACAACCGAGGAGACTTGAGAGTTCCCTTTTTACATGAATTAAATCTGCTGCAGCATTGTGCCTCTATCACAATCCCACCAAATGACTAAGGCAGCGAAGTAGCATGGTCAAGGTTTCAAAATACTAGGGATGGCTTTTAATGATTCCAAAAACGGAGACTGCATTATAACAGCAATGGATAACTAAATGAGATACAAAGCAAAATGATATTACTTTTGAGTTATACAAATCCAGAGCTTAATATGAAATACTAAGGATGTCTAAGGGTTCCTCTGGATTGAACTCCAAATTATTTAATCACTTAGGCTTGGGTTTGTATTGAGATTTAAAAAAAAAAAACTAATTATAAGCCATGTAAAGTAAGCCAAACACAGAGCTACTCACTGGAAGACGAGGAGTACTTGACACTGCTTGAGCGTGTCCTGGTAAAAGCCTGCTTTGAAGCAGCAACTGCTGCTGCCGTTTTCCTTGCAGCATTTCTAGCTTCAGAAACGGGGGGCTTTCGGGTGGAATAATAAGACTCCGCGCTGCGCCCAGAGAATGTCTGTCTTGGTGGGGCACTTTCGGAGTCACTTGGCACAGTGAAAGACCCTGCCCGTTTCCTTGGCATGGCAAGGATGTCCAGCCTTGACAATTTTTTGGTCTCTGCTGGTTGCTTGGAAGGTGCTCCGTTGCCCTCGTGAGGAGAAGCCTTTTCAGTATCGGCGCTCTCATTATCTGAAGTGTCTCCCAATCGAGCACGGCGGAGTTTTGAGGCTCTCGTGGGTCTTGGAGTAGATAAACTATTGGACCTAGTGAGGACTTGTTGGATCTTTTGCACTGTTGGTGTGACTTTGCTATGCTCTTCTTTGGTGGACTGCGAGAAAGGCTTCTTTCTGGAGATAGACCTCGAGGTGCTTTGCTCTTGGTCTGAGGAGGCTATTTCACTTGCTGGTGAATATGGGTGACTCCCACTCCGTTCATCATCTGTGTAATCCAGAGACCCACCCGTCCCTGTGCCGCGTTTTACTTGGAAACGTTTTGTATTCTCACTTTTGTTTCCTATCTCGAGAGGCAGAGTTTTCCGTTTCTCTGAAAGCCGTTCGCGTGCGCTCGGTTGAACATTCTGGTCTTGGACAGATGGTGCAGAAGAAGACTTCTCTTTTTGCAAAGTGGTCACAGGCTTACGCTTTGGAGGATGGCTTGGAAGGTTTTTGCCACTCACCAAGCTGACAGTGCTAGCTGTGTCCACATCTGATTCTCCAGATAAAGAGTCTTCTAACTGGCCCAGAGTATTTTCGGGAACTTCAAGCTGGTGAGTTTGGCAGAGGATTTTGGCTTCCAATGCTGCCAGAGCAGTTTCAGTATCTTTAAGGAGAAGGTGGGTGTCCTGATTATAATCCATACGATTTGCACGGGCGACATCGAGATCCTTAAGCAGAGGGTGGCTTGAAATATGCGGTAGCCTGTTCTGAGGAACACTGCTGCTTGATTTCTCTTTGGTAAAGCTTTCCTGCCGAACAAAAGAAGATGTTTCTTTTGTAGCTGCAACTTCCTGCGGTGGAAGAGGAAGACCCTGGTGTAATGAAATCACCATTTTACCATTTGAGCTAATGTAGGTATTGCTAACCCCCTTGACAGCTGGCTTTCCAGATTTGAAAGAAGTCTCCTCCTTGTCTGTTCGAGAAGGTGAGGTGCTGGAAGGAAGCTTTGAAGGAACCCCTATCTCTTCTTCCTCATCTCCAATATAGAAAGATGTAGACAGAGGATCGCTTGATGCTCTTAGGCCAGAAAGCCTTGGCACCATGTGCTGACGATTTTTGGATTTTGAATTTTCAGCCTTTGTCTGTTCTGAAACTTTGGTGCCATCTGGGCCTTTCCTGCCTTTTTCCAAGCCAAAACCATCATCAGATTTGCTTGCATCACTAAGGCTATCAGGATCCAAATCTTCCTGAATTAACAGTCGACTGGAAGGATCTAGGTACATTTCTGTCCCTTGGTCAGAAATACCAGTATTTCTTGGAGGTGCCTCCGTGTAAGGCTCTTGACAAATTAATATGGTTGGTGTTGGGCTTTCGGATTTGTCACCAGGAGGGAGCTGAGGAAGAAGCCGTCTTGTCCGTGCTGCAATGGAGTTCTCAGTGTCTCCCACTCTAAAACTGGAGTCTTTCTCTAAGAATAATTAAAAGACATTGAAAAAATCCAATGAAACATGAAATATTAGACCAATTGTATCTCCTCAGGCACTGCAATCAGCTGAGGAGGCCCTTCTCTTGATCCCACCCTCATCTCAAGTAAGGTTAGTGGGAATGAGAGAGAGTGCCTTCTCTGTGGTCATCTTCTCACCTCTGGAAATAATAATAATAATAATAATAATAATAATAATAATAATAATAATAACAACTTTATATACCGCTCCATCTCCCCGAGGGGACTCAGAGCGGTTCCCAAGTAATATCACAAAACATACAGACTGAAAAAAACATAAAAATTGGCACCATAACACACATATATTAAAAGTAATCCTGCCTGTTCAAGGCAATAAAAAATTTAAAAGGCCGGGCCAAGATTTGTGCAAGCCCAAAAATTCTAGGGGGCCCAGGAATTAAGTGCAATGCTATGGCAGGCAACAATAATATTAGGTACGGGTGTGTGGCTGTTCATTCCGGGGCCGATTAGAAGAAAGAATCTGGGTAACTGGTAGGAAGAATAAGGCCATATTAGACAATGTGTGGGGCTGAGTTAGAACTGGTCATTTTCAAAGGCTTGTTGAAACCACCAAGTCTTCAAGCTCTTACGAAAGGAGGGGAGAGATGGGGCCTGTCTTATTTCCTTTGGAAGGGCATTCCAGAGACTGGGAGGCCACCACTGAGAAGGCCCTCTCTCTCATCCCCACCTACCGCACTTCAGACGGTAGTGGGACCGAGAGGAGGGCCTCCACAGATCGTAGAGCCCCTCCCATCTTTCCTTCAAAAGACAACTGAAAACTTACTTTTGCTCACTAGCATATGGAGAAGAGGAGGATTAAATGATGAGAGAGCATCACGAGACCTCTGATATTGTATTCGGGCTTGATCAGATCATGTTAGCACAATTAACACCACTGGCTACATAATCAATTAACACACCTTAGTGAACTTCTGTTTATAATTGAATGTGGATGTTTTATATTTAGGTTTCTTATGTGGAGATAATGGTTGTTAGTTTATCCTTGCTTTAATTTGTAAGTATTACATTATAATTTGTTTTTATATGCATTACTTTGGGTACTGTACTGAGGCACAGAATGTTTACTTATTTATTTTATTTATAGTATTTATATTCCGCCTTTCTCTCCCCACAAGGGACTCAGGGTGGATTACAATGCATATATACATGGCAAACATTCAATGCCATTTAGACATACAACATATATAGACAGACATAGAGGCAATTTAACATTCCAGCATTTCCAGCTTCATGTGGAAGCCGTATGCTTGGTTCCGGCCACAGGGGGAGCTGCCGCTTCACCGTCCACTTGTGACACCGGGTCCTTTGATGGAGTACTTCCTCATTCTTCTGCACGCTGCTGGAAGGTTTTCTGGTGTCATAGATTAGTTAAATTAGCCTCCCTGCATAAAGCGGTACCTAAATTTCCTACTTGACAGATGCAACTGTCTTTTAGGCTGCATAGGTCAACAGCAAAATAGACTATTAATGGTCAGAAGCTTACTCCGACCCGGACTGGCTTCGAACTCATGACCTCTTGGTCAGTAGTGATTTAATGCAGCTGGCTACTAACTAGCTGCACCACAGCCCGGTCCTTTTTATTTGCATGGAACCCTGAGGCCCCTTGGGGAGATAGGGTGGAATATAAAGTTTTATTATTATTTATTATAGATGTTTGCAGCAGTGCAACACGATATACACCCATTTAAGTCTCAAGAACGGCTACATATTTTACTGACTACAGGAAAAGTTGCCTAGCTTGTCTTGCAGAACCTGAAAAAGTTACTTCTTTGGACATGTCAAAGCTGTCCATTAGCAATGGCAGAATGACTGTCGTTACCTATTCCGGCCTGAGAGGGCTGCAGAGGGGTTTCTCCAGTGCTAGGAGAAGATCCTGAGTCTGTATAACTATCTGCAAGGCTTGCCCATCTTGATACCCATTTCTGTCCAACCGGAGAGGAAGGCGGTAACTACAAAAAAATGGAAGGAAAATACACAGGATTAAAATAATATTATCATTAAACTTACATCAAATAATATTGAGCATCGTTCTGCCATTTGGTTTTTGATAGCTGCACTCTATATGTGATAGTGAAAACCGGATATCAAAGAAAGCAAAAAATTATTTGAAATATCTTGCTGGAGATAAATGAGTCCTAGAGCAAATCAGTCAGAAAATTCAGAACATGTTGAGTCTAAAAGCAAACCTGGTACAGGGGGTTTGTGGCTTGTTTTGTTTTGTTTGTTTTGTTTGCTTGTTTGTTTGTTTATTTGGGGTTTTTTTTTTGCAACATTTGTTCAGAGATGTTTTGCCGTTGTCTTTCTCTGTGGGTGAAAGTGTGTGACTTGGCTGAACACCTTCAGTAGGTTTAGATGACCAAGAAAAGATTCAAATCTTGGTCTTGCAAGGTCTTTCTCAAACACTCACTACACCACGCTGGCTCTCAGCAAGATTTGTAGTCCCATTCAATGCATTTAAATTTTAATGCAAAAAAATGAATATTATTCACTGAGCAGAGTTTAATTTTAAATCACCTTTTTTATATAGAAAAAAATCACTGACACTTATGCGAAGTTTCCATTCAAAAACTAGCCTCCATGAACTTATTGTACCTGCATGTCTGCGTGATGCCCACTAGCCACTTTGGAAGCGATGACCTGCATCATAGTAATCTTTGGGCCGGAGCCATTCTCGCCGATCAAATGATGGGATCCCAATTCTTCTTTTTCACCTTTTATAACAGGCCTGAAGGTTGAAGACATTCTTGAAAATTCGGGAGATTCCAAAACACCAAAAACCTGTAAGATCCCAGAAACAGCAAAGAAGCCTTTAAAAAAAATATTGGAGGTTTCCAGACCACAAATAAATCACACTTTATGTTTGTCTGGAACAGAAGTTACCAACCTTTTTTTCTTCAGATATTTGGACCAGCTCCCAGAGGTCCTGGCTACATGTCATGCTATCTATGTTTACTGGGAATTGATATCTAAAACATCTAGAACAGTGGTTCTCAAACTGTGGTTCCCCCGGTGTTTTGGCCTACAACTCTCAGAAATCCCAACCAGTTTACCAGCTGTTGAGATTTCTGGGAGTTGAAGGCAAAAACATCTAGGGACCCACAGGATGAGAACCACTGATCTAGAGGGCTAAAAGACCACCCTGAATCTCTAATACAGGATAAAGGTAGGATAAAATTAAAGTAAATAATATTAAAAGACTGAGAAGGCAGCCCAAGTGACCCTAGCCCAAGTTAGATATGCAAAAAAGGAGGGTTAAAATGATACAGGAACAATGAAAGGTGGTCTCTCCACCACTGTCACTTAGATTGTGAGAAAAGTGAAATCTATTATCAAGTCAGAACCAGGAAGATCTCAGTTCTCACTCAAAGCAGATCTGCCAAGACGATCAAACTGATGACAGCGGTGTCATAGCTAACATGCTAACTTTGTCTCAAGTTGATTTCAGCTCTTTTTGCATGTCTGAATAGAACTTACAAACTGAACAGTTCAGCAAGGATCATAGAATCATAAGGGTTGGAAGAGAACTCATGGGATATCCAAACCAATCCCTACCAAGAAGTAGGAAAATCGCATTCAATGTACCCCCAACTGATGGCCATCCAGCTTTTGTTTAAAAGCCTCCAAAGAAGGAGCCTCCACCATACTCTGGGGCAGAGAGTTCCACTATTGAACAGCTCTCACTGTTAGAAAGTTCTTCCTCATGTGCAGGTGAAATCTCCTTTCTTGTAGTTTGAAGCCATTATTCCATGTCCTAGTCTCCAGGACAGCAGAAAACAAGCTTGCTCCCTCCTCCCTATGACCTCTCCTCACATATTTATATCTCTTCTGCAGGCCAAACATGCCTAGGACGATGATGATGATGATGATGATGATGATGATGATGATGATGATGATGATGATAATATAATGATGTTCCCTCTTTGGCCAAAGGACATACATTTCTATCGATTCTTTCACACTTTTCATATCTGCATGTTAAAGACAAGTGCGCATAGAATCATAGAATCAAAGAGTTGGAAGAGACCTCATGGGACATCCAGTCCAACCCCCTGCCAAGAAGCAGGAATATTGCATTCAAATCACCCCTGACAAGGGCAAAGTAATCATACTATTAAAAGCTTCCAAAGAAGGAGCCTCCACCACACTCTGGGGCAGAGAGTTCCACCACTGAACGGCTCTCACAGTCAGGAAGTTCTTCCTCATGTTCAGATGGAATCTCCTTTCTTGTAGTTTGAAGCCATTGGTTCGTGTCCTAGTCTCCAGGGAAGCAGAAAACAAGCTTGCTCCCTCCTCCCTGTGGCTTCCTCTCACATATTTATACATGGCTATCATATCTCCTCTCAGCCTTCTCTTCTTCAGGCTAAACATGCCCAGCTCCTAAGCCGCTCCTCATAGGGCTTGTTGTCCAGACCCTTGATCATTTTAGTCGCCCTCCTCTGGACACATTCCAGCTTGTCAATATCTCTCTTGAATTGTGGTGCCCAGAATTGGACACAATATTCCAGGTGGTCTAACCAAAGCAGAATAGAGGGGTAGCATTACTTCCCTAGATCTAGACACTATGCTCCTATTGATGCAGGCCAAAATCATGGCCAACTGTTGCCCTCCATCCAGTCTTTGATAAAGTGGGACATGCCCCAACCATATCATACTCGTAGGAATCTGGTCCCAAGGTGGAATCCATGGGAAAGTGTACATATTTGCTTTCAAGCCATGAACCCATGGCAACCCAATTAATTTCATAGGGTTTTCTTAGGCAAGAAATCTTCTCTTCCTCTGAAATACTATACCAGTTCCTTTTTCTGAAGCATCACCTACAGCACCTGGTATTTGTTGGAGGTCTCCCATCCAAAGTCTAATCCTGCTCAGTTTCTAAGATTAGGCGGCATCTGGTGCTTTTAGAATATTTAGGCAATTTCCATGAGAAAGGACAGCCTTCTGTAGGAGGTGTCGTTTTCTCAAAATTAGTGTGATAAAGCAGAGGTCATATTCTCTTCCTCCCATATTATCTATGGAGGAGAATCACATAATCCATATACCTTCCTGCCTATTTGTGAGGAGTTGTCAGCTAAGAAGAGAAGAAGAAAATAACTAATCCCCAAAGGCAACAGATATGATGAATGACCAATGCAACGTGTGACCTGCCTAGCTCAAGTCATTCCACCATCCATACATTATGGTCTGCCATCCATACATTGTGATTGATCGATCTTTTGTTTCTGCAATTCCAGGGAGGCCCAGGTGGCTTATTAAGCCCTTGCAAAGCGATTAGCCGGCTGCATTTGTCATGGCAGGTCACAAACTCTGGAAGACCAGCTAAAACTAAACAAAACAGGAATGCGTCTCCTTTAGATATGTCCTTCACCCTGAGCCAGAATCATTCTATCTGACTTAAAAAATCTTCCTATGTTCTCTGGCAAGAAAAATATATCTAGCCTCCTCTTTTGGGGATGAGCATATAGATACACACTCATATACATAAACATAAACACACAGTATTTATCTATACATTTCTATGCCATGATCTGCAATAAGGTGGTGAAGTTCTGGAATAACTTTGTCAGTTTATTCATTGTTTGTGACAACTAGACACAGTTGCTCTAACATTTTGCTCCAATCCTGGCCTAAGCATCCCAGGTTTGGATCATGATTAACAGGATGGGAGAACACTGCATATCCCATCTTTCTAATGCTCCCATTTTCCTTAGAAAAGGGTTTCTCAACCTTCCTAATGACACAACCTCTTAATACAGTTCCTCATGTTGTGGTGACCCCCAACCATAAAATTATTTTCCTTTCTACTTCACAACTGTAATGTTGCTACTGTTATGAATCGTAATGTAAATATCTGATATGCAGGATGTATTTTCATTCACTGGGCCAAACTTGGCACAAATACCCACTACGCCCACATTTGAATACTGGTAGGATTGGGGGGGGGGGGGGGGGGGGAGGTGATTTTGTCATTTCAGAGTTTTAGTTGCTGGGATTTATAGTTGACCTACAATCAAAGAGCATTCCAAACTCCACCAATGATGGAACTGAACCAAATTTGGGACACAGTACTCCCCTGACCAACAGAAAATACTGGAGGGGTTTGGCGAGCATTGTCTTTGAGTTATAGTTCACCTACATCCAGAGACCACTGTGGACTCAAACAATGATGGATCTGAACCAAACTTGGCATGAATACTCAACATACCCAAATGTGCACACTGGTGGATTTGGGGGAAAGTAGACCTTGACATTTGGGAGTTGTAATTTCTGGGATTTATAGTTCACCTACAATCAAAGAGCATTCTGAACACCACCAATGACAGAATTGGGTCAAACTTCTCACACGGAACCCCCACGACCAACAGAAAATACTGTGCTGCCTTACATGTTTAGTTTCACCAATTTTTTCCTGTACCAGCATCAATCACAGGTACAGTTTTTCCATCATTAAATAAGGTCTCAATCTTGCAAATTAACATTTGAGGTCTCGCTAAGAGAGAGTCTAGTTAACATCAACCAGATTCAAAAGAAGGAAGAATTTATTACAAAAATAAAGAAGTTTTTGCACACTAATATTCCAAACCAATATGGCTATCTATGTCTTCTTTGTCTTATGTAACTGGAACAAATCCACCCAAACGCACAACCTTCTCTATTTCTAAGAAATGTAAGGTTTACCTGATCAATCATCTTTCGAGCTTCTTCTACTTCTTTATCCTGTGTCTCTGTTTCAATGGTGTAGGTGCCAGTTTCGCTCAAGCTGTCCTCTTCTTCATGCTTTCTAGCCTTCATCAGCTTAGGATCAGCAACTAACAATGGGACTGGTTCTGGGGCTGGAGGAGCTACGACTACCCGTGGAGTGAGTGGAGGTGGCATTGGGGGTGGCTTCTCTGTGTTGGCTTTCACAGACTGGGAGCTCTCCCGTAAACATTCAGCAGCAAAGTCCTGAGAGATTTTCGACTTCCGCCCAACGCTGCCATGGCTCTTTACAGATGCCTTCGACGTGGAAGAGGAAGATGAATTTGCTCTCTCCTCGGTCTTCTCTCTCTTAAACGAACCAGCTCTTGGAGTGGTGAAGGAGTTGACTGGCCCTTTGGATCCTCCAGTGGGCAAATGCTGTGGCGGCAGAGAATTCCCTGGCTTCTCAGCAGGCACGTTAATCTTGCGTTTCTCAACTTTGGTCTTCAAGGTGGGATCCATATCGGTCTGACTAGAGTGGGTAAAAGACTGTGATCTTTTCTTCCGGGGCGTGTCATCATCAAAGAACTCTATGACAAAAGCCTGCTGGTTATGGAGCAGCTCCTGGGGGTCACGTCGAATTTGGCGCTGGAGCCTGGCTTGCTCAGTTATATGGTCGTTAGTTGGTGTCTCCTTCTCTGGTTTGGGCACTACTGGGTCTTCAGAGTCACTCTGCGTCCCATCTTCATGTCTGTTACCTGTAAAGTTGGTACATTATTAGGAGTATCCTGGAATATACTTGCTTTTGTGCCAGCCAAAAACTGATAAAGTTACATTTTTTGGATCACAGCTCTCAGATTATAACAGTCAACATAATTGTAGATATAAAAGCAAACTTTGAATATTTTAATGGTTTTCAACTGGGAATGTTTTAATACTGTTTATATTCAATCCTGTTTTAATGTTTACATATTTGTATATTTTAAATTGCATGCTGATGCTTTTATGTTTGGGAAAGATAAAGCAGGGTGTAAATATAACAACAACAACAACAACAACAACAACAACAACAACAACAACAATCTTTTCATGCTCTAGTGCCAGCACATGACCATTTCCCTTCACCTCCAATGGGAAAGTACTTTTTTCTGAGATTACTTAGTGATTCATAGATTTATGTTTACATTTCTGGTCTTTGAGATTTTACTGACAAACATTAATGAAAACAAAGGACCTCCTTCCTCATCTCTTCCCTCCAATCAAATGAACCCTTTCAAAGGCATAGGTGCAATGGGACAGGGAGGTTTGATGACTCAAGAAGAGGCTTTTCAGCTGTTCTTTTTAACTACAAGTGATACTGAATACTTCTGGGATTCATGAGATCTGCAGTTTTTCAGCCTTGTGGGTCAAATTACACACTCCAATACAAAAAAAATCTTGGTGTCTTGGTTTGTAGGCCTGTTCCTGGGGTTATTTGGGGCACTGGTTTAGAACATTGCATTAGATAGACCACATCAGCTCTCATTTCTTAGATATAGCCCCAACATTGGCAGTCTTTAGGAAGAGCTTGAAGACGTGGTTGTTCCAGTGTGCCTTCCCAGAATAGGAAACTCCCAGCATCATGTCCCAAATGCACTTTACTAGAGATTTAAGATTGTCTGCACACTGCACCTATCTCCAAAAACCTATTTCACCTGTCATGTCCAGCACTTTTAAAAATTTTAATCATTACATTTGGCCCGGCCTTAGTTTTAAATGCGTTGTGGTGTTATTGTCTAATGTTTATTGCTATTGTTTTAATGTTTATTGCTTGTTTTATGAGTTTTATTGTTGTATTTGTTATGCTGTTGTTTTATTGATGTGTTGGGCCTTGGCCTCTTGTAAGCCGCAACGAGTCCTTCAGGAGATGTTAGCGGGGTATAAATAAAGGATTATTATTATTATTATTATTATTATTATTATTATTATTATATAGTTATGATTTTCTATGAGTGAGTAGATAACAACTGGTTTATGGTGTATTTTCTGTATCTCAAAAAATATAGCTGATAGAGGAAAATAGTGCCATTTTTTGAATCCACTGGACAAATATTGCCAAAACAGGACTAATATTTGAGGCACCAAAATGTGTGTTGGCCAATGTTATCGGTCAAAAACCTCAAAGCACAATGCAGAACCACAGAACTCTACTTCTGCATGAAGCATTGTTCCTGCAAACCCTTATCACACCTTGGAGGAAGTTGCTTTTAGGGTATTACAATTCCCAGAACCCCACAGCAGCTCCCACAGCAGCTAAGGAATTCTGGAAGTTGCCATCCAAAAAAGGAGCTCAAAAAAGGAGCACATCATTTCAAGCCGAGGCCTTCATCAGCAAGGGCAGCCTGTCCCAACCGTCCACGAGAGGTTATGTTTACATGAAAGCAGAGAAGATCCAAGAGCAACAGCTTGCTATATCAACAGCTCAAATTCCATTTTCAACTTTGGCCACATTCCAGGAGGCATAGAACAAGTGTGTTCTTATTCCAACTGAATGTAACTTCAACTTTTCCCCCAGCAACTAGTCTTTCCCCTCTTTCCTCACTTTACCCACAGTTGGCAATTTATAATGTATTGGTGCTTACCCTTCAGAGTCTTCACATGAACTGGGAGGTCACTTTTGGTACTGTATACATCATCTCCTGGTGACTGCCTTCTTATGAGACTCGGATCATTCTGGACCAGCCAATCCGCCACTTTGTTCTCTGCCGAGATCATTTCTACGTGACCGGCTTCCTTGCCGAGGTTCCGTCTCTGCCTGAGTGAAAATTTGGTGACGTGATCTTTTATCTTGATTTTGCCCGGGGTGCAATCATCAAACTCAATCGTGAACGAAGCGTGGCTCTGTACAACTGGCAGCACAGCTGCATCAACGTCTTTGGTGGGGATTTCGTGGACCTGTGCCTCTGGAGATTTCACCGGCTGTTGGAATTCCTTTGTTGGGATTTCAAAGTAACTAGGTTCTCGTCGGAATGCATACAAAGCATCACCTTGCGAATCCTTGTATCCAGTGATATTGCCATTGATTTCTTCTTCATGTTGAACTATGTCTTTTGTTCTCTCTATAAGATAAAAAGCAAAACTAGTCAATACTTCAGGAAATAAAGCCCCACTGCTCATTGGAGAAAAGGATATTTTGAGCAAAGATGAAGTACTTTGGCCACATCATGAGAAGACAGGAAAGCTTAGAAAAGACAATTATACTGGGGAAAATGGAAGGAAAAAGGAAGAGGGGCCGACCAAGGGCAAGATGGATGGTATCCTTGAAGTGACTGGCTTGAATGAGCTGGGGGTGGTGACGGCCGACAGGGAGCTCTGGCATGGGCTGGTCCTTGAGGTCATGAAGAGTCAGAAGTGACTGAACGAATGAGGTTGGCAGAGCTGCTGCATTTCTTGATGTAGCTATAGAGTCCTTATCCAGAAATCCAAAGTACTCCAGAATCCAAAACTACCCTCATGTGTGGCTGAGATAGTGACATCTTTACTTTCTGATAGTTCAATGTACACAAAAAAAATTCCATGCACAAAAAGTATTCAAAATATTATGTATAAAATAAAATATTGTGTATGTGTATAAGGTGCATAGGAAACAAATGAATTTCAAATTTAGACTTGGGTCCCGTTTTCAAGATCTCTCATTATGTAAATGCAAAAAAATCCAAAATAAGACGCAAAATCCAAGGCACATGTCTTCCAAACTTTTTCAAATAAGGAATACTCTCGATCAATATATGGTTACAGAAATCTGATACCACTTTTAGGGTTCATCTACACTGCAGAATTACTGCAGTTTGAGACCATTCTAATTGCCATGGCTCAATGCTGTGGAGTCATGGAAGTTGTAGTTTGGTGAAGCTCCAGCACTCTTTGGCAGAAAAGGCTATAGCCTTGAATCATGGCAGTTAAAATGGAGTCAAACGACAATGTAGATGCACCCTAACTGTCAGGAATTCACCTTACTGAATCCCAGAATTTGTAAACAAAATTATTTGCTACAAAGCTCTAGTGTACACTTCTGAATTGCTCTCGTGTACACTTCTGAATTGCAGCACATTATTGCCATAGAGCTCCTTCAGGCTACTCTAAACAAGTGTGAGGTCTTGCAACAAAGCAATACATCCAAAACTACCTCTTCAAATCCAAGTGGCCTCAGCAGCTAGGAGTGTGTGTCTTTTATAAGCTTCGGCATTGGATTACTTTAATAGGGTTGCCCTTGAAACCATCCCAGAAGCACCAGGTAGTGCTTAATGTGGCAGACAGGGTTATAATCTGCACAGATTAGCCATATCTTATTCCAACTAGAGTAGGCTCAGGGAGTCAACAACTGAATACTGAGTCACAACTCAGTAAATCCCATTGAATCAAATGATCTACTCTAGTTGTGACTAGCAGGTGGATTGAGGCCTCGTTACACAAAGAAGAAGATATCCTTCTTTATAGCGTGCCGGTTATCAAATATTTTCCCCATGGAGATGTAATGGGCATCAATATTGCAACCATTTGTGCTGCCAAGTAAAAATCTTCTTTGTTTACAAAGGTTTAGCTAACACAATTTCCTTGTTTTGGCTGCTTCTGTCTCGATAATATATGTTGGCTGGCTTAATTTCGTTGTCTTATTATTTATGGTTTATTTATATTTGTGTGCAGGCTGTATTTATATCTGTAGTTGGGATCTGTAGAAATGAAAGTCAGTTTATACATAAACAAGAAAATTAGCTTAAAATAAATAGAGATAGCAACCGCTATAATACCTAGTTACTGAACAGGTACAAAAGGAATACACAGCAATGTTGTTCTTTCATTTTCACTCCTGTGCAGGCCCGTAGCCAGGATTTTGTTTCGGGGGGGGGGGCTGAATTTTTTTCAGGGGGGGTTTCGGGGGGGGGGGCTGAGTTTCAGGGGGGGGCTGAGTCTGAGTGAAAGAGGGTCTAGCCTAGCAAACCTTTTGTATCATTACCCCAATACCCCCATGCATATGGGATATATTGAGTATGGTGATCAGATCATGATATGAATAAACATAACAGTTTAAATAATGCACCAGTAAGGCCTTTTCGCGAACCACCATGAGAATTTCGGGGGGGGGGGGGGGCTGAAGCCCCCCCACCCCCCCCCCCCCCCCCCCCCCCCCCCCGGCTACATGCCTGCTCCTGTGCATGCACTTTTTTCATATTTTGCACATCTGTTACTTCTAACAGGATCTTATTTATAACCCACTTTTATCACAGAACCAGAATTGAATGCAGCTTGCAATTAGAACAGAACAGTCACAGATAAAAACAGGCATAAAATTGATGTTTACCACCACTAAACAAACATATTTACCTGAATACTGTTCTTCTACCCTTCTTTCATCTGTTGATTCCAACTTATTATTGGCATCATCTTCTCCCCACCACGATGGCTGGCCATAAAGGGGTGTGCGGTAAGTATTTGTCTCTGGAGATAGAAAAGGCAAACAGAAATCAATACAGACAGATATGTTTGTTGGCAGCATATCTTTACATACTGTATGAATATATGTTATATCTGGGGCCTTAATATCACTTGGTAGTGCATCCAAAGAAATGGGCTTATATCCACGAAAGCTCATACTAATATTAAAACCAGTGAGTCAGAAAGGTGCTGCCCCTTTTGTTTATTTTTCCCTCTCCCTTCCTCCTTTTTTTGAAGGAGAAAAGGTGACAGAATCAGATCCAAATTATTCTATTTTAATTTTCCCCCTATTCTGCCTTGATTAGACCACACCTGGAATATTGTGTCCAATTCTGGGCACCACAATTGAAGGAAGATATTGATAAGCTGGAATGTGTCCAGAGGAAGAAGGCAACTAAAAAGATCAAGGGTCTGGAGAACAAGCCCTATGAGGAGTGGCTTAAAGAGTTGGTCATGTTTAGCCTACAAAAGAAAAGGAGACATGATGAGAACCATGTATAAATATGTGAGGGGAAGTCATAGGGAGGAGACTTGTTTTTTGCTGCCTTGGAGACTAGATCAATGGCTTCAAACTACAGGAAAGGAGATTCCATCTGAACATGAGGAAGAACTTCCTAACTGTAAGAGCTGTTCAACAGTGGAACTCTCTGCCCCGGAATGTGATGAAGGCTCCTTCTTTGGAGGCTTTTAAACTGAGGCTGGATGGCTATCTGTCAAGGGTGCTTTGAATGCAATTTTCCTGCTTCTTGTCAGGGGGTTGGACTAGATGGCCCACAAGGTCTCTTTCAACTCTATGATTCTAATACCCATTAGGCATGGCACAATTAGGTTGTTGCAGAAAGCGCTAAAGTTCTCACTTTCTACTTATCTCAAAGAAAATTGTTATAAGATGTTTTCCTGTGACCAGAAACCAGAAATGTTGGCAAAAATTCTATTTTATTTGTATGCATAACATGATAATTTTCTGTAGAAATCAGAACAATTTTCTGTAGAATTTAATATAGATATTTGTTGATTTTTAGTATGTGCATATAAAGTCACAATAAAATGGATTTTGGGGTGGAGGGGGAACTGGCACATTTAACTAGTGGTACCAAATAACAACTAGCTAAATGTATTTGTTTTTCATTGCTGTACTGACTGTTTAGGAGACACTTTGACTGACATTAACATAATAATTCAATAATAATACTGACTAACATAAATAATTCAAAGGATGGAGTGTTTTTAGCACAGGTTCTGCTTTTCTCTGATTTTCTGCCTGGGCACATACCACAAAACACTTAAACTGAAACACACCCTGAGAGTTAAGGATGAGCAGGCTAGAACTTGAAAATACACTGGTACTATTCTCTTTTGCTAATATTAATGATGCTTCTGCTGCAAACTCTTCCCATGAAGTGTGCAAACTTGCCCGTTGTTCTTCCGTTGTTATTAGAAATATCTGCATAGCATCTTTGTATTCAATACCAGGACACATTATATTAACCGGTTTGCTTCCTATAAATATTATTGTATGGATAGCATGCCATTATGTCCATTTTGCAGACAAGAAAGTTAAGACTGAGGAAAGGAGCAAACAGTGATACCTTCAGTTAAGAGTTTAATCGTTCCAACAGTGAGCTCTTATTTCAAAGCAAATTTCCCAATGAAATGCTATTAATCCATTACAGCCCACCGTACTCCACTCCCATTTTTGTTATGCATTTTTTAATAAGAACATGTACTTTATAAATAAAAATAATATATAATTGCATATCCACATGGAACAATAAAAAAGGAAGATCAATTTTAAAATGGTAGAAGCACAAAGTTGTGACAAGGAAGCACAAAGAACTGTACTCATTCCAGCCCTCCTACCTCTCTTGCTTCCTCTACCCCTCTCTCTCTCTTCATGATGCCAAACATACCAGGAATAAAAGCAACACAAAATCAACTAATCCAAAGTTTCTCAACGCGGACAAGAGCAAAGCGGACAGCAACCTCCCAAAGTGGACATGAGCACAAGGCCCAGAGGTTGCTCCCTTAAAGCCCTAAAGCCTGTACTCTGGAGCTAGCACTCTCTCTGGTGCTAGCTCTTAACTCAAAATGCTGTCCGTTTGTCAAAGCGAAACCCAGGCCAAGTGATGCTCTCAACTCAAAATGCTCTTTAAGTTTGAATGCTCCTAAATTGAGGTTCCACTGTATTTTAAACTTGTGACTACATCTAAATCTGCTAGTTGTATGTCTAGTTTTAATGTTTCGATTTTAAAATGTTTTATTTTTAATATTTTAATGTATATTTGTAATCCTGTTGTTCACCTAATTGTCAATTTGTTTTGTAATGTGATTTATGTTATTGTCGGCATCTAATGGCTGTTGTGACTCAGCTGGAATCATAGAGTATTTTATTTCTCGTGTCAGGGCAGCCAGTCAATTATATTACATTTCTAACAGAACAAAGCAAACAAACAAACAGAGAAAATACAAAATGTGTGAGTTTGGTAGTTGATTAAATGTCCTTTGACCAGTAGCTGGCCACTTGGAGTGCTTCTGGTGTTGCTGCAAGAAGGTCCTCCATTGTGCATGTGGCAGGGCTCAGGATGCATTGCAGCAGGTGGTCAGTGGTTTGCTCCTCTCCACACTCGCATGTTGAGGATTCCACTTTGTAGCCCAATTTCTGAAAGTTGGCTCTGCATCTCGTGGTGCCAGAGCGCAGTCTGTTCAGCGCCTTCCAAGTCACCCAGTCTTCTGTGTGCCCAGGGGGGAGTCTCTCATTTGGTATCAGCCATTGGTTGAGGTTCTGGGTTTGTGCCTGCCATTTTTGGACTCTCGCTTGCTGAGGCGTTCCAGCGAGTGTCTCTGTAGATCTTAGAAAACTATGTCTGGATTTAAGTCGTTGACGTGCTGGCTGATACCCAAACAGGGGATGAGCTGGAGATGTCTCTGCCTTGGTCCTTTCACTATTGGCTGCCACCTCCCGGCGGATGTCAGGTGGTGCGATACCGGCTAGACAGTGTAATTTCTCCAGTGGTGTAGGGTGCAGACACCCCGTGATAATGCGGCATGTCTCATTCAGAGCCACATCCACTGTTTTAGTGTGGTGAGATGTGTTCCACATTGGGCGTGCATACTCAGCAGCAGAGTAGCACAGCACAAGGGCAGATGTCTTCACTAGTGTCAATGATTCTGATGGGGATGATGAGATTCAGATTCACAGTGAGGTGCAAAGCAAGGATGTTCATGTGTTAGACGAAGAAGACCAGGAACAGGGGGCAGAAGTTCAGTTGTTTCCCACAGCAAGGATGACTCTGGGGAAAGTGAAACTACTGAGAGCCAGGTGCATAATTCAAGAAGGGAGGGCGGTTTTCAGCCAGAGAGTTCGCAGCCAGATAATGAGGGGGAAAGCACTAATAAGGGAATTGACCTTGATGAAAACAGAGGTTTAGATCGAGCTGATCAGTTGGTATTTAAAGTTCGAAGGAGTGTCAGGATTGCTAGCAGGCGAAAGAGGGAGGCTTGGGGCCATAGGAACACCTTCGTGTTGTCCAAAGAGTATTAAACAGGCTGTTTGAATGTGCCTCGGTGTCAGAGCAACTTCCCGCTTCAACCAAGAGACTTTGGATTTATCTTGCAGCTTTCATGTTCATGTTTTAGGACTTTGTCATGTTCTCATGGGACTTTGCTTTGCCTGTGTTTTCATGGATCTTGTTTGCCTGTGTTACCTTGGATTGATCTTTTGAAACATGCTTTTGTCTTTTTGAACTTTTTATCTTTTACTTTAATAAACCATAAAGACTACTGCTGGTGTGTTCTTTGGTGTCTTAAGCAAGGTGTCTCTACTCTGAGGTGCGAAAATGGCTGCCATTTGTAAGCCGCCCTGAGTCCCCCCCTCAGGGGTTGAGAAGGATGGGGTGGCAATGTTTGAAATAAATAAATAAATAAATAAATAAATAGTCCCTATCTTACATATGTATATAGTGTTATTCACCCCTATTTTTGAAGTAATTATAGCCTGCATTTCTGAGCCACACTCTATATAATCAGTGTTTGCTTTAAAAAGAGACACAGAAAGTCTTAAGAAAACTATGTGACAGGATTGCCAGAGGTAGGAAATTATTTGAAGGCACACAACAACCATGAACAAAATGACTCCAAACTGCAAGACCTATTTTCTATCAATGAATTTTAAGCTGTATAAATGGCTATCTTACATGGTCTCCCGTCTAAGTACTGAACAAATAGAAAACTGCCTTAGACACTACACTGCAGCGTGGGCAAAGGTATAGAAAACTCACCTTTTTTGAACCACAGTTCCCAGATTCACTAGGCAACACAATCCAAACCTGGAAAAGCTATTCGACTGGGAAGATCATGGGAACAGTGGACCAAAAAAATCATTTTTTTTCCAACATGTGCTTCAGATTCTGTCCCGAGGCCAAAGAGTTTATCCACACACGCACACAAACACCTGGAAGCAAAGCAACTAATGAGGGAGAAGCACAACCAGCAACACACTAAGCATCAATGAAAAGTAACTAAAGTGCTCTGTCGTTTTAATTATATGAAGAGCCATTCTTTTTAACCACCCATCCACTGCTCCCCCGCCACTATAACTTTCATGCTCATCTGTCCAGATGGTGCCAATTCATCCAAGCACACTTCTTGGCTCATTGGTTTAGGCAGACAACCCAGGGAGGGGGAGGGGGGCTAAACGGCATCCATTAAAATGAGAGGATCGAGGTCAGATGGAGCCTTTGCCTGGATAAATATTGAACTATCTGTGACAGTGATGCAGTGAAAGCAACCCAGAAGCATGCCTCCTCTTCACAGCTCCGTTTCTCCAGCTGTAGCATATGCAAAAACCTGGATGTGGAGAGACCAGAGTGTTAAAAACACTCTTGGATAAGTTCCTTCATTGGACTGTAATTCACAGGATCCCACAAAAGATGTGTTTGCAAATAAAACCAGAAGTGGACTTCTTAACACATCTATTCAGTTTCAGATGCAGATGTGGGTGAAAA